AATAGAATAAAATCTATTTTTAGGATACTTTTTTATAAATTAAATTAATAAATAGGATAGTTAACTTTAAAAAATCTTAAATAAAATAATAGTAAAAGTTATTAAATCCTAAGAATACTTAAATATTTATAATATAAATTAAAATAAGCTAGTTAATAACTGTCTTAATTTTAGAAGGGTTTATCTAAATTTTTTTATAATTAACAATTAGATTTAAAAACTTGGTTTTAAAGATAATAAATTTATATTTTAAAAGTTTTATAAATAAATGGGCTTTTTGCAGCTTTTATAGAATCTAATAAATATAATAAATATATTTAAAGTAGGTTTGGTTATAAATTAGGATATTATTTAGGTAAGTAGTATAAAAAATATTTAAATAGTTATATAAAATATTATTAATATAATATTAGAATATCCTAAGGGCTCTGGTTAAGCTAAATAATATTATTAAAGATTTAAATAAGCTTAAATAGATATAAAATATAGTTATTTATTTTTAACTCTTTTAAATATATAAATTATTAAAAATATTTATAATATTAATTTTTATAAAATAATATATTTTTTTTAGGTTATTTAGGGTCTTTTTTACTAAAGATAATAAATAATAATCTTTAATTATAATTATGTTTAGGGTTTAGTAGTTAATATAAAAATATAAGCCTTTATTAGCTTATTAATAAATAGGATAAAAGATATTATAAAAATAAATTTAAATAAATAAAATTTTTTTATAAATTTTTAAATAATTATTCTTAGAGGGCCTTTAGCTCCTTTTAGGATATATTATATAAAAAATTAAATAATAATTTTTTATTAAATTTTAAAATAATTATATAATTATAGTTTTTATATAAAAATAATTTATTTGTTTTTTTAGTAAAAATATATTATTAAAATCCTAAAATTTTATAAAGATATTAGGGCTTTAATTAGGGTTAGATATTTTTTATATTAAGAGTTTTTTAAGGGACCTTTTATAGATTATTTAATTAATTTATTTTATAATAATAATAAAGATTTTTTTTCTTTATCTCGTATATATAGTATAAACTTTTATAAATATTATATAAATATTATAGATCTAGAGGGCCTTTAGGGCCTTTAAGTTAATTAAATAGATTTAAATAAAAATATTATATAAGGCCTAGATCTTTTAGGAACAGGATAAGATATTATAATATTTCTAATAATATTAATTATTAAATTAAAGAATATATTTAATAAATTTTATTTTAAAATTATAAGTTTTAAGCTAGAGGAGTTTAATTATAATAAAAAAATATATAAGTTAAATAATTAGAAATAGAGTATTTTTTTTAATATAATTATAAATTTTTAAGATTATATAAATATAATAAATAATAGTATTAGTTTTGCTCTTACAGTTATTAAACCTTATAATTAATTTAGGCTTTTTTAGAGAATATAAGATTAGATTTTAGGCTTTAGTCTAACTTTTATTTATAATATAAAATATAAAGTAACTAGTATTAAATATAATATAAATAATAATTTTATTCTTATTAAGGTTTAATATAATAAAAATAATTAATAAATTAGTCTTTTAAAATTTTTTTTAATAAAAAGTCCTTTAGTAATAACTTTAAAAATTTAATAAATATGCGTGGGAGGGTTTACCTGATTATAGTTTAAATTAAACTAATTTTTTTTAATTACTTATTTAAGTTTAGGGAGTACAGGCGTTTTATTTAAAAAATTATTTAAAATTAAAGAGCTTAAAGCAGTAATAATATAAATAGGCCTTATAAGATAAAATAAGATTAAAGTATAGAGGAAGACTATCTCTAAAAGAGTAAATAAGATTTTAAAAAGAAAATAAAATATATAATATAATTAGTTTAGTATAAATAATTATTTAGTTTAAGGTAGTCTTTAATTATATATTAATTTAATTTATAGTAGAAATATTCATTATAATTTTTATAAATATTATTTTTAAGATAGGAAGACAGGTAGTAAGTTAAAAAAAGATTTATAATATTAGGATTTAGAATAATAATAATAAATTAAAAAAATTTATTAACTAGATTTTAGAGATAATAGTTTCAGATATTTTTAATTAAAATTTATAAATAAGTATTAGTTCTAGTTAAAATTAGGGCGGATTTTAAGATTAATTATAAAAGTATTAAGTATAATAGTTTTTTAATTTTTATAAAAAAATAATAAAGTTAATATAATTTTTATTTTTTAATTAATAGTTTTAAAAAGAATAAAAAAAATTATTTTTAATTATTTTCTTTTTTATAATTAATTATTAGAATTTAATAAAAAAAAACAAAAAACTTTTAGTTTTTTTATTTTAAATTATATAAGATATTTTAAGTATTATAAATATGGTTCAGGTTTTTATAAATATAATTAAATATTTTTAGGATTTTAGTATAATCTTTTAACTAGTAAACTCTGTTTTTAATATATAAAAGGATTTAAGTATAAAAAAGTCTTTTTAAATAGTTAAAAATATAGGCTATATAGGTTTAGAGGGTCGGGAAATAGTTATAGTTTATAATTATTTTTTTTTAATTTAAGAGGTGAAGTGGTAAAGGTTTAATTTAATATTTTTAAACTTATTAGGGTCGGGTAGTTATTTAGAAAAATAAGTAAAAATAAAAGATCTAGGATTAATTAATATAGATATTTTTACTAAAATAATTAAAAATTTTTTAATAATAAATTTAAGGGTCTGGTCCGGGATGTTAATTATAAATATAATAATTTAAATTATATAATTTTATTTTTAAATTATTATACTCTTATTAGCCAGGGCCTAGATAAATTTAAAATTTAAATTTTTTTTATAATTTACTTAAAAAATAATAATTTATATAATAATATTTATATCTTATTAAAGATAGGAGACTTTCTAGTAAAAATATTTTTAATTAATATTAATATTTATTATAAATATATAAATCTAGTTATAATAGATATATTATTCTTTAATATATTTAATAATATACTAAATAAATAATTTAAAATTTTTAAAAAGAGATAAGGGCTTTAGAATTTTAGATATATTAAGTAAATACTAGCTTTATAAATAAGAACTATATAATATTAAAATACAGGCTAGTAGGTTAATAAAGTTAGTATAATAAGGGTAGATAAAATAAGTAATCTAACTAGATTAGGTAGGCTAAATTTATAAGGTCTTTAATTATTATTATAATCAGATTATATATAAAATAATAAATAAAATATAGCTTAAAAATTTATAATAAGATCTTTAGTATTTAGGTTTTTAAGTAATTAAGAGATTAGAATTGGGGACAGATTCTTCTGGTTTAGTGGTTCTGTCTGGTTCTGGCGGGCTTGGCGGTGTCTTTAGGTCTGCACCGTGACAGGCACTGCACTGGGGGTGATGTCATCCGCACTGCGCAGGTGGTTGTAACATCCGGGAATAAAGTTTTTAAAAATAAAAAATAATAATATTAAGCAGATAATAAATATTAAATAAATAATTATTATTAACACAAAAATAAAAAAATTTAGATAAAACCAGATATATTATTATATTAGAACCTATACCTGGATTAATTTATAATAATATAAAGATTATTCTATTCTACTAAGTTCTCGCTTGTTACCGGCGTGCCTGTGAGGAGACCCAGAGGGGTCTCGGGCGGGTGAGATCCTCCTAATTATGTATAATATTATATATAACAGATTAGATACTAAAACTTCTACAGAGTTCTATATTAGTTTTTTTAACTATATAAAAAAATATTAAATATTTAAATATTTTTTATACTTAAAATTTTATCTTAATTAAGATATTTCTAGGAATCCTATATTTAAAACTAAGTAAGAAACTTTAAAAATTTTAAATAAAATTTTTTAAAAATATTAAATTAATTAATAAAATAAAATCTTAGGGGTCTAATATTATTATAATTATATAAATTTATTTATTTTAAATTACTTAATATATTAAGAGGGCGGGATAAAGCTTAATAAATAAATAATAAACTAGGTTTATATAAAACTTACTAAATAATTATTAGCTGTGTAATTATATAATCTGATTAAAATTAATTATTTTAAAAAGGGGAATAATTTATTACCAGTATGCCTATAAAAAGACTTAAAAAAATCTTAGGCAGATAAGATCCTCCTAGTTATATATAATATTATATATAGCAGGTTAGGTACTAGAACTCCTACGGAGTTCCATGTTGGTCTTTTTGGCCGTGTGGGAGGATGCTGAGTACCTAGGCGCCTTTTACATCGCCGCTATGGAAGGAGGCGGGACGCTACGGGATATGATATTTCCATGTCCGCAGGTACGGCTACCAGAGAGACCAACCACGCAAAACACCACGGTGCAACAATTGTTTTGTTACATAATTATAGTTTAAACTACATTTCTTAAGATTATATAAAAATTTTTTATTAAGTTTTTATTTATATATGATTAAGCTTATCATTCCTGCCTTACCAGATCAGATCTGCTATAAGAAGAGCTTATATAATATAAGAATTAAAATTTTATATACTCGCTCAGCTAAATCATGTGAAAACCTTATCTAGTATATAAATACCAAGGAATTTTTCTTATAGCAGGCCACTAAATCCTTACACCGGCTCAACTGCGACCCTCTCAGTTAAGCGAGATGCTGATTATCTTGGCGCTTAGTCAATTCTTACACCGCAGCAACTGCAACATATCATGATTATTGCGGCAGTTAAAAATTTCGCTGAAGGGCGAATTTTGCTGTAGCACGAGTTTACCGTAGTTGGGCGAGATGATGGACCGGCTTACCGAGTCCACTCCTGTAACATCTGATATCTGGCTGGATATTGTGTTGATTTCCTTTGCAAGACCTCGGAAAAGCGGCCCCCCCCCCCCCACCACAACCCTAGATACCTCAGGCAGCACATTTTCAATCAAAGTGGGGTCGTCTCCCGACGCGTCTCAACCGCGTAAATTGCCATTCAAGTTTCACGTGTTTACTTTCCTCTATCCAATACTTCAGCATCAAGCCAACGGTCCCTGAGCTAAGCTAGTCAAAGAACATTCTTTCATACTACTACTAGTGTATCAGTTCCTGGTAGCTCCTATCGCTAGCTTTTAACGTGCTGTACCCTGAAGCTGATAATTGGATCATATGTGACTTCAATCACAATGACCTCAGAAGGAGCTTCGCAAATTTCCATTGGCGCACTCAGGTGACTTCACTATACACATCCTTTGTACAGTCTAAAACTAATATTTTCGAGTGCCATCTTTGATGAAACCAAACCTCAAGTTTCGGAACCTATTGTTCAATGCGTTCAGATCAAGCCTTTGCCGCCCCAGCAAAATCAGGCGGAACGGTATAGGGCAGTTTTTAGTGACATATCAAATTATGTTCAAACAATGCTCGCAACACGTAAGTAAACGTTTTGGCGTAAACGCCCCGAATCCTATGGAGATGACAAAGTATATCTAATATTGATAACATTACCGCAGAAGCAAATCCACTCGTTACGAGTGGCCTCCTCCGCAAAGGATGTTTTGTTAAACTGAAGGCCTTTCAAGCAAACTCGGTCAAAGGGAAAAAGTTGGGTCTCGTTGACTTTCCAACAAGAGCAGAAAATGAGGAGAAAGCTAACCAACCCGTATTGTAGGATTCTTATCATCCTCGACCTTGAAGTTCTGCAAAATTTGGGCGAAGCCGAGAAAATTGGTGAACCGAAACCCCTAGAAAGCAAAGCGGACGAAGAAGACAAGCCTCAACCAACCACAATTTCTAGTCATGGGTTCTATGGATCGAGCATCCACGGTGCTCAAGTGCAAGGCAATGATCATACCCCACCGGCACGACCAACCGCAACCTCCGGGCATGCCACCATATATCCGATTGAGGCAATTTCTCCATATGCGCATAAATGGACCATCAAAGCCCGTTGTACCAGCAAATCGAACATCAAGACTTGGCACAACAGAAATGGAGAGGGTAAACTTTTCAGCGTCAACTTGCTGGATGACAGTGGAGAGATTCGTGCAACTGGATTCAATGATCAGTGTGACATGCTGTACAATGTTTTCCAGGAGGGCAGCGTCTACTACATCTCCAGCCCGTGTCGTGTTCAGATTGCTAAAAAGCAATTTACAAATCTCAATAACGATTATGAACTTACATTTGAAAGGGACACAGTTGTTGAAAAGGTTCGGCCCTTCCCTCCCTTATGTAACAACTATTGTGCTAACATTTGGATTAGGCGGAAGATCAGAGTGATGTTCCTCAAGTCCGATTCAATTTCACAGTCATAGGCGATCTCCAGTCTGTTGAAAAGGATAGCACTATTGACGTGATTGGAGTGCTCAAGGATATTGGTGAACCCTCTCAGATTGTGTCGAAGACCACAAACAAGCCGTACAACAAACGTGAACTTACATTGGTCGATAACACAGGCTTCTCTGTCCGCCTGACGGTCTGGGGATCCACGGCTATAAACTTCAGTGGTGCTCCTGAGTCTGTTGTAGCATTTAAAGGGGTCAAAGTCTCAGATTTTGGCGGCAGAAGTTTGAGTCTGTTGAGCTCAGGCTCAATGGCGGTCGACCCCGACATTGAAGAAGCCCATAAATTGAAGGGGTGGTATGATGCACAGGGCAGAGTTGAAGTCTTCACCTCACACGCTTCTGTGCTTGGTGCTTCCACATCCACATCGAAAGCTGAGCAATTCAAGACTGTTGCACAGGTTCGTGAGGAGCAGCTGGGCATGTCAGACGATGCTGTCTATTTCTCACTCAAAGCAACGGTTATCTATATTAAGCAAGATAACATGTGCTATCCTGCCTGTCTTTCAGATGGGTGTAACAAAAAGGTGACCGAGCTCGATCCTGGCCAATGGCGCTGCGAGCGCTGCGATAAAACCCACCCAAAGCCCGAGTATCGTTATATAATGCTTATTAATGTCAGCGACCATACCGGCCACCTCTGGCTCAGTTGCTTTGACGAGGTAGGCAGGTCAATGATGGGTGCTCCCGCGGATCATTTGATGCAATTGCGCCAAGATGAGAATGAGAAGACAATTGGGGACATATTCCAGGATGCCAATTGTAGGACCTGGAATTTCAGATGTAGAGCAAAGATCGACCATTTTGGTGATCAGCAGCGGTAAGTTGAACTATGGTATATTTCTATACGTCTGCTAATAGTTTCCAACTTCTAGCATCCGCTACCAGATATCCTCCGCCAAACCCATCAACTGCTCCGAGGAGGCTTCTCGCCTTGCGAATATGATCGAGAGCTATGGCATATGAATCCTTGATCTTTGATTCTCAAATTGACCGTACTGAATTCGCACATGCTTTACACATCCCCAAAAAAAAGTGTGCTAGCGGAAACTTTTCTGGTAGTTGTGAAATGATCTCTCGGTCATTCAGGACTCCCATCTTAAGGAAACGACTCGATTGATTAGCTGTTGGTAGCTCTGCCTAGCTTTGGTTTCAACACGGTTGATAATCTAGTACGCAAGAAAAATGACCCTCCAGTAAAGCATATAAATGTTGATTATGAACGTAGAAGGTCCAGAGGCCTTGATATACTGGGGAGCGCGTACTTATCCTTCTCAGAGTGAGTCGTGGGACGGTAATGATTCAAGGACGCGCAAGAATGGGTAGAGACACTCGATTACACGTCCTTGGTAGCTTTATATAGTATGTAACCTTGCGAGGTACCTTCAGCGATTCCCTCTGCAAGTAAATCCTCCTACTCCGGAGCATTGCCAAATACGGAATACGTCGTTCCTGTGATGACGTAACTGTCCTATGGATGTTATCCACGTAGACTCCCGTTCGCGTCTCCATATTCCTGCATAATAACACCCTCTACTCCATACTCGAAACCCGTGGAATTATTGCCCCGCATGGCAGATCTCATGAAAGCCGTTGGTCCGCTTTGTCCCAGCCACACACTTTCCGGGTTATCTACACATTTATGCGAATAGATATTGACGATCAACAGGTGTGAAGGGCTCCAAAGGGTCTGCCGATGCTCTATTCATCGACAGTATCCCGGTCCCTCAACCCGAAAATGGCCAGGCCCTGGTTAAAATCAAGGCATTCGGCTTGAATCGAATGGATCTTTTACAGCGTGAAGGAAAATACCCTGTCCCTCCCCAAGCGCCCAGCACCATGGGAGTTGAGTTTTCTGGTATCATCAAACAAATTGGCAAAAACGCCGAAAAGGATTTCAACGTGGATGATGAAGTTTTCGGCTTAGCTTATGGGGGTATGAATCAAACTTATTTGTTTCCGTAACTCTCTCAAGAGTGCCGTGCGACTGACCGTGTGAATTCACAGGCGCCTACGCCGAGTATATAGTTGTATCGACCCATATGTTGATACACAAACCTGTTGAGCTGTCCTGGGAGGAGACAGCAGGGATACCCGAGGTGAGAACGAACCAATTCCATGTCTTTGGATAACTACCAACCATGGTTTTCTGGGCCTTCTAGACATGGTTTACGGCTACGCAGGCCCTGTACTTGATCGGTGGTTTCAAGCCCGGAGATTCCGTTCTTTGGCATGCGGGGGCGTCATCGGTTTCTATAGCGGGAATCCAGCTCTGTAAGGCTGACGGCGCCTCCGCTGTTTATGTGACTGCGAGCTCGCCCGAAAAGATCGATTTCTGTGTCAATGAACTGGGAGCTTCGGTTGGGTACAACTATAAGACCCAAGATTGGGCATCTGAGGTTGTGAAAGAGACCGATCGCCGAGGTGTTGATCTTGTGATTGATTTCGTTGGCGCGACACACTTTCAAGGCAACCTTGATGTCGCCGCCCAGGATGCTCGCATCGTGCAGTTGGGACAAATGAGCGGGTCGATCCTTCCTGCGAATACCGACATCAGTGCTCTTTTGAGAAAAAGAGTGAGGTTAGAAGGTAGCACGCTACGAAGCAGAGATTTGGACTATCAGAAGAAGCTGCGTGACCTACTTGTTGATCATGCTTTGCCAAAATTCAAGGATGGAACCTTTAGGGTATTTGTTGAAAGAATATTCCGTCTTGAAGAAATTGCTGATGCGCACAAATTACTCGAGGCCAATGGTACAAAGGGTAAGATAATCTGCACAATTGACTAAGGGATAAAAGGTTTCTTTATTTCATTGCATCGTGTAATGAGCTCTGATCAGGGATTCGGCATTATCCTAGAGTGGAGAGAGGCCGCGTCAAGTCTTAGGGTACCAGGCATTCAGTAAATAAATGGATTCGCCGTTTTGATCTTTGTCTCTCTGGTTTTTTTTCCTTGTTTTTCTTTCTTCGCCGTTAGTACCTACCTACCTACTCGGAGTGCCGTTGGTAGTTAGGTACCTAGGTAGATACTCAGTGCCTGTTTCGCAAGACATTCATTCCATACTCCGTAGACTTTGGTAGCGAATCCGTTAATTGGTAGTCCCCAGAGCGGTGAATGCCGATGAGATCTACTACTGCGTACCTACGGAGTACAATAGCCGGCACTAAAGTCTGGTTTACCTAAGGAACTTTAGGTAAGTCCCATTAAAAAAAATTAAAAAAAAAAAAAAACCCTAACCGGTCTTTTTTCTTTAGGTGCATCTGACTTGACACCACAACCACATTGTGAACAAGAGGGATAATCATGGGAAAACGCACTCACCAGAATGAAGATGGCTCCCACGTTAGAGCGAAGAAAAAATCAAAGAGCAGCGTCTCTTCAGACAAGCACGACGTTCAGGCCGAATTACCTCCCAAGCGGGATGCTCCCATAGGTGATGATATACCTCAGGCAGAGATTGATCGTTTTCTCGAGGAGAATTCTATCAAGATTACTGACACGGTGCCTGAAAATGAGCCTCCCCGTCCAATTCTATCCTTTTCTCACCTCCCTCCTCATGACGGCGACCTCTACGGCCCTTTGAGTTCGTTTACCGCCCCAACAGCCATTCAGTCAACCACCTGGCCATTACTCTTTGCTGGCCGGGATGTCATTGGTATCGCGGAAACTGGAAGTGGAAAGACCATTGCCTTTGGCCTCCCATGCCTGAAGAAGATACAGGACTCTGTCAAAAAATCGAAAATCAAACCCGCCCGTCCTTTGGCCGTGATAATGTCTCCTACTCGAGAGCTGGCTCTACAGATATATGACCAGCTCCTGAAGTACACCAAGTCAACAGATATCCGATTGGCTTGTATTTATGGTGGCGTGAACAAGGATGAGCAGCGCGAGAACCTACAACGGGCGGCAGTTGTTGTTGCGACCCCCGGTAGACTAAAGGATCTTCAAAATGACGGGTCAGTGGATCTGGGAAAAGTCAAGTACCTTGTTCTGGATGAAGCCGATCGTATGCTTGATAAGGGTTTCGAACAGGATATCAAGGACATCATCCTTCCTATGCCCACCTCCCGACGTCAGACTGTTATGTTCACGGCAACCTGGCCCCCTGTTGTGAGAGACCTTGCGTCGACTTTCATGAATACCCCGGTGACTGTCACCATTGGTGGAGATCCGTCAGCCGACCCCAGAGCCAATTCGCGTATAAAACAAGTCGTGGAAGTGGTAAAACCGCATGAAAAAGAATCTCGACTTGTCCAGTTACTGAACCGTTGTCAGCGCGGGTCGAATCCGGATAAGGTTTTGGCCTTCTGCTTATACAAGAAGGAGGCAGTACGTATCGAAAGGCTCCTTCGCGCGAAAGGCTTTCGAGTCGCGGGTATCCATGGTGATTTGAACCAGCAAGAAAGATTCAAGAGCTTGGATGCTTTCAAGACTGGGAATGCTACCGTCCTCGTTGCAACTGATGTGGCAGCACGTGGTCTTGACATACCCTCAGTTAAACTTGTCATTAATGTTACATTCCCACTAACAGTGGAGGATTATGTGCATCGCATTGGCCGGTATGTTCGGTTTAATTGTACTTGATGAGCTGGCTAACCCATCCCTAGAACCGGTCGTGCTGGGGCCGAGGGCAACGCCGTAACTTTATTTACAGAAACCGACAAAGCCCAATCTGGCGCGTATGTAACCCAACATAGTAGGCTCTGCGTTGGTGTTCTGACTGATATCTCTTTAGGTTGATAAACGTGCTCAAGGCCGCGAATCAAGAAGTACCAGAGGATCTTCTTAAATTTGGCTCGACTGTTAAGAAGAAGCAACATGGTGCATATGGTGCATTCTTCAAGGATGTCGACTCCAGCAAGCCAGCCACGAAGATCGTGTTCGACGATTGAACTTGATCTCACTCCGTCTTTCCTCCTAATTTAGTCTTTTTGGTTGTTCGCCGGCCCTCGCCAATTTGTGCCAATAGAAACCTTCTCTCGAGGAATGCACTGTGTATATATATATATTTATATTAGAATGTTCGTTGTGTTCTGTTGGAACTTGACTCACACGAGCAGAGTATAACCAGTGCAGGTAATTAAGTCCTTGATGATGCCGTGGAAACCGTAACTAGCCTGTTCTTGTTCGGTTAATATCATTGATGCTATGACTGCCGAAATAAGGGTAAGCGGCCTGGGGCTGATTTCAGTGACAGCCAAGTTGGTATGATTATTGCGACATAGATATGATCGAATGAACAGGAGACTCCACGTTATACGGACCCCCATATTGAAGATATTGGCCCATACCAAGCCGCGAGCACCCATGTCACCAATTATTAAGAATGAGTATGCTGCTACAGCAAAGCATCCCGAAAAGACACCCATCCAGCGTGATTGTCTTCGCAAGTCCGAAGTACTTGCCGCAGATGAGACAAAGGCCTCTGTTATACCATTGAATGCAAGAAATGGTATGTAATAACAATAGAGAGACAGCAGACTATCAACTTCAGCAGAAGCCCATCTGCGTCCACCTAGTGCGTGGAGCACTCGGGGCACCATACACGGACCCAATGGCACAACTAAAGCACAGAAGAGCACGTATATCCGCAATATGTTGGTTAAATGTGCCCTGGCTGTGCCTACGGTATCCGGCCACCGATCGTTGCCCTTACCGCCATTCAAAAGGGAAGAAAAGACGGCCCGGCTGCTTTCTTCGATTGGCTGGAACACAATACGGGCTATGAGCCCCCCATAGTTGGACGCCAAAGAATAGATACCCTGATCTTGCAGGCTTGCCATCGCAGCCAGCATCATGGAATCTCCTTGTGTCAACAAGTGTTTGATGACGGATTGTAGGAAGATGGCTGCAAACAATGAAACTAGATGCCTGGGAAACCTGCCGAGTATGTAGGAAGAGTTGTTCCTGAATGCTGTTATCACGCGCAACTCTACTAGCTTGGTTGCACCGTTATCTTACCTTGAACTTATTAGTTTTGGAAGTAATGAAAACGACCTCTGGCCCGCGGAACTTAGTAAAGATATAGCGTAGCCACAGGTGAGTGTAGTTGCATAGCAGGCGTAGCCCAATGCAAATGGGAGGACACCAATATTGCGGCTTGCCCGGGCAGCCCATACAACAGAGCCGCACACTGCCAGACTCTTCGCCAGCGCTGCAGTCATCTCGACCAATGCTCGCTTTTTATAAAGCATGTGTTGCTGGATGATTGCAAAAAAGGGCTCGGAACACAGCTCAATAACCAACGCACAAGCGGTGAGAAGTATGCTTAGGTGATAAAACTGTGCCTGAGAGACACCATCAGGAGCCAATTGTATGTAGAAAGTGGTAGATACCACGGCTAGTGGGATCCCCAACCCGAGGCTCAAGTAGGACATGTTGATTACCGATTGAGAGGCCTCAAGTCGGGCTTCCGTGATTTCGCGGGTGTTTTGCGTCTGCGGGTGTCCGCTACCCTTCTCGCTGACGGCTCTGGCATATCCCAACGGCTGTCGCTGAATCGCAAGTCTAACTGCCTCCCTCGAGAAATACAGTATCGAGATAGAATAAAGCTCGAGCTGAGCCGCAATTCCCAGAGTTTCCGGGTGCAGCTTCCGTAGGATGAGTTGGTTTGACACAAAGGTAAACAGTTTGGAGATCACCTGGACTGCAATTAAGAGCGACGTTCTCGTAGCCGGAGACGCCACAACACTGTCCGCATTCCGGTCTGATCCTGGCATGTTGATGTAGTAGGACAAATCAGGTGCATTGAACACATATCCTCCGGAGTGGCTGGATGATGGAAGATCGGGCAACGGAGTAGGTGGCACTAAAGTGGCTGCGGGGACCGGAGTGGGCGGCGGCGGCACCAAATGGACCTCGGCAAGGAAAAGATATGGCTACGACGACGCAGTAAAACTTCTACACCAGGCTGTCCTCAAGATGCCTTGCATTTTGCTAGCTTGAAAGTTATATCCGAATCTAGAGTACCCCAAATACAGCTAGCCAGGCTCGAGCAATCACCAGTACTAACCCCATAGCCTGTCGGCGACTCCACGCGCCTCGAACAGCCAGGGGCATTGGACCTTAGAACGGCGGCAAAAAGAAAGGATATCCACCGTTCTTGGCCTTGAAAACACTCAGGAGGAAACTATACATACCAAGCAACACGGTTCCCCAGATAACCACGGCGACCTGCTGCGCCTTGTTATCCGCGATCCGAGGAACCTTCATCGCCAAGGCAATTGTGGCGAAGGAGAGGACGGCATCTTGAAAGACCACATATCAGCAACCCGGGATTTCCGCGAGCCCGCGCCTTTTCATTCTTTCTCTTCCTCCATTGAGGCGGGTGGGGATGGAGCCGAAACTTACAAATAGCAGCCACAATCTGCGTTTCCATTCCAAACTGATTGGAAAACCCGCCCGCGAAGTAACTGATGCCGCCTTTGCCGTCACCAACAACATACGGTACTTTACGAATATGGTTGAACATATGACCGCTAGTGAACAACAGGATGGCAATCAGACTGAATGCCGCCCACAAATTCCGATTTCGGATGATTGGTAGAACGTAAGGAGACAGGACAGTGAACATAGTCAACGCGCCCATCAGCAGCGTGACAGCAGATATCAGTCTCATGTAGTTGATGGGGCGGACGAGCGGTGGCTTCGAGCCGTCCGGCAGGTGTCGATTAATCCACGTGTACAATTGGTCGGCGGAAATCGGACTGTTACGGTCAGTAGAGAGCTCGCCCGGCGCAGGGTGCAGGTATTTCACTGTTGGTGTAGGCTTACCCGCTGAAGTCGAATCTTAGAGGGGAATCGTCCACCTTGGCAAAGGGACCAACGGTCGGAGGAAAAACCAGGACAACAGGAGCGGTTTGGAGCATCAACTTCATGAAAGCCACATGGATTAGTTTGCCAGCAGCCGAGCAGGCAGGTTAAGCACATACCTTTTGAAACGTAGCCTTGCCTTGGCTGAAATCCAGGGTAGCGAAGAGCAGCTTGAGCTCCTCGGGTTTTGAGCCTTTGTTCCAACTGCGGGCGATGAGCTCCCACTCCGGCTGGAAGTCGCGGCATAAGATGCATCCGTATCGCACATCCGTGGCCGTCAGGATAACTGCAACGTGATAGTCTCGGGGTTTCGAAGTCAAGTCCTCATACGACGAATCATCCAGATCAAGGGGCCTCTGGCGGGAAAGCGATTGGTATTTCTCAAACTTGCTGGGGTCCGCAGATGCGGCGAAGGCGCAGGTTACCACCCAAATAATTGTGACTATTGGAGTGAAGAGCTTCATGTTGACATGGCCAGGCAAGCTGAATACGGTGACGTAGAGGGAATTGTAAGACGCGCCCCGCCCACACACACACAGGGGGGAAGTTGAGTAGATGGAAGAAGAATGGAATGAAAGGGTGGGTTATGGTGCAAAGTAGTAAGTTACTATATTATTAGGTGTCCACTACTGGGTACTTGCTGCACGGCTCTCGCCCGGCGTTCCTCGCCGGGGAGTTGGACGGACTTATTTTCTTCCTTCCGATCCTCAGCGGACGAGGCATGTTTATTATTAGTTATAACTACCTCACTGACTAACACCCCCGACTCTCTTCTGTTCCCTCTTTCAAAGAAGCCCATGCCTGGTGCGTGTGCCTCTGTCTGATACGGTGGCTATTCATTATCACTGTATACTGCCATTGCCATGGAGCCGGCCAGTCATGACTTGGAGTGTACGGTGGACGATGTATGTACAGCATTTCAATCCCGAACGGTGAATGGGGCAAAGAATATAAAAAGAGAGGCCTAACTCAATCCATCAGTGCCAAATGGCCCTCAAAACCGTGCGTTTTGAAAGGGAGCTCCAGAATGCTTTCGGGAAGACCGCACAAATTCTAGAGACCGAGGGAGCGCGCATCAAGCGCGTCGAGCAGCTATTCCTTCAATTCGAAAACGAGAATTTGCGACTGCAGCTGGATCAGATAAACGCCAAGCTCAGCAAGGCCTTGAAAGCAGAGTCTGATGCTCGCTTTCAATTCCATGCAGCCTGTGACGAGCTTGATCATCTTCGGAGTTCCTCGCGCATCTCATCCAATGAGATAGAAGGCCTTCAGGTGCGTAGCCCTTCATTCTCCCCTTTAATGAACGACTCAGCCTGAACGTGGTGATAGCGCAAGCTTGCCTCACTAGGAAACGCCAATGCCGATTCTCAAAGGCTTGTTGCGGATAACATCCGCCTTTCCAAAAGTCTCGCGAGCATAAAGTTAGAGGTGGAAGCACTCAGGACCCAGGAGTCTTCTGGCCGTATTCCATTGGCAGAAAAACAAGATCTGGAGCGTCAGTTGCATTCACTCGAGCTAAGAATGGCGAATGAAAGAACCATCCATGAACACACGTTAGCTCGAGAATCGCAGCAAGCTACAGAGATCGAAGCACTGAATGCAAAACTGGAGGAACAAAGCCGGAGATTTGCAGAAGAGGTTCAGACGCGAAATCGCCGCGAACACGAGATTCATCAGCAGAGCCTTGAATGGACGACCCAGCGACTCTCCCTAGAAAAAAGACTTGAGACTTTAAGCCGGAAACTTCCGTCAACTAAAGACCCTCCCCAGGTAGCCTCGGATGGCAAACAGTGGACGCATGGAAGTTTGAACGGCCCAGAATCTCGTAACCCTATTCATCGAATTCATACCAACTCCCAACAGCCTGCCTCAAGGTTTAATGCAGAGCTTACCATTGCAACACCAGGGGCAATCCAAGCCCGAGAGAGGAAGAAGAAAACGGCGGCGCTACCCGGGGACAAGTCTTCATTTTCAATAACGCCCTTCTTAAACCGTACAGGCGGCCCCCCGGATTCTCCCATCAGTTCTGATGGTACAGATGAGCTTCATGCAAGCCAGACACATACCGGAAAAGATGCAATTTTCCCCAAAGCTAGCCCGGTCCACAACGGTGCTGATGATCAACCTCAAGCTCAGCCGACGTTGACCGGTAAACCAGTTCCTCGACTCGCGCAAAGACAACAGTCCGAACCCCCGACGTCGATTCCCAATGCCAGACTGAAAGCCAACCAGAAAGTTTCGAACAAATTAGATCCCGAGCGCTCGGCCGATGGGGTTTCTGCACTGGTGTCCCACCTGGCCACCCACACACAATCCAGGCCGAAGAAACGTAAACTAGGTGCACAGCGTGACAAGAATTTGTTCGAGGGAGACGATGAAGAGGATGAGCTACAGGAAATGAAAAAGCCGGGCCGCAAGCTTGCTTCCAGTAGTAACGCCGGCCAAAATGTTGGTCTTGATCCTGGGCCATTGTCCGCCTCCACCGGCAGCCATCTGTCGAGAAACCGCGGCTTTGGTGGATTTTCCGATTTCTCGCCTTTGAAACGCGATAAAAGACGGCCATGACGCCCGTCAATCGCCAGGAACGAGAAGAGAAGTGCAGTAAATTACATCCACGGAGCCTGGTTTGGCAAATCACATGTACATACCCGCAGAATGATAGCATTGCAGTAATTGTCGTTTAGGGTTGCTCATACCCCGGTGTCCGTGCCTTGGAGTAAGAAAGAACAGTCCCCACCAAAATTGGCTTGGGCTCCACATTCCGTTGCAGCAACGCCGTTATGACTCTCGGAAGCCGAAACACAACCCCCATGCAAGTCACAGCTTCCACTGCCGTCATGTCATGGTCCCCAAGCTTGCTCCAGCAACCTCGATGGCTCGGGGCTCGTCTTCCTCTCTTATCCACAAGATGGTCTTCCTCCAGGAGATGGCAAGCTCGTCAAACGAAGGACCATTTCACCAAGGAAGCAGCAGCTCAGGGCTTAAAAAGCCGAGCCGCCTTCAAGCTCTTACAGGTTTCCTTAGCCCATGACCCGATGCCCTAGTATATCAGTCAACTCTAACGGCTACTCCGGTAGATTGATGAAAAGTATCGTGTCTTCAAAAGCGGGCAAACCGTCGTCGATTTGGTATGATTAGACGCTTCATGACGGCGCGCTTTTGGCTTATGTAGTAAATTCTAGGGATATGCCCCTGGCTCCTGGTCTCAGGTGTGCTTGTTGCCTTTAGAATTAAACGTGGCTCCAGCTAAAGTTCTGCAAGATGGCTGTCATTCGTACGAAGCCAAACGGCCGCGTCCTGGGGGTCGACATCAGCCCCGCCCAGCCCCTGCACGGCGTGTCTGCAATACAGGGCAACTTCCTAGACCCTAAAGTCCAGGATCACGTCCAATGGCTTCTTAGGGGTCTGGATAGAGACAAGTCCTCTGCAATTAACAGCCGTGATACACGCCAAGATGACAGAGAAAGGACGGTAGACGTTGTACTAAGTGATATGTTTGCACCCCTTCTCCGAACCTCTTGAAACAGGCGTCCTAATACCCACAAATAGGATGATGAATACGAGTGGCATCAACTCAAAAGATCACACCGGAAGTATGGTGAGTGTTCCTCCTACCCTCAACATGCTTCGACTCTGACCTAATCGAGTCAAGGACCTCTGCCGTGCTGCATTGCTATTCAGCTCCAACGTTTTAAAAATAGGTGGTCACTTCATCTGTAAATTCTATCAAGGTGCTGAGGATCGTGACTTGGAAACCCAACTTAAAGGGCTGTTTGAGAAGGTACACAGAGTCAAGCCACCGTCGTCGCGCAACGTACGTATGAGATGATGAAATGAGAGTGATCTCGGGATAGTGTTACTGATTCGATGAGCAGGAATCCAAGGAGGCATTTTTTATTGGCCTCCGTCGCAAACAAACAACAAAACCCAACCCATTTACGGCAGCTGAAGACAAAAACATCATATAGCAGACACCCATGCACATTCTGAAATATGCCGGATAAAAATCTTGAGGTATTGATTGGCCTTAGACGGTCACTTATTCTTCTTCCGTTTCAGACAATTCATCCCATTCCATGTCGGCAATGGTTGCCTCGGCTTTTGATTGAACCTTGCGGCCGTTTAGTTATTGGGCTTGGGGGATTGACATGTAACAATGGGACGAATGAGGATGACTCACCTCCTTGAGCCCGCTTAATTCCTCGACATACCCGGGTTCATTTAATGCTTTCTGCACAAACTCCCAGCCTTGACTCTTATAGGCACGAACGATGTTGTCTGAACAAGCACTACAGCACGAGTAGCTCTTCCCCAAGATAGGAATGTTCTCAAAAGTCGAAAGAAACCCTCGGATTTGATGTGGCACTAGACCCAAGGGGTGGTCATTTTGATCATCACCCCGGGACACCGGGGCTGGGGCCGCAGCTCCGTCAGGGTGCTGGAGGAGCGAAACAAGCAGCTCGACTAAGAGGGCCGAGGCAATAGCAGCTACACCGGGCCGAGTAACTGTACATTGCTGATCAAGTGTCTGGTCTTTGACTGACTAGTCGAAACTTAGTTATACAGGCAGGCAAGTTTGCATGTGGATACTCACGTTCATCGGCGCCACCACATCGTTACAGAAATAACATCCCAGTTCTGCTGGTTGGTGTTCCTCGGTTTTAACACCATGGCGCATGACCACGTAAGAGTCAAAGCCTAGCGCTGCATTCATGACAATTTTGCCAGCCGCCTTCCCCATGACGGTTGGTAGCCAGCGCGACTCTCTTGTGTCCATAAGAAGGAAAACTACGTCGTGGTCATCTATTAGCTTGTGAAGGGTTTCAAAATCTGCCCGGGTCTGCTGAGCATCCACAACGGGGTGGCCAGCCATTGGCACCGAAAGAGTGTATCCGGTGGATTCAACGCCAGGGTATATCTCTGACAAGGCCTGGGAAGCCCGGTGTGCCTTTTTGGCACCCCCTTCCAAGCAGTCCGCAAAGTTGAAAAGTGGCTGCCTCACGGGGTTCGAAAATGACACAGATCCATTGTCCACAAACGTAATCTTAGTGACACCCCATCCCTAAAAGCTCCCGCGTTACATGACTGCGTCTCGGATGGAGGGAATCGGCAAACGTACCATCAGATTTCGGGCTACATAGCTCCCGAGGGTACCGGCACCAAGTAAAAGGCACCTAGTACGTTTGATTATGTCCAGGTCCAGCCTAGGGCTAATCCTCCATTTCATGAGCTTGAGATTGAGATCAACAGACTGGTCCGCTAATCTGACATCCATTGTAAAGGGAAGAAAGAAAGCCATGAGTGGTTAGTTTATTGAGGTTAGATCTCAGGAGATGTGGGCGGTTGTACCTTGTGGGATCCAAGTACTCTGTAAGATCAACCAATCTTCCCGTTAGCTTTCCCGTCGCATTGCGTTCCCAGCCAGTTACTTTTGGCATAAGATCGCTGTCTTTGTTCTGCAACTTTGCAGGATCCGTAGTCTGAGAACCCCGAGACTCCAACGCCATCACTATGCTGCGACCCTGCTCACACCTCGAACTTGCATCCCGATATCTCAGAATTTGGATTTTGTCAAGGCCCCAGCGATGTTTCGCAAGTACCAGGAGATTTCGGAGCATCCAACCGGGGGCATCCTCGTAATTCGAAGGATCCACGAAGCAAACAAAACAATCCTCAAAGCGCGCCCCATTGAAGAATCCGTTTTCATAGGCCGCAAGAGCTTCGATTTGCCAGCCGCTCGTCATATCAGCCATCGCAGAGTCTGTTTCGTTGTCGTGTCCAGCATTTCCGCTGCTCTCTCGCAGTCTGCGAGCCAAGAAAAACCCGTGCTGACGAGTGTCTACCCTGGAACTCCAGGCTTGCACCGCATCTGTGAGCGTCGAATTTTCAACATTTGGCAAGCGTTCGCCATGTTTGACACCCCATTGGCCCTTGTCTTGACCAGTGTTTTGCGTCGAAGGGCCTATTGTGACCCATGAGGGGTCTGAATGAAGTGCAGGAAAGGCAAACCAGTAGTGGAACTTGTATCTTTTGAGATCTGCATATGAGATGACCAGGAATGATGACAGTAAAGACGGATACGAGTAGATAGAACCGTCAATTATAGCATCCCAGATCTATGATTGCAGGAAAAGCGTTATTGCGGGTAGGATGTTAGAGGCGGGTTGACTGAACTCACTGTCCTGCCAGATTCTTGAAGAAGATGCACTTTGTCCGTGTTTCGGTATGCTTCGATGGTGTTGACATTTTTCATCGTTCCTTCGGCGCGATAGTAACCAGCTGGAACCCTACGGATGAAGCCATGGGTGAGCAACATGGACTATTCCAAGCCCAACCTGAAATACACCAGCGTTCCAAAGGTGTGAGTATTAGTTCGAAGGACGCACTCATCGCTAGTAAGAGCATTTCCGTGTACTTGCATCCGACACGAGGCATTCGGAGAGTCGGCGGAGCGGATCTCGTAGAGGCCTCGTATCTTCCGGGTAGAATCGTCAAGTTTGTCATGGTTGATTTTTAACGATGCCAAAGCAGTATAGAAGGGCAATTCTATGTCCGACGCAAATGGCGTATATTGCATATTGTTTTCTGGACCACTGGACGATCGAATCTTCTGTTTGGACATTAAGAGCAGAGGCAAGTTATTCTAGTTACAGGGCTTGGGGGAGCTGGCGACTTGACATCTATTCATCCCAGTCCTGTTAAAAAAATGAATGACCTTGTCATCTGAGCTCATCCAGGCGGAGTAGATAAGAGCACGCGGGGAACGAGAATTAGATAAGCGCCTACGGAGGTAAGACCGAAGTCGGAATGATCTCTGCGGTGTCGGTAAGATACCGATATGTATGGTAAGGTATTAAGCAATATGGTACGATGAACCTACGTACTGTACTGTACATACAACGTGGTACCTTTGTCCATACCTTACCATACATACATGTCAGGTACCGTATGTGGCGGGTATCCCAACCGCTTTCCAAATGAGGTTAGGAAGACTGTTTGGGGAGAAGAAATATCACCCATTCCATCTACGGAGTATTTATCGACTCTTTATTACCAGGCTTCCCTCCCTCTTTGTTCGCCTTGTCTCCTCGATAGAGGAGTGACTGATTGATTGCCTAAATTAGCGGGCACACCCGTAAGCTACCACCCCTCCAGCCAGGCTACCTATATCCTCTTGCTGTGTACTCGCCCACTGACTCGCGCATATGCTTGGAACTTAAGGTCAATGTTAGTTGGCTTATGTGGAGGTTAGCGGATTGTTGAACTGCTTTTGACTCCTGGATTACTCCGGAACATGGTGTAGACTAATTTTGGTGATTAAAAGGTATCTGCTCTGGCAAGCATGCCATCGCAGACTATCTCATTCATCATCAAGGTTTCAGGCTGCTTGAGTTGAAAAGTAGAACCGTCTCGCAGGCAGCCGATGATGCTGAGGCTAATGTCCAGCTGAAAACGCCCGACACTAAGGCGGGGTCACATATTCCGCCGTCACAGGTATTCGAAAGTGTAGACTCACTGCTTGAATTTGCCACCAAAAATTGGCAAGAGTTATGGGTCACGGCAGACATTTGGGAGGCTTCCACTCTGGACCACTTTCTCCAGCGGCCCTTTTTCCTTCTGGTGAGCGTCGATGCGCCGGTAAGCCTTCGATGGGAACGGTTTGTGGCTAGGTCGGCGACCCCCTGACCTTCAACTGCATGAATCTACCATACTGACTGGGTTTTCTCTCCAGGTGCCGAAGGAGACAACTTGAGCCTCCTGCTCTTGAACAGTTTGTCATTTGGAACGACCAACATTTATACAAAAAAGATGTTGGGCATGCTTATCTGACAGATCGAGCCCAGGTTCGGCTATTCAATTCCTCTTCTTCTCTCGAGGAGCTCCATGCTGCTCTCAAAGCTCTTAACCTAGCCGATGACCAACGCTTGCGGCCGAGTTGGGACCAATATTTCATGCAGCTAGCATCTCTTGCTGCACAGCGGAGTAATTGTATGAAGAGAAGAGTAGGCTGTGTCCTTGTCCGTGACCACCGTGTCATAAGCACGGGATATAATGGGACTCCGCGGCATATCACAAATTGCAACGAAGGAGGATGTATTTGCTCTCACCATAGTTCTCGCGTCCAGTTAAAACTTACCACTTGACTAGGTCCTAGATGCAACCGTGGCGAGGGCGGGGGTGTTGGGTTATCAACCTGCCTCTGCCTCCACGCAGAGGAAAACGCGCTCTTAGAGGCAGGAAGAGAGCGTATACGTGAGGGTGCAGTACTTTATTGCGATACGTAAGTCTCGAATGCCATTATGTCGGAAGATGTCGGCACATTACTGACCTAGGTCCATGGGAATGATAGTTGCCCCTGCTTAACGTGTACAGTCAAGATCACTCAGGTTGGAATCTCTGAGGTTGTCTACTCACAAGGATACAACATGGATCAAGATGTACGCTCTACCTCCCTCTTCCTCACAGCTTTTTCTCACCCACTGCAGAGTGCTGCAATTCTTAGAGCCGCCGGGATACGTCTTCGGCAATTCTCCCCTGTAAGCCGTTCCTAATGCTTCCCTCCAACGCTACTAAAACCATCTTAGCCTCAGAACGGACTCATCCATTTGGATTAAATTGCAAGGCGCGTTTAAAGGGTGTAACCTAGCATATCTACCACCTGTGATATTTGCAGTCATCGCAGTCAATATCTTAACTATATAGGCTTTCCTCAAGAAACCAATTCCCCAAGAGAAACCCTGTGTCTGCTGGTATTGTCTTTGGGTGGTGTGGTATCACGTATTATGCCGGTACCTTCACTGCCACCTCGGTACCCAAGGTACCTACAGGTAGTACCTAGGCAAAGTAGGAAAGTACTAGCTACAGGAAAGGTACCTAGCCTACTGATATTTACCTAGGTAGGCACCTTGGGTGCAGTAGGTAGGTATGTAGGGAGGTCGTACCGTACCATGGAACTTACCTACCTAGGTAGGAAGGTAAGGTAGTTAAGGTATCCTACATAAGATATTGTACATTACATACCTTAGGTATTAGGAACACGTAGGTATGGTACCAGGTATCTTACGAATGCGTGCTCCGTACACGGAGTACATCGTAGGTGAGGGGCGGGGAATAAAAAATTGCCCCGCCATGTGACTCAGCCGCCATACGGAATCAACTGCATTTTATTCACCAGGGATTAGAGACTATCACAATCTTAAAGAAGTACCGGCGTACCCTATAATCAAAAGAATTATATTATCTTAACATACTCTCTTCTTCTTTTGTTTATATTTTTTTTATCATTTTCTTCTACCTTTTAAAGCAGGGCACTGCAGTTCTGTCGCAATGCCAACTGTGCACCTGCTGGACTATGTTGCTGGGAATGTCCGTTCTCTGGTGAATGCAATCAATAAAGTTGGATATGATGTGGAATGGATTAGGTCTCCTGATGACTTGAAGAATGCGGAGGTGAGAGTGTATACTTGGCGTCAATGTCCTGACGTGACTTGGCCCTCACTAGCTAACCTATGAGCATTGCAGAAACTCATCCTGCCGGGTGTCGGTCACTTTGGCCATTGTCTCTCCCAACTTTCGGAAGGAGGGTACTTGGGGCCTATCAAACAGCATATAGAATCCGGCAAACCTTTCATGGGAATCTGTGTCGGGCTACAGGCCTTGTTTGATGGCTCAGAAGAGGACTCCCATGTTCCTGGACTGGGGCTGGTCCCAATGCACATGCAAAAATTCAACGCCGATACAAAGAGTGTGCCTCACATAGGGTGGAATTCCGCCATGGAAACCAAGTGTCATTCTTCGGGTGACCAAACTTTCTACGGATTAGATCCAACCAGCAAGTATTATTACGTCCATTCATACGCAGCATTCTATACACCCAGCGTGCTGGAGGCGCAGGGCTGGTCGGTTGCCACCGCAACCTATGGCAAAGAAGAATTTATCGGTGCTATAGCTCGGGATAATGTCTTCGCGACGCAATTCCACCCAGAGAAAAGTGGCAATGCTGGTCTACGAACCATTCGCGCCTTTCTTAATGGTGACCGGTTTCAGTCACTCGCTAGAGGACCCTCTCACTCACAGCAGCAAGATAATGGATTGACTCGCAGGATTATCGCCTGTTTAGATGTCCGTACAAATGATGCCGGCGATCTAGTAGTCACCAAGGGTGACCAATATGATGTCCGCGAGAAGAGCGGTGTAGATGCCGGCGGACAAGTTAGGAACCTGGGGAAGCCAGTTGATATGGCCAAAAAATACTACGAACAGGGGGCCGATGAGGTCACTTTTCTGAATATAACATCTTTCAGAAATTGCCCTTTGGCAGATACGCCTATGCTGGAGATTCTGAGAAGAACGTCAGAAACTGTTTTCGTGCCTCTTACTATAGGGGGTGGAATCAAGGAGACCGTGGATACCGATGGCACTCCCGTTTCAGCGCTCGATGTGGCAACTATGTATTTCAAATCCGGGGCTGACAAGGTTAGTATTGGGTCGGACGCCGTCATTGCAGCAGAGGAATTCTATAAAGCGGGAGGAAAATTGAGCGGACAAACAGCAATAGAGACAATATCACAGGCCTATGGAAACCAGGCTGTGGTTGTGAGTGTCGATCCCAAACGTGTCTATGTGTATCGACCTGAAGACACCAATCACCATACCATCAGGACGATGCACACAAATGCGGCAGGTCAGAACTTTTGCTGGTACCAGTGTACTATCAAGGGGGGCAGGGAAACTCGAGATGTTGATGTCCGACAGCTGGCGATAGCTGTGGAGGCCATGGGAGCCGGTGAAATCCTCCTGAATTGCATTGATAAGGACGGAAGCAACAGCGGATTTGATCTAGAACTTATTAACGATGTCAAAGCTGCTGTCAAGATACCAGTCATTGCTTCAAGCGGGGCTGGTGTTCCTGAACATTTTGCCGAGGTCTTCGAGCGCACAGCTACTGATGCAGCTCTGGGTGCTGGCATGGTAAGAGTTCTCCTGTCTTTTTTATGTGAGATTATTGTTCCCTTTATGCTAACAAAGCTGAAGTTTCATCGTGGCGAGTATACGGTGGATGAAGTTAAGGGGCACCTGAGTAACAGAGGATTTTCAGTCCGTTCTTTGGAAACTGAGATATGACATGCTATTCTGGCTTCAGGGTTAAATAGGGGGGGGGGGGGGGGGGCGGTCGTCTGAAAGTCAATAGGGTCCGGAAAGTGTGTTAAAAATAGAGTGAATTCCAGAGTTAATTACATATCAGAAACGTAGCTAAGCCACTGGTGCTTTGTCAATAATGGAACTATTCTAAAAGAATGATAAGTCTTTCATATCAACAATGACCTCAACAGCATGGCGTAGGATCGAAGAGCCGCCTCCCGTGTCCACGTGACACACCCGGTTGCCACCATCCACAACTGTGCGATCTCAGCCCAGCATCCCCGAGCCCCATCACCAACCTCGTTCACCCACACACCACCTCATTTACATCGTTGAAAACGCCAACCAATACGATCAACATTCACTCCAGCGTCCTCCATACTCCCAGTCTTACTCATAGTTTGAGACACGGTCTTTGGCTTCAAACACCCATTCATAATAACACCTACAGCTGATCATCTTCCTATCATCAACGGGGCCCGCATATTCTTTCACCTAGCCTTCCCTGGATCCAACTATCCTGGAGCATTGATGTGCATGGGGTTCTTCCGTTAAAGTGCATAGGGAGCTGGTTTTCGTCAGCACATGTTCTCAACGCAAGGATCAGGATCTCGATTCTACTTGGTGGAGTGGCAAGACCTTTGAGACTTCCTTTTGACTTATCTACTGCAAAGCCACCGGTTTTCCCGTTTTTGTAATCATCAGACTCGGCCTTGTTTGTATGCAGCGAAGGGCGCACCTGCCATTCAGCAATCATCAAGAAGAGTCTTATGAATTCACGAGTTCGAGCAATATCGTCGATAGATATTGGACTGTCGATCCTCAAGAATTTATAAAGGAAGGTTTTCGAGTCATTAAACTTGTCATCGGCGCTTTGCCAGCTTCTTAAGTATCAATTGTTATTTCCATTTCCTATACTGTCGCTTGTATCCTTCTCCATTGTCAAAGCGGTGCCCCTTAAATCTTGATCTAATTACATTCGCAAACATTTTCGTTGGCCGTGCAATTGAATACAATGTCATCCTCTGTTCACTTCAAGTTCAAGTCTCAGAAAGAACCCTCCAGGGTAACCTTTGATGGCACCGGTATCTCTGTCTTTGAATTGAAACGCGAGATCATCAATCAGAGTAGGCTCGGCGATGGAACTGACTTCGAGTTGTCGATATATAACGAGGATACTGGGGAAGGTGAGTCCTGTGAATTGAGCGATTCTCCCGCTTTGTTTCATCCTGTCAGGCCCGTGCAAAAAATGTATCCATAAAGCCTGCGAGCTCGTGGACCAGTAACCAGGCCATCGAAAAGAGTAGGGGGAAGGGAACAAATGGAACGAACCATGCAAGCTAACCAATATTCCTTGTCCTAGAATACGATGATGATACTACCATCATACCCCGTTCCACTGCTGTCATCGCCCGAAGGTTGCCTGCCTCCCGACCTGGGAAAGGTGGTGCTGCCCGCTATGTGTCGGGGAAAATGCCCGTGAATGCTAGGAACGCCCCTCGTCATGACCAGCCTTCGTCGACCCGAACAGCCTCTGGTCCTAGCAATACAGTCAGCAATGGTGTTCAGGAACTCAATAATGCTCAAACCGAGGAGGAGAAGATCAATGCGCTATTCAACCTGCAAGCTAACCAGTGGAGGGAGCAGCAACAGGAGATGGCGAAGTAAGTGTGTATTCTGGCGGCGTAAGGTCTAGAGAACTCACGGTTTTTTTTTTTTTCTTTCTTCCAGTGTCACGCCTGTCCCTTTTGGTCGGGGCAGAGGTAAACCAATCAATGTCCCTGATCATCCACCGCCACCCGGCTATCTTTGCTACCGATGTCGAGAAAAAGGTGTGTCTCCTCGTGCGTCGTGTTTCGACCACAGGCTAATTCATTTACAGGACACTGGATCCAAGCGTGTCCAACAAATAATGACCCGAAATTTGATGGGAAGTACAGGGTCAAGAGATCCACTGGTATCCCTCGCTCTCTCCAGACCAAGGTCGAGAAGCCGGAGACAATCGCCATGGATGGGTCTAGTGAAGACATGAGAAATACTGGTGTGATGGTCAACGCTGACGGAGACTTTGTCATCGCAAAGCCAGACAAGGCAGCGTGGGAGCTCTACCAAGAGAAGGCCAAAGCGTCCGCCGCCGCCGCCGCCGAGGCAGCAGCAGCAGAATACAGCAAAGAGCTGCAAGCTCGAGGGTTGGAATGCCCCATTGACAAACGGATGCTCTTAGAGCCCACGAAAACTCCATGCTGCCAAAGAACCTACTGCAATGATTGCATTACGAATGCCTTAATAGAGAGCGATTTCGTCTGTCCTGGATGTTCCACGGAGGGAGTCTTACTCGATAATCTCTCCGCGGACGACCAGGCCGTTGCCAAGATAAAGGCCTATGAGACCGAAAAGGCAGAGTCCAAAAAGGAAAAGGAAAAGCAAATTTCTCACGAGGGCCTACCAACAAATATGAGTTCTGCTCCAGGCGATGCCGCAGTCACGATACCTGCCCCGACTCTACCTAGCCAAGGGGCACAGGTAGACTCGAAAAAGAGACATGCCGAAGCTGAGCATTCCGGTACGGCTGCCGAAGAACCCAATGCGAACACTTCGTCAAAGAAACTCAAAACCGACAACATTCAAGCGACCGGCGAGATGCGCACTTCGCAGAACCAAAATCTCAATGGTTCTTCTTCGGCTCTACCTTTCGGCCAGCAGATGTCTTTCCCCGGCCTCGGTTTCATGCAGGCTCCCGGTATTCCCGCGATGTCGTTTCCTGACCCTGGGTACGTTGAGGATGGAATGGGGTTTATAAACAACCCAATGGGTTTAAATCCGACCGCCAACTTCCCGAATGCCATGGATCAAGCCTGGAACCCCATGAACACACTAGGCTTCAATTCCCTTCAAGGTGGGCCTTACGGTGACGCTGTAAGTGGCGCAATGCACGGTGGATACGGTGCGGCTGGTATGTATAATGATGTTGGAGATACGCCTAGTAATATGTTCCCCATGTCTACAATGATGGCACATAACCCTGGGTTTTCCCAGGGACCGGGCATGGGTCATTTCTCGAACCAGCAGCGAACCACGTTCAGCACCCCGTATGCGAGGGAAGAGGATACGGCTTACTTTCGCCAACCTGTCAATCCTCAGAGACACCAGGCAAGACACCGGAGGATAAGACCCAGTGATTATCGAGAGCTTTGAACTGACAGAATTCCGTGGCAATTCTTACAAATGGGTAGGTGCCTCTCGGGCACTCTTGGTTTGCGCCGTGCGATGGTGGTGTATGTTTTATCTTCTGTACAACTTATCTTCCTGTAACATTTCGACTCTTGCATGCATGTCTTGACAAGAATACTGCCGGGTCACCCGACACCACATTGGGAAAGTATCTGCGTTGGGTCTTCTTCTAGCTACGGTTGTTGTCATTGTCATTGCTTTTATAGTTAATTGGGAAGGTGGGTAGGGTGAACAAACCATTAAAAAAAAAAAAGCAAGAAAGAAAGAAAGAAAGAAACAATAGAAGAAAATCATAACAAAAAAGAGGGCCATCACCAACTAACTGATTAGTTAACTGGTTAATTTTCATGCATTTGTAATTAGTCAAGAGTGCCTTTCTTAGGATGTATTGTGCCTGGAACATTGATGATAGTCAGGTGATATATCATGTTGTGGCGGATCCTCGACCCCCGAACTTCCGACTTGCTGACTCCTACCTCTTATGATCTAAAGCAAGTTCACCCAAAACGCCATTCATAAAACCCGACAGTAACCATAACAACGCCTTTCCCTCGAACTCTGCAGGTCATCTCTTTTACCTCATCGATCAGTTGTTGGACTAGTCTAGATCGCAGTTGCCTTTCTGACTTATTCAACCACCCGACTTAAACCAGTCTCGCGAAATTTTACCCATCAATCATCAGCCTAAGGCAGCCCTCATAATGGCCAAGCTTTTGAATAACCACAGTAGTATCTCTAATCAGTTACAACGGTCTTCCAATATGAATCCTCAATCCACCATACTCGCAAGCTGCTACAGTGTCAACACAACGACTCCGGTGGTTGATGGGTTTCACTACTGCACTACGTTGGGGGCTGGTAAGTAGCACGTCATTGAACCCTATAATCTATGTAGATGCTATCGACGGCATGCTGATGTTGCATGGTCCCCCATCAATTAGGAGCACAGTGGCATCCCTGAGGTTCCCTCAGGGTCGAAAACTCCTATCCAAAGCCCTCCCCCGGAGCCCTGTCTCAACCCCGAGACTGGGCGTGGCTTTCCGGTTGCTAATTCACCGGAACATAGAGGGGAGGCCGCGCAAACCATCCCGGAAGAGTGTGAGAGGCTCTTTTGCGACAAACTGTCTGCTATTTTCCTTGGTGAGGGGAGAATTTCGAGACAGGAGTCGCTGGGGGTGGGTGCGCACCCGACCAGTTCAAACGATTACTCGGGGCGCGAGCATAGACAAATTCAAACCTGGTTCGAAGTACTGGATTACACAAGTGATTGCGTATACCGAGGATTTGTCACCGATATGAATGATGACGAGCGAACACTCTTCGTATTCTTCGGGCACGATGAACTAGGACAAGGTCTCAAAACAGGGTACGTGGATGAAAGGACTGTTATGTGTGCCTGACGCGCTCTTTCTATTCTACATACATACTCGACCCAGATGCTCACAGCCAACAGTCTCATAGCTCTTTTCGAGCTGGCCAATATTTCTAGCTTTGCTTGTTCACAGATTGTGGCATGCGTTCCTCGCTCCCAAGATGCAACCGAGCTCGCGGTCATCAGGAACTTAGGATGGTGCGGGTTTGCCCTGTCGACATTGCAGCCCTGGTGTGACGAACATATATCTGAACCTTGCCTGAGTACCCGATGGCTATTCTTGAGCGCCGAAGTTTGATTTGATTTGATTCGATTTGATTTGATTTCCCCCCCTCCTTCTCCATCATCCCACGTAGTAGCTACTAAGCTAAGAATAGCCGGGTGGTGCCAAGACCCACCCCGGCGGTGCATGACCTCAGCGTGACACACGTAGCCAGGAAGCTTTGCACGTTCCCCATCCTTCCAAGTCCTCCTACGGATTTCTCCGTAATCTTTTTGTGACCCATTCCGTACTTGCCCGAGTAGGCATCTTCAATACCAGGTGTTCCTATGTTCCCCAAGTTCCTGCTCCCACCTTTCCGCCGCAGGGAGCACGGCGTGGGCTGGTCGTCGGTGAAGATAGACTCCAGATCCTCAATGGATAACGGCAGAGCCGACGCCAAATACTTGAAAGGCCATGTTTCTTATATTCGCTGCTCCCGCTGCGCAACGGACCTGTGCTTGACCTCCCAGATCATCAGTAAGGGTTTCACTGGCCGTCATGGACGCGCATATCTGGTGTCTGCCGAACCAGAGGCCTGCGCCGTTTCGGTGAACGCAACATCATCGCCGACAGTTTCGCTTCCGAATACCATCATTCAAAAGCCTGTGCCGCGCCAGCTTGTCACCGGGTCCCACACGGTCAGCGATATTACTTGTGCCTTCTGTGGAAGCGTTCTTGGTTGGAAATATGTTGCAGCCGAAGAGGAATCACAGCGTTACAAAGTCGGCAAGTTCATTCTGGAAACTAGGAGGATCATGACAGCGTCATCTTGGGAGTCTGCAACTTATGTTGACTCGCCGGCACTCCCCAAATCACCGGGAGCCGCGGATATAGAACCGAAAGCGTCAGAAGTTCCCGTGGAATTCGACAGCCAAGATGAAGACGAATGCGAGGATTTGTTTGCGGGAATCTGGAGCCCTGGTTTGGCTGTATGCCGGAGAAGCCGCAAACTCGATCGGCCGTCGGTTTTTGGTCTCAGCTCCCCTTAGATCCCTATCTGGCCAGCGCTACACCTAAGCCGTCATAATCGGCTCTACTTGTTCATGCCAACGAGCTCATGGTTCTCGGTATATATACTAATTTGCTGATTGTCCCAACTTCGGGGTATCATGGTTAATAGTAATGGTAGTGATAATGACTAGGATGAATGCCAAAGAATCAAATCTTTAACGGTACAAGAATGCTGGGGGTATCGTTGTTTGAACCTTTCATCCTGCCATGACAGTGCAAGCCAATATCATTCATTGTGCCCGTATGTATGTGTTCTGCATAGGTCAACTATTGTTTGCGGGTGAACCAGGGGCAGGATTAATTGGGAGAGAATCGGATTAAGCAAACCCACGAAACGTAACTGACCATGGATTGGAACGGAACATGATCACAGATACACAATGACCATGGTGTTCCAGGAGCCCCGATCAATCAACTGTATTGCTACCCTTTCGTGTCCTTTTTGCATTGCCTTCAGGGCTCCCTTCATGAGCCAGACGCTTGTGTGGCAAGTCATTTCGATGAGATGCCTGGCCATCGGCTGGCTTCCGCTTGACAAAGGCAGACAGGTCGTTGGCATTTTTTGTAACGGTATCCAGTTTTGCCTGTTTCTCGGAAGGAGATTGCCCCATCATTTGGCCTAGAAGGCCCTTGAGGACCGCTTCACCTTTCTCATCGTCTTCAAATGAGACTGGTCGGCTGCGAATATCGACGAGCTGCAAGACAGTAAGACTTCTATTCGATAGCAGGAAAGACCTCGAGATAAGGGGGACATGAAATAAAACTTACTCTTTGCTCCATATCAGCTATGATTTCTTTCACATTGGCTATTTTTCTTTTCATAGCCGTGGTTTTGTCTTCATCTCGAGAGCTTTCGCAATCAAGTTTGGCCTGCTCCTGAGCCATTCTAACACGGCAGCTTTCAATAGCCTTTTCCATCTGGAATGCTGCGTCCTTCCTCATTTCCTCATCAATCTGGCCACGCTGATCCTGATTCTCCTCGCCTTCGAGATCATCGTTTCCCTTTTGGACCGATGCAAACTCCAAGGCAAGTGAGAGTTTGTAGTGGCATTCGGCAATAGAGGGGTCTTCTATTGAGAATAAAGCCTGGCGCAGACCAAGGGCAGTTTTCAGGTCGGCAACTGCATCCATGAATCGTTCGGCTTCCAAGGAAATTTCCGCCTGTAAATCATACGTATCGGCAAGCCTCTCCTTCAGGTGGCGGAGGGTTGGCGATAGGTCGGTCGACTTTCCTTTCCCGCTTTCGTCATCGATCGAGGTGAGTTTCTTGTGGTAAAGTATGCGGGCCAGATCAAGAACTTCAAAAGCATTGGCAAAATCGTCATCGTCATCGGCGTTATTGGCTTCTTGACCATTGTCTTCTTCTTCCGAATCCGAGTCGTCGAAGTTTTCGTCACCGGTGAACTGGAAAAACGGCTTGTTCTCAGCCGATCCAGAGGGCGCATTGTCTGCGACCGCTCCCTTCGGCGCCAATCCACTAGCGATTGCTCTTTCAATGGGGTTCTCGCCACTCATCGTTGCTGTCTCTTGGGCTGATGCGCTTGGCTGGGACTTGGTTTCACCGGCCACCTTGGAGCCAAGGACGTCGCTCTTGCTCACGGCAACATTGTAGAGGGCTTTGCCGTAGGCGAATAAGAGGTCGGCGTTGTCCAGTGACAATTCCCCGTTCAGCCTGGCTTGAAGCTCGGTAGCCTCGGAATAAATCTCGGCCGCAGAATCGAAATCTTTCAGGGCATCTTTGGCAGCGGCTCGCTCAATCAGGCTCTCTAGCTGCGCACGAGGGGTTTCAGGCGGGGCACCGGGTTGAGTCGGGTTGGCGTTCTTTTGAACATCCTCGGCCATGGTGGGAACTATTGGAAGGGCGATTCGATCTATTCAAAGGGGGGGAGGAGGTGGAGGAGGAAGACGGAGGGACGGACAGGCTGGGGGTTTGCGGAAGGAAAGAAGACTGGAAGTTCTGGAACCGTCGCGGGTCGCGTCGCGTGGCTCCGCGTCTTGGCTCTTAACTTTACCTAACAAGTTAAATTAATGAATGCCCTGGACTCCTAACTCTACCACTCCGTTCATTTGCTCCTGGGAAGGAGCAGGCCCAGAACATGGATTCAGACCCTGTCCCTTCGTCGTCACCGGCCTTTGGGACGCCGGTGCATCCTTTTCGAAAGAACAAGCCCAATCCGCTGTCTACCAGGACTTCGATCCTTCCGATTCTACTCCCGTCCTCAACTCTTCGACCTGTCGCTTTCCGTACCTTCACCCGGAAACATAACCTGACAATATCATCCGCTGCACTTCAGACTCTCGCCACTTTCGTGGGTAAGAACTGTGGCTCGGGATGGCGCGAAGAAGGCCTTGCGGAGCGAGTTCTCGACGAGGTCGCGAAAAGCTGGAAAAAGGCCGGGGGTGGGGTTATTGTTGAAGAGGGAAAGGGGGCATCCTTGAAGGCTATCTTGCAGGCTCTGGAAGGGAACATGAGTGGTGGCAGGGTCGTCCTAGGTAGAGTCCCCACCGCCGACACCAGCCTGACGGGGATAGCAGGTCGAAATGGAAAGACGATGCCCTCCCCCTCGGCATTACAAGATGAAAAGGAGGATGAGGATATGGAGCTATTGCTTCATCCTCGACATTGGACTAGGATTGTTGATGCATTCGACATTCCACGCTTGACCTACAATGCCGACAAAAGATATTTCGAGATCGTCAAGTCGGAACCGAGCCTCTTCCCATCACCGGCACGGAACATTACTCTGTTTCGGGATCGTTACAACATCATATACCAGCGTTTGCTTCGGAATGAATCATTCCAAACGTCTCTCGGCTTGCCAACCGCGCCTTCTTCGCGACAGCAATGCTATCGGCTCACACCTATTGCGAATCTGCTCGGCAGAAATGGCACCTCCCATTTACTGCTAGGGTTACTTTCTGTATCGCCTACGGGTGAACTCACTCTCAGCGATCTCACAGGCAGTATTGCCGTGGAACTGAGTCATGCACACCTAATACCCGAGGATGGGGCTTGGTTTGCTCCGGGTATGATTGTTCTCGTAGATGGCATCTACGAGGAGGAAGAGAACATCAAAGGGTCAACACTGGGTGGAAACAGCGGAATCGGCGGCACCATCGGGGGTAGGTTTGTTGGTGTTTCCATCTGCGGACCGCCCTGTGAGCGGCGGGATACGTCTTTTGGGACCAGTGTCCGGGAAGGTGGCGGCGAAGTCAGCTCCAGTGGAGGGCTTGGGTGGGTTGACTTCCTAGGTCTTGGGAGTGAGCGTGCCCGAGGCCCACGCATGAGACAGGTTCAGGCTAGATGTCTTGAGCATGTGCGCGATGGCTTTGAACCCCCGAATCGATTCAAGTTGGCCGTCATGTCCGAGGTGAACCTAGACAATATGAAGGTTGCGGATGCGCTCCGAAGACTTTTTGGGATTTACAACGACCTCCCTCCTGGTGAGCGCCCAATGGTTTTCATTCTCATTGGGAACTTCGTCCGGCAAGCCACGGTCAGTGGCGGCGGTCAGGCTGGGAGCATTGAGTATAAGGAGTATTTCGATTCGCTCGCAGGGATTTTGTCCGATTTCCCTTCATTATTACAGCGCTCTACGTTCGTTTTTGTACCAGGCGACAATGACCCTTGGTCGTCTGCCTTCTCGGCTGGCGCTGCTTCTCCCGTTCCCCGACAAGCAATCCCCGAGCTTTTCACCTCGAGGATAAGGCGTGCTTTCGCTACGGCTAATGCCGAGTCGGATCATTCCCAGGGTGCTGAGCCTGTCGGCGAGGCTATTTGGACCTCGAACCCATCCCGTCTCACTCTTTTCGGGCCGGTTCATGACATTGCCATATTTCGCGACGACGTTTCCGGCAGGCTCAGACGTTGCTCGCTGGGCGTGTCGCAAAATGCAGAGCATTCCGGTACAGCAATGGACGGGGACTTGGAGAGTAGATTACATCCTGCGCCTGAAGGCAATGGGGAGACCCGTCCAGCAAATGTCAAATCCCATCCGGCTTCGGCGCTTCGAATGGCCCGCAAACTTGTCAAAACAATTCTAGATCAGGGTACTCTTTCACCCTTCCCTCTTTCGCTGCGGCCCGTGCTTTGGGATCACGCATCCTCGTTGCAATTGTATCCACTACCAACCGGGCTCATTCTAGCGGACGCCGAGGCGGCACCGTTTTGTATGACATATGAAGGATGTCATGTGATGAACCCTGGGAAGTTGATTCCTGAGATCAATTTGCCTTACATGCAATGGGTCGAATATGATGCTCTGAAGAATCGAGGGAGAGTAAGAGAAGAACGCTACTAGATCACCTCTCCATGCGTCTGCCACCGGGCCTGATGTGTAAACACAGATTACGTATCTAATGAATGACTATTGTTACCTATGATCATGAGAAGCTACTTTGATTTTGGATAATTGGAATATGCTCGTAATCAAACATCTGATTTAATAGTCTAGTTGTCGAATTTAATCCATGTGTTCCTCTCCACTACTCCTCCATCTTTGTTTACATGGGGTAAAAGAGGCGACAGTTTACGTGGAGGTGAAATAAGGACAAATGGGCTCCAACCAGCTACTGATGCAACGTGCAGCACACAACCAAGCCATCATATCTGTGGTATTAAGGGGAAAGAGACACTATTTGACAAATACTTAAAGATACATCTGCCCACCCATCAAGTTGCATGATGTACGACCAAAAAGCGGTTTTGAGACAGAGGCGAACACATTCATTCATTCCTCAATCAATCATGATTATATCTGCATTAGATGACCCGGAGGCAGCATCGGTCTCGGGGGGTACATTCTTGTTGCTCATTCTGGTGACCGGTACAGCCGGCATCGCAGGCCCATTTCCTGTGTTTTCAGAGCCAGCCTGCTCACTGGCTCGGGGCTGTATCGAATCGCCTGAGCCAGCTGCTTTTGCTTCGAGATCATATTTTGTTGCCAAATTGTTTCGACCGCTGGTAAGCCATCTGTCAAGCTCTAATATGAAGTTCCCAACCTTTTCAGCCTCAGCGACGACCCCACTCCCGAGTCCTTTCCACCCGTCCCCCTTGGAGTTGAATAGTCTAGTTTTAAAATCAGACTCGAGCGGTTTATTAGCAGAGGGGTCCTGCGGACTATTCACGTCACGGAGGATCCAGACCATTTGGGTTTTGTGACCGCCGGATTTTAATTGAAAGCGCACATTCTGGTTTGGATAGTGAATAATGAAAGTGCTTGCATTGCGGACAATCACCTGCATCTTCAGGTGCTCTTGGTGAAATCGGTTGGTCGTGGTCAGGTCGAAAGCTTGCATGAGGGGCAGTGTAAGCGAAAGAAGTTCCGTGACAGTGTCGATGCTGGTGTCGGCAGAGGAATTATTCAGAATGGATGTTAAGGGTCCCTGGATGCGGCGATGAGGATTTGCACAACCAAAATTTATACTCAGGTGCAAATAGAACATGGGATGTGTTTGAGATGAAACATCGGCGGGATCTGCATTTGTGCGAGAGAGCGTTTGAATATCAATGTGAGAGGATAGACTCCTTTCGGGGCCATATGCGAAAGCAATCCGTGACAAAGACAAAGACTGTGGAGCCATCCTTCTGCGTTGAAGAGTCTCGAAGATCGACAAAACACATTCAAGTCGCTGCAAATTTTCCATCAGGCTAATAATCACCGGACGGCCAGGTGGAGCAAGAAGACGAATAGCAAAGCCACGGCCTCGTCGCAAGAAGACTAATGAGCGATCCCACTTCGTGCTCAACGAACTAAAAGCCTTTGCAGGAATAAGTAAACTGCCGTAGGCCACCATTATGGCGACTTTGCTACGGGGTTCAACCCCATGGAAAGCAAGGCGGATCGTATCCTTAATCAAGCCCTTTGTCTTTGACCCACCAGGTAACGCTAGCTGGAATGACGATGGGAGGCTTGCTGGGTTATACCGAATGTAAACGTCTGGGACTTGAAAACCCGATCCCAAGGCCAACTTATGCAAAGGTGGACGGAAAGAGAAAGACTGCAAGCCTGCCATATAGCGCGCATTGGCATAAATAGCCAAGATACCGGAAAGACAGTGCCCTATATCGGCAAAGGACGCGTAGCTGATCTGCTCTTGCAAAGGAAACAGGGTTCTGCTGATAATCTGGGCCGTGCGAGGCATAGACTGATCCAGCGTTCCGATGTCGTGTGTTGGAGGTCCCTCTGTCGACGTCGGTGGCAAAAGTTGAATTACCCACCAGTTATCGCCATCCATGCTACTTGTAGCTGCCACAATCCAGTTGCGCTCCCAAAATGGGTGCCAGAAGAATGAAAACCGTATAACGTTGACCGGAAACACTCTTCGGACATCAATTTTAAGCCCTCTTGGATTGACGGGCTCGAAGCCAAGCAGTCTGACATGGGTTTCGATCTCTTCAATAGCCGCAATACAACGCAGCCGAGAGACACGGGAAACAATATCATCGGCCGTCGTTCTTTCGGGGCTTCTCTCGCCTTCCGGTCGTTCAAGAGCACTAGGCCGAGCCGATAGAACTATCGCCCCTGACATAGGTTCAATAGAAACCCGGAGATACCTTGAGGAGGTGAGCTGAACATCGAGTTGACAATCCCCGGGCTCGATTCCAGTCAGCTGAGTTTGCAAATTGAGCATCCCAGCTGCGAAAAGAAAGCTCTGGCTCAGTATGTTATGCGCAGAAAACAGAATATGAGACGTATGCAGTGCAATAACGCTTCGGAGGGCGCTTTCCATGGAAAGGTTGACGGTGTCAAACTCAACATCAGCACTGTCGATCTCTTGTCCATCTCGTAACCAACGCAGTCCCAAATATGGAATACCGTGGCTGTGGCCTAGACTTCGCCGGTGACCCCTCTTTACCCCTATCTCAAGCCAGCTCTTTGTACCAGACTTGAGAGCCCAGTAGTGCACAACCAGCGTTCTGTGCAACAATTCAATGCGCAAAACATTTGACCAGAGGCCTCTTGCCAATTCAAGGGCTTGCTTAAACAGGATGTTGATCTTATTAGTCAGTACCAGACTATGAAGAAGATCAAAGCACCCAGTCAAGCCACCATTCCTAAGGGTGTCATTGATTTTGCTTTCGAGGTCGTTGAACATCCGGCCTTGTGGAACCGATGCTGACGGGTGGAAAAGGAAGCGAATGTCAACAAAATAGAACTGAGAGGATTCATCCGCTTCCCCTATCGAAAGATCGAGCTCAAACTCGCCAAGTACAATGAATGTGACACGGCCATCATGGATATGAAAAGTTTGAAGGGGTCGGGGAACGATGTCACATAATGATAGTCGCGCGCTAAGGATTCTGTCGATTTTTCTTAGTTTTTTGAGGGTGCACTTGGCCGTCAAAGGTCTTGGGGGTTTGTAGCCAGGCTACATGATCGTGAGTTAGGATCAACTTGAGCTCAGTAGTAGGGATGGGAATGAAACACACATCTGGCATTGACATGATTTTGGCCTTTGACAAGACTTCCAATGCCGTTTTTAGATCCGGATTTGCCACCTGAGCCTGGACGAGATTCCGCTTCAAATCCCCGATCCACTGCAAAGCAGATACATAGGATTGGTGACGAGAGCGAATGAAGTTTTGTAAGTCAATTAGCTTACTGACATCAGCCGCCTGTCGGCTCCACTGTGAGAGAACGAGGAGTTTTATAAATTCAGCTCGTTTGGCATGAGCGAATTCTAGAACTCGAACTTTCTTCTGTATATTTTCGGAAGACTGGTTTCCCGATAGTTTTCCATTGGCGGGTATCGCGAGCGTGTTGCCATCGTGAGACGGAATCTGGATCTCTGCCAATTCCGTTATCAAGTCAGACAGATCGTTCCAGCACTGCTGCACAGATCTGTTGACCAAAGTCGAGAATGGGAAAAAGCCCTGAGTTATATGCGGCAGGTCTGGAACCCTGCCATTCACCCTCAACGCAAATTTGGTCGAAGGTGCCTTGTGTTCCCGGTTTCCATGGCCTGCTCCCTGAGACACCCCGTTCGTATAGGCAGGACTCTTATTTAGACCAGCAGGCATTGCTCCTTGGTTGGTACCACCAGGAGAAGTGGACATGCCATTCCTGGCATCTGTTCCCTGCTCAGCTCTAACGATACTAGCATTGTCCATGATGACGCCCGGCATATCTGGGCTCGCGCTCGCAGCTATCCCAAAACCCCCCTCCTTTCACACCCTGGACGGTTCCGAATAATCCGACAACTAAAATGCTTGTACAAGCCCCCTCAAGCCGGCGCTGAGGCAAGAAAGAAAGCCGACGGCACACTCTTGGCTCCGAGGGGTTCAGTGTGGTGCCATATGTCCGTCAACGGGCGCGAGCAATCGGGTCTCAAGGCAGCTGTCGAGGTGTATGTTTAAGATTTCTTTCGAAGACAGCGCAATGTCGACAGCGCAGTGCCCTTGTTGAAAGGTATGTGGGTGTGTTGTCGCAGGTACGAAGTACAAGGTATTGGAAGGCGGGAAAAAAAAAAGCTCTTCGGAGGTAGTTAGTTATAACGGTTAGCACCGACAATGACTTGAGACTAAGACGAATATCCGAGCAGATGAAGCGATTGCAACTGAAAAAGGGCTTTGATCCTAAGCCTAGAAAATGCAGGGTAGGCAAGGCTTTGCGCTTTCAAGAAGATCTCCGGAGGTATGGAAGGGGATATCTATGAAGAACACAAAGGCGGGGGGCTTGAATAGTATTAAGATGCTTGCTGGAATATAACAAAACATTGATAGGATTCAGTTTCTTTTCTGCAGAAGCATGGGGGAAGAGGCATTTATAAAGAGCGTGTGTGTTGTTTGAAGAAGGCTTATCGGACAATGGATTTAACAATGATTCAAGAAGCCCGCGGATGGATGCGACGCAAATGCACAAGCCCGGGCTGTCAGCCTCAGTGGCTGGTGGTTGGTGCCCTGATGCCTGCTTACAACCCAGTACCCGGTAATTGATACAGTACGACACAGTACGACACAGGACACAGAGATAGAACTTACCTTACAGTACAGAGCATTGCTTACCGGTGCATACCCGGTATATTACTACCTAGGTACCTAAGGTAGGCACTAGCGTGTAACGTGCCATGTAGTTTGTCATGCTTTCCAGAGTCACAAGGCCCGACTTCTAGCTCCGTGCGACCTTCTGCGTTCTTATTGACAGCCACTGCCTTTTCCCCTACACATATATATCAGGCTGTGAAATAACTTTCTGTCCTTCAAAAACCCACTTCCGGACAAATGCAGATTATTTTCTGACTTGGTCGATTGTCCTTTCCCTCATACCAGGAATCCTACCGAACTACCGACTCGACTGGCCTCTGCTCCACAGCCCTCCGCGGACGAATCAGACGGATATTTCGGCATTTCGACACAACGACCCAGAGTTGCGGCCTTTTTGATATGAAAGCGGAGCTTGACTAGAGCGGTTCTCAATATGTGGGAAGATGAAAGCGTCGAAATAAACTTGCGCCCTCGATATCCCGGCGATGATACACGACGTACGAGTAACAAAGAGCTTGCCGGGTGGCTCAGTTATAGCTGGGCAGCTGAGGTTTTCGCGGTGTGCGCTATGGGTATGAAAGGGCTTTCATACGGACCAATGAATCATGCTGAAAGCTAATGCTCGTCCCACAGGGTCGTTTCTTCCTATTACTTTAGAGCAGATGGCTCGTGACCGCGGTGTCCTTCTATCCGACAAAGTGACTCCATGTAGCGTGAACTGGAAAGTCCCTCAGCAGCCATCATTGCTTGACCCGTGGAGCTATACTCTCAGTACTGATGCGAGCGAGAGCCGCAAAATCCCAATTGCTGGTCAGTGCATCGTAAGAATTCTTGGTGTCGAGATCAACACGGCAAGCTTTGCTATGTACACATTTTCTTTAAGTGTCTTCGTGCAGTCAATGTTGATCATATCTATGTCGGGTGCTGCGGACCATGGAAGCTATCGCAAAACGCTTCTGGTTACGTTTGCTCTTATTGGCTCTGTGACTACAATGCTGTTTCTCGGGACTGTGCCAGAGCTTTACATTCTTGGGGGTCTGTTCGGAGTAGTGGCAAACACTTGTTTTGGGGCATCATTCGTTCTTTTGAATTCTTTTTTGCCCTTGCTAGTTCGCCATCATTCTTCTGTGCTTCGAACTGCTGAGGCCGAGGCTTCTTACGCCTCACCCGGAGAAGATCGGCCTTTTCAGGATAGCGATTGTCAGAATGTCACTGACGCGACCACTCCCCTTCTCCAACCTAGTCAGCCTGGCGTTGACACTAATAGTTTGGAGGGTCACCACCCAGTACCCGCAGACACCTCGCAGGCACTAGAGCTCTCAACCAAGATATCTTCACATGGGATAGGGATCGGATATATTGGCTCTGTGATATTACAATTGATTTGCATCCTCGTTGTTGTCGCCACAAAGCAAACCACCTTTTCGCTGCGTCTTGTCCTCTTTCTCATTGGGCTTTGGTGGTTTCTTTTCACCATTCCTGCCGGACTTTGGCTTCGTCCGCGCCCAGGACCACCTCTTCCTCATGACGAAGGGAAGCACCATCGCTCTTGGATTGGCTACGTGGCCTTTGCCTGGAAGTCCCTTGGTCGCACTGCTATGCGAACTCGACATCTGAAAGACATACTGTTGTTCCTAGCAGCTTGGTTCCTACTGAGCGATGGAATTGCTACAGTTAGTGGAACTGCTGTCCTTTTTGCCAAAACCCAGCTTGACATGCAGCCTGCAGCACTGGGCATGATTAATGTTGTGACAATGGTTGCAGGGGTGTTTGGTGCTTTCTCCTGGGGCTATATATCACGTCTGTTTGGCCTGCGTGCTTCTCAAACCATAATTGCATGTATAATCTTGTTTGAAGTTGTGCCGCTCTATGGTCTTTTGGGATTTATCCCGGCAATCAAAAACTTGGGTTATCTTGGCCTCCAGCAACCCTGGGAGATGTTTCCCCTCGGTGTAGTTTATGGCCTTGTTATGGGTGGCTTGTCGTCATATTGTCGAAGTTTCTTTGGAGAGCTCATCCCCCCTGGCTACGAGACAGCATTCTTTGCTCTTTATGCTATCACCGACAAGGGCTCTAGTATTTTTGGGCCCGCTATCGTGGGAATCATCACCGACCGGTACGGTGAGATCCGGCCTGCATTCGTCTTCCTTGCAATCTTGATTTTGCTCCCACTGCCGTTAATGCTCCTAGTTGACGTCGATCGAGGTAAACGAGATGCCTATGCACTTTCTGCGGAACTAGAGGGCCACTCCACACCGGACACACCTTGCTATGGCACAATCCCACAAGGTCAATCAGATAATGGAGAGGCTATGACACACGCCGAGTAATGGAAACGGGGGAAACATGTCCACATGATCATCATCCATAGTCTGTTCACCGTGACTGTCCCTTGGTAGAAACCTCTGTAGTGAATAGCCATCAGGACACGTTGCCTATCATGAGTCCCTCTGCATGTATGCTGTTTCTTGCTAGTCGAACTGCTACCTACGCACTGAATAGAGGAAGGTGTTCGAAATCTGAAGTCTGCTGTTTGGGCCTCCGTCGTAGGGCGAGCTCCAGCAAGAAAGGTTAGTGGCGGTGGTTTGAAGGAAAATCTGATATCCTCATGATATCTGAGATGGTGGATAATAGTGTACGTCTTTGGGAGGCAAGGGTATCATTTGCCTAATCCCTTGCGTTAGCTCTGCACCAAGGTAGAGTGGGCTGTACTCATACTATACAAGGTAGTACTTAGCTAGCAGGTAGGTAAGGTAAGGTGTCTAAGAGGCATAAGGATGTGTACGTACTACGCATGTATGCACTACGGAGTATGTATGCCAGGTAGGTATCCACCGTGTAGATCAGTGAGCATGGATTTAGTTTCATGATCAGCACCGGTTCTTGCTCCACCTACTCAGGCGGCGAATCGACAGTACGGTACTGTGCATACGCAGCACGTCCATATGTACAGTACCTACCTACCTAGGTAGGTAAGGTATGTTAGGTACCGTAGGTACGCGGTACAGAGTGATCCATTGTATGAGGTATGTACCACCTAGTAAGGTGGTAGGTACCTTACCTTACCTTATGCACGAGCGCGATGCACCTGGTACAGTACAGTACATCTGTCCAATGAGCACCTAGGTATTTTACTGTGCGGTGTAGGTACTATACCTAGGCAACTACAAGGTAGTACCGAGCCCATTCTAGGTACATAGGTACCTAGCTGTCTACTAGTACATACCTACTTGCTAGGTAGGTAGGTAGGCATGTATGTTGTATGTACCTAGGGAGTATGAAGTAGGTACCCAGCAGTCCCGTGAGTTGGAGAGACCACCAAGGTATCATACTCCGTAAGTATACAACGCAGTAGGTACCACCTTTAGAGATACAGTACCTGCGGGTCAGGTAAGTTTAGGTAGGTGACCAGGTAGCGAATGCCCTAGCTACCTCTACCTAAGGTACCTACCTAGGTAAAGTGTCCCTTGCTGTACCTGACTACCGGGCGCCGCCCCTCCCAAGCATGAACCAGTCAGATTAGCTAAACGGCAGAAAGAACAAACTGTCCTTAACTAGTCCATACAATACTTAACAGGCCTTCTCACCTTTGCATTCATCATCCTCCTCTTACCTCCCCCCCCACCCCTTCCTCCTTCTTTTTATACCCTGCTCTCTCAGCTTTGTTAATTTCCTGCGCTTGTTCTGGTAAACCGCTGTTGCCACAGGACAAGGAACTGATAATTCTCTTATCTGATATTCTGAATTCTTGTCAACTCAACGTTGATTCTGGTCTCTTGTGATATCAACACAAGATGCGATCTTTCACACCTTGGGTCCTGGGCCTCTTGGGCGCTTCTGCTGTGGTGTCTGCCGGTGATGCTCAAGCTGATGTCCCGTCTGACGTGAAGTCATTGACCCAGGACACCTTCAATGATTTCATCAAGGAGCATGATTTGGTGTTGGCGGAGTTTTTTGCACCATGGTGCGGTCACTGCAAGGCCCTAGCCCCAAAATATGAGGAAGCCGCCTCTCAGTTGAAAGACAAGAACATCCCGCTGGTCAAGATTGATTGTACTGAAGAGGAAGAGCTTTGCCGGGATCAGGGCGTGGAGGGCTATCCCACCTTGAAGATCTTCCGAGGTGTTGACTCGAGCAAGCCTTACCAGGGAGCTCGGCAGACTGAATCGTGAGTTACAATGCCATTTTTTGCTTCCATATGCTGCCTGGGTGACAGTGCTAACCTTTCAAAGTCTCGTTTCATACATGATCAAGCAGTCCCTCCCAGCGGTTTCCAGTGTCAACGAAGAAAACCTCGAGGATACTAAGACCATGGATAAAATCGTTGTGATCGGCTATTTCTCGTCCGACGACCAAGCAGCCAACGACGCGTTCAACGCCTTGGCAGAGGCGCAGAGGGACAACTACCTCTTCGCTGCAACGGACGATGCGGCTATCGCGAAGGCAGAGGGCGTCGAGCAACCCTCTCTCGTCCTTTACAAAGACTTCGATGAGAAGAAAGCTATCTACACGGGCGAAATCGAGCAGGACGCTGTTCTGACTTGGGTGAAGACTGCTAGTACGCCTCTTGTCGGTGAGATTGGTCCCGAGACCTACTCTAGTTACATCACGGTAAGCCATGCCCGTCGTTAGATGACTTTTGTGATCCTTTACGGAGGCTATGTGCCCAGTGGTGCTTTTGACCTTCGTTCTGGTCGAAGGACAAAAATGCTGACCAAAGGGATATCTGACAGGCCGGCATTCCCCTCGCCTACATCTTTGCGGAAACTTCCGAGGAGCGTGAGAAGTTTACTGAGGACTTCAAACCGATCGCCGAGAAGCACAAGGGCCTTATTAACATTGCTACGATTGACGCCAAAATGTTTGGAGCTCACGCTGGAAACCTCAACCTTGACCCTCAGACCTTCCCCGCATTTGCCATTCAAGACCCCGAGAAGAAGGCCAAGTATCCTTATGACCAGTCCAAGGAGATCACGGCCAAGGACGTCGGCAAGTTCATTCAGGATGTTCTCGGCGGCAAGGTCGAGCCCAGCATCAAATCCGAGCCAATCCCTGAGAGCCAGGAGGGCCCTGTGACAGTTGTCGTGGCCCACTCTTACAAGGAGCTTGTCGTCGACAACGAGAAGGATGTTCTTCTTGAATTCTATGCGCCGTGGTGCGGACACTGCAAAGCGTAAGCCCATTCACCATGCATGGAAATAATCATTTGGTTTTGACTATTGCTAATGGCTCGAATAGTCTCGCTCCCAAGTACGAAGAACTCGCCAGCCTCTATGCCGATGTTCCCGATCTTGCGTCCAAGGTCACCATTGCCAAGATTGATGCGACAGCCAACGATGTCCCGGACTCGATTACAGGATTCCCCACAATCAAGCTCTACCCTGCCGGCGGCAAAGACGCCCCTGTTGAATACGCTGGGTCGCGCACTGTGGAAGACCTTGTCAATTTCGTGAAGGAGAATGGCCAGCACAAAGTTGATGCTCTTGCCAACACCCAGGAAGGTGGCGATGCTACCGAAAGCCCTTCCGCTTCGAGCGAGACTGAGGCTCCTGCCGCCACTGATGACAAGGCTGACCACGACGAACTGTAAAGTTGATAAATTTTATGAGATCTATAATCTTCAAATTGAACGTCGCTCTGGAATTGTTTTTGCGGTTACAAATGCTTCCCCGCCGGCTTAGATCATGCTGTTTGCTGCGAAAGTATTCATGGTTGTAGATCCTCCACCCGTACTTTCATGCAGTTTTCAAGGTCCTCCGACCAGGCGGCTTCCTGAATTCTTCCTCTTGACCTCGTGGAGATAGGCTGGTAGACGCTAGGGCAGCAACAAAATCACCATGCAAACCACCGGTAGTTAAAAGGTAGTAAATTTTTTAGACGGGCTCTTTGCCTTCTCCGAGGGGAAACTATTAACTACATTCGTAAGGATAGGCTACGTCAATTCCGCCCAACGAAATGACAAATACCAGATACTAAAGGAAATATGTACCACCTGCATAGCCTGCAGCACTCGAGGACAACACGATATTATCCCCACCCCTCAATCAGTTGTCTCCGCTGCTGCTAGAGCCTCCAAGGCGTCGACATCATCTTCAAACTCGTCAGCCGCTAGAGGGTTGGTCAGTTGTGGTGCATCGCTTTCCGGCTCCTCCGATGACATGGGCGCAGATTCTTTCGCTGTAAGTCTTTTTGTCTTGTTATCAATGGCGACAGAGGGGCTCTGAATTTCGACAAAAGGAGAGGTCGTCCTAACATTCGACGTCAAGCTCCAATCAATGACTTCGTCGGCTCCATACCGTTCGGCCAGCCACTCGTTGCATCTCTTGAAGTGTTGGTTGACGAACTGAATTCAATTTATCAGATTGGCACGATTCAAGTCAAGGAGTCACAAGTGGTATCAAGGGGGCATGGGGGAAGAAAAGGGATGCAAGGAAGCTGACACGGCACTCACAAAGCCCCTGGATGCGCTCAACGGACTGGGATGGACCGATTGTAGCACGCAATGCTTCTGTCGGTTGATGCCCGACACACGCTTGCCTGCTGGGTTTCCCCACGCAAGGAACACAACCCCGTGGGTTCGCACCCGTGCTACTAGGTCGATGGCTTTTTGAGTGAGCCGCTCCCACCCTTTGTTGGCATGGCTGGCAGCCTGGTGCGCGCGAACCGTCAAGCAGGTATTAAGCATTAGGACTCCACGTTCCGCCCACGGGGTTAGCAAGCCACCTTTGTTCGGCGGCCGTTGGAAGGAAGGATAATCATTCTTTATTCCTGTGTAGATATTGACGAGAGATGGGGGGGCCGGAGTGGGAGGCCGAACAGAGAACGCCAGGCCGTGAGCCTGGTTGTGGTTGTGGTAGGGATCTTGTCCAATTATGACTGCTTTCACTTTGTGTAGAGGTGTATGACGGGACCTAAGCGCAGGCATCAGCAATGCTGAGTGGAGGCATGGCATGGCTACAGGGGTGTGCACTCTACCAGGAATAGATCTCGTTTTCAGGTGGGAAGACTTTGACCCCCGACTGTTTTTCTTTCCGGAGAAACTGCTTCAACGCAAGAAACTCTGGCGTGACCAGTTCGTCTTTTAGTTGTGCCAACCAGCTATCATCCAAGGTATCAATCTCGAGCTGAAGGAGCTCCGCTTGTTCCGGAGTTAACGACGCGACCCATTTCTGCTTATTGAAAGTCGACGGACGCGGAGGTACTGTTGACGAGTTGGGTTCAGCCGTCTTGACTTTGGTCTTCGGGGGACCAAAGAATGATGTGATGCTGCCATTACCCTTGGGTTTCTTCGAGTCGACTGCCGGGGCTGTCAGATGATTGGCATTGCGTTTCACACCTGTCGGGCTGGCCATGTTGCAACGGAGGACGTGACGGAGAGGCGAATAGCTGATATCTGTGATTAAGAGATGGCACAATCACGATATCAGCAAAATGATCGTTGGGGGCTGATGTATGGAGTGGTGGATGACTGCCATCCATCCCTACATAGTAAGTGACCTATCGATCGGTAGGTACGCGTCGCGCGTCGCGCGTCCGGAAAGCTTTGGTGGGGCTTGCGGCTGTAACCAGGTATTCTGAAGCAGCTACAGCCAAGTAATGCTATTACCCTGGTTCTTGTTTCATTAAAACACTAGCACTAACCCCCACATACCCCAGATAAAAATTGTGGTAAAAAAGAAATACTAATCATACCAATGCCTAATCTCAGAAACACACTCAAAATCCCAAATAAGTCCCTAACGGACCTCTAATAAGTTGAAGTTATCAAAGAGAGTGTGTATTTCGGAAATAAACTGCTATACTCCGTAGATTTTGCTAGTTCCATGCGGCTGCCCGCCTCTATACCGCCTTCTAAAATAAATGATGGGCCGTCCCGACTGGGGATGGTACATACATACCTGTGCTTTGCTGGGTACTTACGGTACGGAGTACGGAGTGTACGGGTAGTGGGTACACACGCCCCATACATACATACGTATGTATGTACCTAACTATCCGCAATACTCTTAAGGGGGTACCTACTAGGTATGGGTGTTGTACTGTATCTACTTTACCCACCGATAGAACCCGGTATTACTTCTAGCAATCCTATCTTCACTTTGTCAATAATATATACTACCTGACCGCAGGACGTCATGGAGCTCACCTGGCTTGCCAATACTCCGCAGTCTCGTCGTCGAACTAGAGCACCACGTGCATGCGCTCCCTGCCAGCGCAAAAAGGTTGGTTCATTGCTTCCTCCGACTGCATCCCCTCATATCTATTCACCTTGATATATACCTACATGTTTCATCGACGCCTACGGAGACATATCCCTGTTCGTCCCACTTACAGGGTAACTGAAGGCCTGGAAGCTAATATAGCAATGGCTACGATCCCAAACAGAAGCGCTGCCGCCATCTGAGCACTGACCTTGGCCTGAACCAGGCCCGGTTCCATCCCAACCACCTCGGGGAACATGGGCCCGGTATATACAACCAACCGACATCCACTTCCTCAATTGGCGAGGCGCAAGTTGACACTATGACGCCTGACATGAGGCTCTCAAAACCCCTGGACACAGAACGTTTTGTTGGGGATCTCAACCCAGAAGCTGTAATTCGGGAAAAGTTAGACGTCACCGCTGAGAACCATCTTCGTGACCGGATCGGACTCTGGATCAACCCGTCTGCTATGCAAGGCGATGAAGGGGCCCGGAATCACGCCTCCAGAGTTTTTCCTAAACGCTCGCCTGCAGTAGAATCGCAGACCGTGGCGTCTTTTTCACAATGTCGACATATGTCTGTCACAAGGGCCTTCGAGCGCCTCCCCCTCGCAACTCAAAGTCGATTGATTCCGATCTACTTCTCCAAGGTCAATCATATCCTCCCACTTGTTGATCAAAAGTCTTTCGCCTGCGCCCACGCAGCGGGAACGACGTCTGTGTTCTTAGAAAGAGCCATGTGTCTTGTTGCCGCGAAAGATAGCGCAGCTCATCCCCACCTTCGTCTGGCGATCAACGGCCCTCTCCTTTCACCCCGGGCATTCTGCTCCGAAATTTACAATGGGCTCGTTTTCGTAATGAACGATGGGCTTGAGTCTGACCGGATTACTCGGATCCGCGCATTGGCGCTCATGTCTTTACATTGCGAAGGCTACGAAGGAGCAGAGGCTGCCTCTATGCATATCTGTCAGGCGATCCACCAGGCGCAGACGGTAGGATTGCATCTCGATAGACCAGGCCGGGTCTCAAAAGATCCTCTTTCGGATTTGTTTTGGTGCCTATGGACCCTGGACAAGATGCATGCATCCATAGGGGGCCGGCCCGTGCTTCTCGCAGACCGCGATATTGGTATCAAGAAGCCCGCATGGGAGAATCTCCAGGCTAGAACCGCATTTGATGTTTGGCTCGCTATCACAGAGTTACTTTCGAGCGTGATCTCATTATATAGGCCAACCGCAGATCCCACAGTGGGCTGGGAGACAGGATTTCCAACGTTTGAAGAAACAATCGGTGATAATGTACGAGACGACCTAGACTTTGATACACTTGGTACGCCTTTGTTTTCTTCCTTTCTTCAAGACAATTCGCATGTCGTCTCTTTAGCGTCTTCTAACACAAACCTAATGTCAATGTGACGTGAGTAGGTCTCCTTGAGCTTTTTTACCACGCAGTTGGGATTCTGTCCTGTAGATATAAGCCGTCCGAACGCCCGGACGCCTCCAAACCATCCTATACTCGCCAGAACCTCGCAGCCATTCGAATCTGCTCCATTGCGGCCACGGAATGCGGTCGGACGCTACCCCCACTACCAATCGTCCCGTACGCACTAGCGCTGTCGATGGGCGTCTCGTATCAGCAGTTGCGGTCGAGCAAACTGATTACTCATTTTGACCGAGCCAGGGCTAGTCTAGAAGCCTGTTGCTCTCTGCTAGAAGACATAGGAAGCTGTTGGTACTCCGCCGAGGCAATGGCACGGCTGGGGCGAAAGGCATTGCATCAAATCCAGGAGGTGAGATCTGATCCCGGACAGCGTAGACGGGACCTGAAGTCGCAGGCGGAATCTCAGACCGACCAGCCAGAGACATCCGCTTCATGCCCGTCACTTCCGACTCATGAAGGCGCTTGTTGTGTCGGTGACGCGCCTCCCATCTCGTCGACACCCGGCCCTGGCGATCCTTCGGGCGCCAATGGTGCCCAGAGTATGGTGTCGGGTGGATTTGCCGACATTGACATCCTCTTCGGAGACTTTCTGGACCTCTCCTTACCCACGAACTTTTGGGATCCGGTGTTCTTCTCGGACACCCACACTCATACGTGACCCATCGACCGGCCAGTGTTTACGGAGTAATCGGAGTCCCGCAGGTATAATCCTCTCCATTAAGCATAAGGCATCGGGATACGGCCTAGGGCCCCCCTTCCGGGTCCAAAAATTACCCACCCGCCCAAGTGGCCCATCCGCCCGTCTCGCCTTGAATCGACGGTCTCGATCGAACTCTTTTGTTCGCTCGCTTGACACGCCACGACTCAACGATCAACGACCAACACATAGCTTTTCTTCTCAGGCCCCATTGTCCCAATCCCCTCACCCCCCCCCCCTCCTCTTCTTTTTTTTTTTTTTTTAACCTTGGGCATCGCCTATCATTCCCCCGTTCGATTCCATCTTTTTGTTTCTTCTGGCCTTTCCTTTCAAAAATTCGAACGATTATTACCCTCGACTTTCCCGTCCTTGTATGATCAAATCTCCGAAGATCAGCCCTTTGTCTATCTATGCTTTCCCTCCAGGCTTCCCTCGTGTGTTGCGTCAATTTTATCTCGTGGAATGTGACTGGCTCGAGTTGTAACCAAGCCTGATGGATCTTGAATGCGTGTCATTAAGTTAGAGTCCGCCTTCGCAAAAGCAATTGGTCGCATTGCCCGTCCGCCCTGTTATGCGCAGGTGGAAGGCCCCCAGGATCTGGAAAGTTGGATAGAGGAGAAACCCCGGCGACAATAGGTAGCCTCGCCTATCGGTCCGTTGCCCATTCATGGCTCTAGCATCCAGTGACCCCGAGCCACCTGCAGCCTTCGCCGGTGCAGAAACCGAAGATGACCACGCTGCGCCCAGTAAACATCATGGCCGGGCCCCCGTCCACCCTATTTCCCAGCTTCAGGGTCCTTTTGAGGAGTCAATGCTTGAGGCTGGCAAAGGCGCCCGAAGCGAATGGGTGGTGGAGCTGGATGCTCAGTCCCGGCGCAAGGATCTGCTCGAATCTGCCGAGTATGAACGGCTCTGCGGCCGTAAATGGCGCCAAAGGGCTGGCGAAAGGCAAGCAAATGGCCACCTTCTAAAAGCACGAGGCATCGATGGAACCGACAACTGACCGCCGGTAGATATCACCCATTTTGGAAGCTTATCTCCCAAATGTCGTTCGGCATTAGTCTCTTGACCAAACGATTGGCCAAGTCAGATGTGGAGGTTTTGAGAATCCTCCAGGCTCACGTTGATGAGATGGACGGGTTTTTGGGAAGAACAACGGAGGATTTTCTCTTAATCCAGGTTGATGTGCGCACTCGGATCCAGTATCTCAGTCTCCCACTAGGGAATCTAGAAATTTTCGACGAGATGCTTAATGACCGCCAGTTCCGCTCTGCCATGATCAGTTATAATGAAAAGATTGAGTTTGCCGTCGATCGCTTTACCCAAGCCGTCAAGGACGCCCTCAAAGACATACAGAAAGGAAAGGCGGCAGTTGGTGCTCTCTGGCAGTACCTCGGGGACTCGGCAACGAAAAATGCTCCTTTACCTAAAAATATCGCCGCTGTATACAATGCGATGCTGGCGAATACGGAGGGGTGGAATGTCGCTCTCTCTAAACTCCGCCGAAAAGGTGTTGCCCTCGAGTCTGCACTTTTGCAGCTGGGCCTGACTATAACCGAAATGCAACGTCGCGTGGGCGTGGCAAGCAGGAAGGAGGTAGTAAGTTTCCCTTCAGTCTTTCCCCAGAATAACATACTTGCGCCTAGTTCCTGACGCAATGCGATAGGTATCCTTGATGCATTCGTCTAGCGCTTCCCCCGGAGGCAAACGGCTTCGAGATCGACTTTTTGAGAGAGGACTGTCCATTGGAGCCCCGCCGCCCTCGATCCCAGAGAAGCCTCTCCCAAGTGACCCAGGGCTCCAGGCGACAACGGCCATGCCGCCCTTGCCCAAGCAAGCTGACCCTCGCCGAATCCTGCGAAAGAGTGTTCCAAATCTGCGAGCCGCCAAATCGTCCGACAATAATTACCCCAGGGCAAAATCAATAAATGGTTTCGTGGGCAATGCAAATGTCATACCTTCAGCCTCTAAACTGGGACGCTCAAGCAGTCGATTTTCAAAAACCAAACCCACCCCCAAGCCGGAGGACCGCCAAAACGAGGGTGTCAAAATAGCACCAACGCGACCTGCCACGGCGCCTTCTAGAACATTGCGAGCGCGAAGTACGTCATTCGAACAATTGAAAGCTTTTTGTAAATACAGAAAAGATCAGCAGCAGAACGTGATGCTGCCACAAGCGCGGCCCGAGTCCCGAAGACCCTTGACAGCGCAGGCGTCGGCCAGAGGCGAGACTATGAAAGAGCAGCTCCTGCAATATATCAAAGGGGATCGGGTGACGGACGCGTGGGAGAGCCGGCCCCAAGAAGAAAAGATCGCAAGTCGGCATTCTCAGAAAAAGGGCGACCTGTGGAGTAAATTCCGTACTAAGTCATCGCACCCTCCCGGCACTTCTGAAGAGCAACCGACGAACCTTTTGGAGGATGACTTGGGGAGGCAGATGGCCTGGCTACAGGAGGAATCGGAAGCATTGAACACCTACTCCTTGAAGCCAAGGCGCGATGTGGCTCCTCGACTCCACGTTCTCTCGGTTCACATGGGCTTAGCTCAGGACCTTGAGGAGGGCGGGAACTCCAGGCAACAAGATGACATTGAACCTCCAGAGGGAGATACGCATTCAATTATAACAGCGCTTCCGTCGGTGTCACCTTCAGTAGTACGCTAATTCTCGCATGCTTGACCGATGTATGTGCCGAGTATATAGAAAAGTTGGACTGAGCACAGATACTCCCTTTTTATTGTTGGCTTCTCGCCCTAGGCCGCTTAGCTGGTCGTGCAAACGATCGCAGACAGGATGACGCCTTCCAATTCGATATCAGCAGCAAGAGCAGATTGGTATACATCACTTTTCGAGATCTGCAGTACTCATGGCTGTATAAGTTTTGACGCCCCTTCGGAACTCAGCCAGCAGGACTAATCATTGCACCCCTTTGCAGACATAGAAGACATAGAAAGACATGAATCGTACAAACTATTCTAGTACACACCGGCCCTTTTTTTTCCTCTTTTTTTTCTTTCTTCTTTTTTCCCTCTTTCCAATTCCGAAGCCAAGGGCGCAGGGGGGGGGGAGGACAATATTTGGCATGAAAACCAAAACCCTCTCTCTAAGGGAGCTTTTCAGCCACCCCTAATAAAGACTTCGAAGGATACCTGAGTCATAATTGGTACATAGAGTATCGGTCTGCTTAAATTACCGGAAATAAGACACGGGAAACAACGGGTGGAGATAAATTTTTTTTTTTTTTTTTTAAAAAAAAAAAAAAATTAGATCCTCCTCACTACTTGCAGCGCTTCTCGACAATATTGGGGCCATGTTCGTCGTACTCCTTCTTGGAAATCCACATTTGATGGAAGGTTCCCAAACTGGCGAGGATGCTGCCACCAATCCAAGAACCAAATCTACGCTCAGCCGTGTTTCCTGGCGCGGAAATCCTTACCCGCGGGCCGGGATAGGTTTGCATGAGCTCTTGGTTGAGTCGGTCGGTGAAGCCGTAAAGCAAAGTCGATGCCCCAGTCACGACAACATTCGCGAGCAAGTGGGGACGAATGTCAACATCGACATTGTTCAGCGCATTCTTGATAAGTTCGGGGATGGTTTGGCCTTGCGTTGGAGCCGGGTATGTTGACTCGGGATCCTGGATCGCGGCTTTGGCGTCAAATAAAGATTCGACCACCTTGTAGCGGTCGACACCAAAGACTTGATTATAACCGTCGGGAAACTCAAACGGACGTCCGGGGCTACTTTTGACAAATTCCTCGTTTGAGACCCCGTTCGGACCGGGAGCAAGAAGTTTATTGGGGCCTGGCCACACTTGGACGACACATTCCTTGAACTCCGAAAGCGTTCGCTCCTCAAGGAACTCCCGGTAGGACGCGTCGGGTGCCTTCTCTGGCGGGAATGTCTTGAATTTGACCTGCGGGGGCTGGCCTGCATCGACGGCGGTCTTGGAGGATATTAGGTAGTGAGGCGTGATAGTGATGGGTTGGGGGGTGTTTGATTTAAATAACGCTCGAATTTGCGATGAGATGTAGTCGCCTCCAAGGGGAGAATGTTGAACCCCGCGTTTCAAAATCATTCCATCATGTACCGGAGTTACGGATATGTTTGAAGCGCCTATATCAATCACCAAGGCGGACGCCTTGCCGGCAGCGAAGCTAGGAGGATGAGCAGGAAATCACCAAAGGGGCCAAAAAAAAAGGGCGATTCCGACTTACGACGCAAGAACACCATTTCTCGCCAGGTAGAAGGCCGGTGTCCCCCATTTCTCCATAGCAATTTCAATTGTTTTCTCCCGCGCCTTGGTGGGATTCCAGCCGCACTCGGACATTAGGAGAGGACTATCTGAAAGAGGTTTTTCCTCAGCCTCCACCCCGTCCATCTCTGTAGGCAGCTCGCCATCCGCGACATCATTCAGGCCGTTCTGGAAAGGATTGCCCGGCCTTGCCCCCGTTAGGCGCGACGTAAATGAGTATTCCCACACCTTCTCCGCCATGTCCCAATCTTCCACGATTCCATCCCTGCCCGTTGGATTGTGAATAGACAGGCCGGGGCGCGGAGTAACGAAGACATCGTCACCGAAGATGAGCTTTTCTTGTCCTTCGGAGGTGTATTTCCCATAGTACGAAGGGATCAGAGATTTTGGCGTGTCTTCGCCCGCAAAACCTGCGCGCGTCGTCGAGAATCCAGGGTCGAGTACAATGGCAGAGACCTCATCTGAGCGAGCGCGACAGTGAGCATGAAGTACGACGCACGACAGAATGCTTTTTGACAAGCAGGGCCGCTAAGGGACGACGACTTACCTCCGCCATATTCGGCAGTCGACGGTGGAACGGAAGGGTTCATGTTGGAAACACGCGTGACTCGGCAGGTGGGAGCTCAAGTGGGGACAGCTTGCTCTTTATTCACAGCAGAACCGTCTCGGCTAGAGTTGCTGAGGGCTGGGGAGAGAGACGGGTGAATCGGCGAGTCGGGAGGAGGAGGAGGAGGAATGGATTGAAGTTCCTTTGGCGGCGGGCGGGAACCTTAACGGCCTCCCTACTAACTTACTCATATTATTAGTTACGACCTACTCCGTACCAAGTCCCTTTATCCTCTCTTCAACCGATCCCCTCTGCTTCCTTCCCCGCAGATTATTTCTTTGGTGCTTCCGAATACAACCATGGACACGGATGCCTATCCTCAGTCAGGGACGCTTTTCCGACCGCCGGCGAAGAGAAGAAAGTTCCTTCGACGCCGGGCTGACAACATGCCGGAGGAGTCCGATTCTATGAGTGGTGCAGGCGACTCACTTCCAGAGGCGCCTCGGTCTCGGTCGCAGTCCCCGCGAGATACGCCACGAGAGACTGCAAGCTCAGCCGACCTTATTCGCCGGCGACGGCTTCATCGAGCCCGTAGAGGTGGTATCGAATTCTCCGCCACCTCGCGGCAAACGACAGATGTGGCCAACCAGTCTGCTCTATCCTCAGCATCTACGGAAGAGCTCGAGGCGGAGAGGATCAAGACAATGTGTGATCGGTTCACCGCTCATACAGGGCAAACCGTGGACGTTGACAGACACATGTACGGATCCACGCTCTTTCGAATCCACACCTTCTACCCCCCCCTCTTTTGCAACGGAAGCTAACAAGATAAGGATGACTTATATAGAATCAGAAATGGCCAAGCGAAATCAACGCGCCATGCCGATGGATGCAGCCGACTCCGATGCCATCGGGACCAAAGAAGCCAGTGGTGCACCGTCCTCCTCGGATCTCCCGCAACGCGAGCCTGCGTCTCTGGGTAAACTGCATGAAATCGATCTGGGCCAGGAAACAAAGTTGGAGAATATCGCACGCACAGAGGCGGCCACGAGAAGGCTCGCCGATGGAGATCGTGAAGAAGATGCGCAACCCCGAGATGACGAATCTCTCGCGAAGAGCACTCCCACACGAAGGGACAATAGATCATGGCGTCACCAAAAAAGACGGACCAGCGAAGATGTCCAGCGAGACCGGCTTGTGGAGGAAGTTTTGCGTGAAAGCAGGCGTAAGTCATCGTCCAACGAGGGCCTTGTGGGTTTTGTCATGTCGGCTAACTGATACGTCGATCCAGTCGATGTTTATGATGAACCCGCGGAAGAGATTACGGTTGCAGCCGATGACCAAGCAGCCGATGATAGGGTTGCCGAGCAATTTCGACGGGATTTCCTTGATGCCATTCAGTCCCGTCGCCGGGTGGCACGAGCGCGAAACACGAAAACCACCAAGCCGGAAGCTCCGCGCGGTCCTAAACTAGGAGGTAGTCGCAGTGCCCGAGCTGCGATGCGCGAGATGCAGGATAAATCTGGGCGGAAATGAGATGGCTGATTTGAATATTGTCGGAATGATATGATGGGGAGAAAGCCCGAGAAAGCCATCGGCCTCTCTTCTTACTCGCACACACACACACACACACACACACACACTCTCTCTCTCTCTCTCTCTCTCTCTCTCTCTCTCTCGGAGAACTTCTACCAGGCAACCCAGCCGAATGCGCGAGGCATGTCTACGATGATCACGATTGTTCCAGCGACAAGAAGAGCGAGTGCCGATGCGGTTGGAGGCGAGTGGAGCATCGAGTTCCGTTCTAGTGAATGCTAAAGGACAGGGTCAATAGGTACTACTTAAATGATAGGAAATGCTACGCGGTTCTCCGGAGTAGACAGTCAATAGTCGAACGAGACGAGGGACGAGGGGTGGGGCCAAGCGATCGGGACGAAGCTTGAGTAGCGTTGAGTAGCGTGTGTCAGTGAAATGGGCGGCCAATTTCCCGGCCGCAGTACTACCTGGGAGGTACCGTATTATTCAGATTACGTGGTAAGATGGATGGAACCTTGGGAGGTGGCTTGGCCCCATCGCACGAGTCTAGACGGCTCATGGGCCCAATCAACGGGGCGGCCTTGAGACATTCAGGGGCAACTGGTCGGAGTCTCGAACGGCACCATCCTCCTAGTCGCCCGTCCTCGTAGGGCCCGGCACTTTATAATTAGTAGCATCGCTGGATGGGATTGCGCCCCCTAAAAATCATCCCGCGCCCGTGGTACGACGAAACGCATACCGTATGTACCGATGGATTCCCATCGCGATATCCATGGATCTCCTCAACTCCTGGATGAGATGCCTCGGGATGGTCAATAAACACAAAATACGATCTCCAGGAACCTTCAAGGTTATAATTCTACCTTACTTTGTACCTCATTCTAATTATAACCCGAAGTCAACTTGGACGGCGGTTGGCTGGTAATCCACCGTCGTCGTACCGGCCATACCGTACATCCGTATTCCGTTGGTACCATCTCCAGCCATAACACGGCCTGGTCTGGTCTGGTCTGCGGTCTGCCTTGTTCTCCCCATTCACACTCTGGAGATTTCGCATTGTTCTCAACCATCGCCTTTTTTTTTCCTGTCGTGTTTTCTGTGTTTATGTTTCCCCCGTCTGTTTCTCTCGCTTTCTTCAATTTGACTCTCATTTATTTGAATTGATTCTGATTCTAGAATTTTTCTGTTCCCTCGCCCCCACCACCCCCCGATTCTATCGCTCATTCTGCATCTACCTCCCCCCCCCTCGATCGAGTAGGCTGTTGCTCTCTCCTTGGAAGCGCCATTTTCAGATCGATCCGTCAAATCGCATTGCATACCAAACGGTCGCTTTGTCTTCCTGTCGTCAATCCCCCCCGCCTCCACACCCTTTCCCTCTGCCTCGTCCATCCGTTTCTTTCCCTTCCCTTGGCTCGGTCGAGGAAGAAAGGAGAGGGCGTGACAGGAGACGGAGCGAGAGAGGCCTGTATCTCTTTCTTTTGAGACCTCCGTCCAAGATCCCGTCTTGTTGATTGTTCTTCTCTTTTTGCTTCGCCTCTCGTCATTTTCATTCTTCCCATTCTCTACAGGTTGATCCTGTTACATTCCTGCTATTGTGGGCTGGCCGAGTCTGCCTGTCAAATAACGGGGATCTTGATTCCACTACGACATTTTAATACCTAACCGGTTCCACCAACTGTTTTCTCCCTCCGGACTTTTCTTTGTCGCTCGTCGCTCTTGTTACATTTCTAGGCTGGCCCGCAAGTTTGCTGACGAAATGCGGATATTGTCCTTTTCACGACTCACCCTGATCGGTTTGGGCCTCTGGCCCGCGCAGGCCCTCGCAGCCGACACCCTCAGCACCGATGGCGTATCTACCTGCCTGACTGGCTCTGATATCGAGGTCCAGAAGATGCATATCACTTACACGAAATCCACAAGACAAGTCGTTTTCGATGTGTCGGGAACGAACGAGAAAGCGCAGAATGTCACTGCGTCTTTGGAGGTCTACGCCTATGGTAACGAAGTATACACGAAGGAATTTGATCCTTGCAGCAGTGACAACCATGTCGCTGAATTGTGTCCTGGTTAGTGCCCTCGTTGCTTAAATTTTGACTTGCGGCATCCTAACGTGATTTGGTTCATCTAGTTCCTTCCGGCACCTTCTCAGCAACTGGATCCCAGGAGATCCCCGAGTCGTTCGCGAGCCAAATTCCGTCTATCGCCTTCGCCATACCCGACTTGGATGGGCAAGCAAAGCTTCAGCTGAAATCGAAGGATGATGGTAAAGAGGTTGCCTGTATCCAGTCGACTTTGTCGAACGGCAAGTCGATGCAAATCCCCGGTGTTTCCTATGCCGCTGCCGGTGTGGCAGGCGCAGCCCTCGCGCTGAGCGGGCTATCTGCCATAAGCGCCGCAGGTCACCCCGGCGCTCACTCGTCTAGCCCCGGCTTTGGTGATGTAATGGGGTGGTTCCACACCATGGCTACAAATGGTATGCTGAGTGTGAATTACCCCACCGTGTACCGCAGCTTCTCCAAGAATTTTGGCTTCAGCACTGGGTTGATACCGTGGGGACAGATGCAGCAGTCCATCGATAACTTCAGACAGTCCACCGGTGGCAACCTCACGCAGGCCAGTTACGAGTTTCTCCGCAACGCAACGCTTGATTATAGTGATGGCTCGTCGAACTCGAGTTCCAAGACCAAGCGAGGGTGGAACATGGTCGTAGGAGCCGTGGAGCTGGCTGCACGGGATCTTACGACTTCATATGACAGCTCGACGTCGGGCAATGACACGAGCGATACTACAAGTGAATTTAAGAAGACCGTGTCCGGAATTGAGGCCTTCGCGGCGCAACTCACCGTGCCGCAAGCGAACATCTTCATGACGGTTTTGTTGATCTTCGCTATTGTCGTTGCCGCCATCGCCGTGGGCATCCTGCTTGTCAAGGTCATCCTTGAGTTGTGGGCCCTCTACGGCTCCTTTCCCAAGCGGCTCACGGACTTCCGCAAAGACTACTGGGGCATCATGGCTCGGACCATCACCAACTTGATCCTCATTCTATACAGCATTTGGGTGTTATATTGCGTCTATCAGCTTACTAATGGAGACTCCTGGGCAGTAAAGATTCTGGCAGGTGTCACGCTTGCCCTGTTTACGGCCGTTCTGTTATTCTTTGGTTTCCGGATCACCCACCTGGCACGCAAGTATAAGAAATCGGAGGGAGACGCTTCAAGTCTGTATGACAACCGAGACACCTGGCGCAAGTACAGCCTCTTCTACGACAACTACAAAAAGGACTACTGGTGGCTGTTTGTCCCCGTGATTGTGTACATGTTCGCCAAAGGATGTATCATCGCGGCCGGTAATGGCCACGGGTTGGTGCAGTCTGCGGGCCAACTCATTGTCGAAGCGCTCATGTTGGCTCTCCTGCTTTGGAATCGGCCGTACATTGGCAGGTCGAGTCAATGGATTAACATCAGCATCCAGGTGGTCCGCGTATTGTCGGTCGCCTGTGTTTTGATTTTCGTCGAGGAACTTGGCCTTTCGCAGACGACCAAGACCGTCACCGGAATTGTGCTCATCGTCGTGCAGTCCGTTTTGACGGGTATTCTAGCTATCCTAATTGCTACGAACACCATCATCCACTGCTGCCGCGAGAACCCCCATGCCAAGCGGAGAAAGGAAGCCGGTAAGTTGCCAGAAGACTTGAGCGAAGACCATCTCTCCCACGGTACTAACGGATTGGCCTTTCCCCTAGAAAAACTGGACCGGGATATGGATGATCTCACTCCGTTGGATGCGAGGGAGTCGCTTTTGATGGATCACCCGCCACGCAAAGACTACGCTGAGATGAGTAAATTCAACTTCACCGGTCCCTACGAGCCTTATCGCGACCAGCATGATCCTACCTCACGACACAGTGCCACGGGGAGTACAGACCGTCTAGTAGACCCCGCTAACGGCTTGGACGATCGACATGGTCGAAGCTTGAGCCGACAAAGCCGAGAGTCTCGGGGGTCTCCTGATGGGCGCAAAGCGACCACTCCGGGATATGGGTTTGCCTATTAAACCCATCCGATCGCACGGGCTGTTATGATATATACCATTGTACATTTCTGTTTCCCTCCCTTTGTTTGTTGTGTTTCCTCTCCCTCTTTTCATTCTTGATTTCTTGCCCTGTCACCGCAATTGCTCCTTTCACTCCCTCTCTTTTTTCTTTCTTTCTTTCTTTTCTTTTTATTCTTCTTCGTCCCTCCCTCTCCTTTCCGATTTCCTCACACACCCCTTCCCTTCTCTTGGAAGGTTATTGGGCAAATAGACATTCCTGTCGATTATCTTTTTTTTTTGGATGAATTTAAGCGGATTTGATCTATGTATTGCAAGATTATTTTGAACTTCGTTGTATTTGTTCGTTTCCATTTCTTCGACCGTGTCTTTGAATCTAGCCATAGCAAGCCTGGTATTACTCGCCGTCTTGAGTCTACATCCAAAAACATTCTTGTGTGTGAATTCCTCTCGCGACGTAGATGGTCTACTAAAGTGTTCCTCTATCTTGTATCTTTCTTCTACGTGGGTGCGAGGCAAGAGAACCGAGGAGTCCAGACTAATTGTAAAACAATTTTGCACTTGGCCGTTACAACCTCCCCCGAGAGACATGGGCCAGAAAGACGGAAACGAGTACATGAGAAACATGACATTTTTTAAACCCCCTTTTTCTTTTTCTTCCCCTTTATATCTTTTCCTCTTGGTCGAACCATGACTTGGAGAAAAACCCACCGAGCCGGCCGAGCCCTGAGGAAAACGGATTAAATGAAGTCAAGCGGACACAAGGAAATCAAGAACGAAAGCCCCCCCCCCAAACAAACAATCCAAAGCCACTAGATTAGCCTCGCGCATAAGGATGGAAACCACGATGGCCTCCACGGCCACCACCACGGTAGTTTGCACCAGGCTTCCCGGCATTCTTGGGACCGGTGGGTGCGTTGGCGGGAGCGGCGCTCTGAGGCTGAGGGGTCGGCCCTGGTTCTTGATTAATATACGCATCAGCAGGGGCAAGACGGGGGAAAGGAAAAGAGACGGGGAAAAGGAGAAAGACATACCTCGTCCCATACTGCCGGCACGTGTCATAGCCTGGGGCCCCGTGGGGATGTTAGGCTGAGGCACTTCGTCATACATGCCTTCCCACGAGGTCGGACCGCCCTGCTGATAGGGAGAAAAGGCGCGGGTTTCAATGGCGCGTCGAGCCTGCTGCTGCTCGTATTTCTGCTGCTCAAAGGCAATCTGCTCGTGGGCGTTGTAACCGGGACCGCCGCGGGCCCCCGTGTAATTGCCGCCCACGTTCACGTTGCCTGGGCTCATCTGGCCGGAGGGACTGCCCTGGCTCGGGCTCTGCATCTGCTGCATCTGTTGCATCTGCTGCATCATGGCGGGGTTCATCATGTTCGGCATGCCCTGGGGGGTCGGGCTCTGGGAGGGAGGGCTGATGCTTCCTTGCGGCTGGCTATTACCCATCTGCTGCTGCATTTGCTGCATCTGCTTCATCTGCATCTGCTGCTGCATCATGGCCGGGTTCATGCCGCCCATCCCCATCGTGCCCATTCCTTGTCCCTGCTGGGCAGCAACCGCCATCTGCTGCTGCATCATGGCGAAATATTGCTGCATCCGCTGCCAGTACTGCGCCATCATCTGCGGTGTGAGACCGCCGGCCTGGCCCTGGCCACTCTGCTGGGGCTGCGCAGCCTCGGAGCCGGCCTGGCCACCCTCCCGGAAACCGTCTCGACCCCGACGGTTCCTGCGGTCCTCCTCGTCGCGCAGGTTCCCTCGCGGCTGTGCCTTCTTGACCTCGATCGGTTTGCCGAGGATCTCGAGAGGACGGGAGAGCGCAGCCTCGACGGCCGCTTCACTGTCGAACGTGACGAAGCCAAATCCCCGGGGACGGCCGGTGTCCTTATCGATCATGAGCGTGGCGTCAATCACACGACCGAACTGCATGAAGAATTGCTTGAAGTCCTGTTCATTGGCTTCTTGGCTGACTCCTCCGACGAAGATTTTACTGGTCTTCTCCTGCTCGTCACGAGGAATCGCCCGCTTCGGATCAATCTTGGAGAGGCGTGAGCAGGCTGGCTAGGCGAGAACAACAAAGGGGTTTCTTACAATCTTTCCGTCGAGATAGTGCTCCTTGACCATCACGGTATTGACGGTCTTGGGATCCCTAAATGTTAAGAACCCGAATCCTCTGGAGCGACCGGTCGCGCTGTCCCGCATTACAGTGCATTCTTGCACCTCTCCAAATTGAGAAAAATAGTCCTTGAGAGACTCTGTGTCCATGAGTTAGACCATCCAATCCAACATGAATAGAGCGGAAGGGTGTCCTACGGTCTGTCGTCTCCCAATTTAAACCACCGATGAACATCTTCCTATTCTCAGAATAGTATTAGTATATTGTTTCATTAAGCACGAGACAGCGCCCTCGAATCTCGCTCTTCTCTTTCATCCGCCATGCCTCTTTTCTCCCTATCATCTTCTCGTGATAATTGGAACCGTGACGCAGAAAGGCATTTTCGGTCTTGATTGGTTGCCGGCAGTAAATGATTGACCATGGCCACCGCGGACGAGCACGTCGATTCAGGTTGTTATCCCAGGCTTTTTTTATGGGTCTGGTCCATGCCACCTCCCCGAATGTCCCCCTTGAAAAGATGCAGTGCTCCAGAAATTATACTTGGGTATCACGAGGAAAGGCAGATAGCTATTGCTGAATTTCCGGCCAGGAAGAAAACCGAATAACATGGACCGTCACCTCAGGCTTGCCGATCCGCGCCACGCATACATTGACAAAGACTGCGACGGGCTCGATGGGTTGTCGGTTCGGTCAGGTTTCTAGTCAATTATCCACTGGTTTACGAGACGATCCAGTGGACTGAAAGCCAACCGAAGATTTCTCTGGGACCGGAAGGGATGTGATGATGACAGCAGACCACGGGTAGGAGAATGCCAGGCGCAGTAAGTGAAAACAATAGTGTTTTTTCTCTTCTTGTTCTTCTTTCCTTTCTCTCCTTCTGCCTTTTGTTTGACCAAAGAAGCCTTTGCCTGTCTGTCTAATGGTGTCCGAAACTAGGTAAACTGTTCGACAATGCCACACAGCCAAGGTTTCTACTCCTTGCTCTGCACTGCTCTATCAAGATATATCGACAGGAAGCTATATAGTATCGGCTGTACTATAGTGGCTCGCGACAAGGGGGTCGTAGAATCAGAAATCCGATATTTGTATCTTTTGCGACAGTCACATTGACACCGGTTCGAGGAAGTTTCACACTGGGAGGTTGGACTCGACTTTCGAAGATAGGGAGTTTTTTTTTTCTCCCCCACCAAATCGATAGCTTTAGCTGATTTCGATCAAAACCTGGGAGTCCCATCCCCTAGGTGACTGGGATCCTATTCTTCCTGGCAGTCAAGATCGGACTCAACGGGACGAGACCGTATCCTAAACCCCAAGCGAACCCAACAAATCCATCGTACCAAGCCATTTCACAACGGTGCTCATAAATCCGCGTTGTAAGCACGGTCCCCGAAGAGCTTTTGCCAGCACGTTTGCCTTCGTCATTCAAGACCATTAATGCGCCAGGTCCCCAAGAAAGCGGAATGGTTTTCAGTCCCTCCATCCCGCCGAATTGAAGATCCAGGTCACGATCCTCAGGAGAAGCGGTAGTCGCCGCGAAACAAATCCCGGGGCCGACTTGAGTGTTCCAATTACTGTTTAAGAGGCAAGGGGATACGTGTGCAACTCGCACAGCTGTAGCAGGGAAAACGGTGGATTCAAACTTACCCATCTTCTTTAATGCCAGTTCCTTGAGGCTCGGTTTCCAACGGAGTGGTGGTGACAGCAGCAGTATTGCCAAAACCAAGATCCTGACTGCCAGGGTCATGCTGGTAACCACCATGAAACTGTGGATTTTGGTACACAGAACGCGGATCTTCGGAATGGTCCTGGAAACGTTCGACAGGCTGCGGAGCAGCAACTTCTGAAGATCGGGTGGGAGTGTCTGAAAGGGTAGGCTGGGGGATTTGAGAAGTCTCAACCGCAGAGGATGTTTGGTTTCCGGTGTCGTCCGCATCGTACCTTAAGATACCACAGGGTCAGTAAACTAAGAGACTTTAGTTGATGGGAGGGGAGGGGGATGAGGTAGGCCTTACAGATCGGCGAACAGATCCTCCTCAACGTCCTCTGGTTCAGCCATTGTGAACTACGACACAAGAATTAGGGGAAAGGGGGGAAAATCAAATGAAAAAAAAAAGAGAAGGCAGTGAAACAGTCACTTGTGATTTCCACTAATCGAAAGCCCCTAGAAAGATATCGTCGAGGTTGATAAACCTCCTGTTTCGACAAAGGAAAGGAAATAAGAAGAAGGGTTGTATTAATTGGAAAGAGATGAAAGAGGGAGAGAGGAGAAAGGAAGAGGTGATGTCGTTGAGTTCTTCCGACTCCCGGGCAGTACGCCTGGGTCATGTAATGTATACAGTACCCGGCGGTAAGTCTACTAGGTACATGTATGTACCTGGTACGGTACCTAGATAAAGGCCTGGATGATACAATACCCGTATATACAGTACCATATACGTACCTATATACCTAGGGTACCTAAGTATGGTACTGTACACTAACACGTATATTACATACATACATACACGCCAGGATCCCCGGGACTCTCACCTGATGCATAATGACCATGACCATGTTGATGCCCTTGCAATTTCTGAATACAATGATCCATTCCCATAATTTGCTTTAATTCATAGCGTCTCCCGTCGGTTTGTCTGTCTAATTTGCGTGTAGTGCCCGCAAAGTACTTGTCATATTTTTTTTTACGCTTTGCCTCTCTTCCCCCCCGCACTCCACCAGCACTCCGTGTCTCTGGATCTCGCCCGATGTCCCCGTTCTTTTAATACCATTTCCGCACAAGTCACTTCGCTCAATGGACGCCAGAAGAGGCCAGCAGCAGGTAAGTCATGAACCCTGCTATCAACGATCTTCGGCCCTGAGGACAGGAAGCTAACCTATCATGGCGAACATCACAAGGAAATGGTCCAGGTTGGTTCGTGGCTCTCCGACCCTCATGCGTTCCTATCCAGTAGTTACTGTGGCTGATATAGCTCCCCACTTTCAATGGGCAGACCATTCGGAGTATGTTCAACCCCCATGTTGATACCGACACCTTCTCGCATCTAATCTCGAGTCCGCTTTACCGCATGTATGTCTCTGGGCTAATCCATCTCGAAGACGAGCAGGATCGCCGTTCTGGAAAGGAAGACCACTTTCTTCCAAGCCTCATGACCAAAGTACTGTCGTCGGCGCTTCATATTCCCATGCGAATATACTAAAGTTAGACTCGCTCGCCTCAATTGTCGCACGCAGCTTTCCAATGAGTATGAAGCTAATCGATGCGTCCTTCCCGTCCCTTCTTCCGCAGAGGTATTCCCCAACAGCATACTCGCCCGCGAACTCCACCCCGGCCATCGTCCATCGGATCGCAACACGTTTCTCCATCTCCCCACCATTCCGGAACGCGAACCACACCTACTCGTACATCCTATTCCGGTATCATGAGCCAAGGGATCGATCCGTGGGGCCACGACCCCACGGCGGCGGAAGAGGATGACGATGACGACGAGGAAGACATTGTATTCGACGACGATGAAGATGAGTTCGGACTTCCGAGCCTATCTAGCGTGCGAAAAACACAAAACAGAACCGCTGGTCCGCATTCTCTCAAAACCGTCGATCCGGGCGGCGGAATTCGAAACAATCCTGCGACCCTGGGGGTTGGCCCGCCCAGCAACCGACAGCGCGCAAATAGTTCAGACATCGCGGAGGAGCGAGGTGCTTCGATGTATCCCACCGCCCGAAAGGGCGAAGGGAAGATATTGCGCCCTCAGTACAAAGACATCCTGAGAGGTAACGTCATATAGCTAAATGATTTCTAGGATGGGTTGTAATGCTGACTTGTGTCTTCTTTTTGAGATCCCGCAAACGCTTTGAATCTTATCAACCATGCGCCGCCCCCTAAAAACGCAACCCCGAAAGAGATGGACGCGTATACGAGTCGTATATCGAGAATCAACAAATTTAAACGTCTCTTGCAAACAAGTACCGTTCCTCTCCCAGAATTGAGGAATCTAGCATGGTCTGGCGTTCCCGACGAAGTGCGAGCCATGACCTGGCAGCTGCTGCTTGGCTACCTTCCTACGAACAGCGAACGGCGGATTTCAACTCTTGAAAGAAAGCGCAAGGAATATTTGGACGGGGTGCGACAAGCCTTTGAACGCAGTAGCGCTACAAGCACCGGGACCCCTCCCGCCCCGGCCACGGGGCGTGGCAGAGGCCTGGACGAAGCGATCTGGCATCAGATTAGCATAGACGTTCCCCGCACCAGTCCTCACATCCAGCTTTACAGTTACGAAGCCACCCAGCGTTCCCTAGAACGAATACTTTATCTCTGGGCCATTCGCCATCCCGCCAGTGGCTATGTTCAGGGGATAAATGACCTGGTCACACCTTTCTGGCAGGTCTTTCTGGGCATGTATGTCACAGACCTGAATGTCGAAGAGGGCATGGACCCGGGCCAATTACCAAGAAGTGTACTGGATGCCGTGGAGGCAGACTCGTTCTGGTGTATCACAAAGCTTCTTGAGGGTATTCAAGACAATTATATATACGCACAGCCGGGGATTCACCGACAGGTCAGGGCGCTGCGTGACTTGACAATGAGGATTGATTCAGCTCTGGCAAAACACTTGGAAAAGGAGGGGGTTGAGTTCATGCAGTTTAGTTTTCGGTGGATGAATTGCTTGCTCATGCGAGAGATGAGCGTTCAGAACACCATAAGAATGTGGGACACGTATATGGTATGCTCCGTCACCGCCTCTCATTGCAGAGCAGAATTGTACTAATGTTTGCACCCAAGGCTGAGGAACAAGGTTTCTCACGGTTCCATTTATATGTATGCGCAGCGTTTCTTGTGAAATGGTCGGATCAGTTGGTGAAGATGGATTTCCAAGTAAGTGCTCGCAAGCAATGGTAAATAGCTGGGCATGCAATATAAGATTGGCTAACGGTCGCAGGAGATTATGATGTTTTTACAGGCTCTTCCGACAAGAGACTGGACAGAGAAAGACATAGAGCTTCTTTTGAGCGAGGCATTCATCTGGCAAAGTCTATTCCAGGACTCTCGGGCTCATCTTCGTCCTGCTGGTGACCGATCCCCCGAGAATGGCTTGCAATGATAATAATCATAACTCATTAATGACCCACATCTCTATACATTTGGCGCCCCTTCACAGCACCGACTAGGAAACAATAGGAAGAACGAAAGCTGAAGACGATGGCCGGTTAAAGAAAAAAAAGAAAGAAAAGAAAAGAAAAAAGGGATGAACAAGAAAAAGGGAGAAGAGAGGGCGGTCGATCATTCCTAGGTTCCTTCAACACCATCCCATCTCGGCCAATTTCAGCTGAAGTGAAAGCCTTTTTGGTTAAATGCCCACAGCAGCTTCAGAAAATCATTCTCATCGCACATTCTTGCACGTTTCTCTGCGAGCTTTGTCTCATCCTCCAATACTTGTCGTACCTTCTCTCGTACCAATTCTGCGACCTTCCCTCGCTTTTTACGAGCTGGCCGGTTCTTGAGAGCCTGCTCAACGCGAGAACTCGCTTGCTCCTTGAAAAAGTCGGGTACATCATCCTCATCATCCACTTCCATGGCTTCATCAGGCTCTTCTTCCTCGTCTTGATGGGTTCCGGTGTCCATTGCATCCGTATCCGTGTTCTCCGCCGGACCATCCTCGACTGGGATGTCGTTCTGGGCACACCAGGTCCGATAATTGGCCTCTAGCATATCCATGATGGTAGATTTACCGAGGAAACTCGATCGAATGGTCTTGTTTTTCCTTACAAAGACGATCCGCAGCAGACCGTCCCACTCGTCATAGTTGATCTGCGGCCTTGGGTTTTTCGGGACTAGGCGAACCACGCTGGATTCGACGAGCGGCGGCGGCTTGAAATTGTTTTTGCCCACCTTCATGATATGATCGATCTTGGCCCACATCTGGGCATTGACGGAGAGGCGACTGTAGAGCTTGTCACCGGGCTTGGCAAAGAGTCGGAGGGCAAATTCCCGCTGGAACATGAGAATGCAGACCCTAGGTGCAGGCGAGGTGGCAAGGAGTTTGAACGTGAGGGGGGAGGAAATCTGGGCGGGACAATTAGGCATTGGTGGCATGGAAGCAGGCCCGTTTAGATACTGGGATAGAGCATACCTGATAGGGAGTATTACTGACGCAAACATCAAAATATGGGAGTTCGGTCTTGATCACATCTCCGAGGATGACCTCCAACCGCTTCTGGACCGGGGTTCCCTGGACTCTTTTGGTGACTTCCGCCGCCATTCGGGGGTCCAATTCCACCGCGATAACCTTCTTTGCCTTCTCGAGCATCTTGACCGTCAGGTTTCCCGTTCCTGGGCCAATTTCAAGCACAACCTGTGCGATCAGAGTCAACGCGGCTCGACGAGCAGATTCCAGGCAGCGGTAGGGCTGGGGGAGGGACGCACATCGCTCTGCTTCAAGTCGGCCTTCTCCACGATCTTGTCGGCGATTCCGGAATTCTTCAAGATGTGCTGTCCGATGTCTGTGTTCATCTTGAAGACGCTGTTGGCAGCTTTGGCCTTGACCGCGGCATCCGAGTAGGGACTGCCATGAGGGGCACCGTTGCGCTTCTTCTGCTTCACCTTCGGCATGATGGCGTCGACTGGACCTGAGAATTCGACGAGCAGAGAATGCGACGCGGAGGGGGAAAAAAAGGCCGATAAGATTAGCGGCCCGGAACAACAATCGCCCGGATCGCTCTTGCCTCCGCCGGCTGGCGACGGTCGTTCCTGCTTTGTCGAGTCGCATCATTCCCCCCTCCTTCTAATTCTCCCTCGACGAGCTTTCGTGTCCCATCCGCCTTGGTCAAAATGGCCTCCGGTCGGAAAGACTTCCTAAGCCAGCCGGCCCCGGAGAACTACGTGGCCGGCCTGGGTCGAGGTGCCACCGGCTTCACCACCCGTTCCGACCTGGGTCCTGCACGCGAAGGCCCTACTCCCGAGCAAATCCAGGCCGCGCTTGCTAAGAGAGCGCAGCAACTTGGAGCGGCTCCTCCGACAGCTTACGGCGCCGGGCGTGAGAAAGGTGGGAAGGAAGAAAAAGAGGAAGAGGAAGAGGACGAGCGCTTCCAGGACCCGGACAATGAAGTCGGCCTCTTTGCATACGGACAATTCGACCAAGAAGATGACGAGGCGGATCGAATCTACAGGGAGGTAGATGAGAAGATGGATAAGCGTCGCAAAACCAGGCGGTTAGTAGCCCTCCCCGTTCTTCTAGATAAGACCGTTGGTTCATCGGGTTTACCCCCGGTTTCTCTGGACAGAATGTCGACCTGATTCCTTCGCCGTCTTTAGGGAAGCCCGAGAACGCCAAGAACAAGAGGACTACGAAAGCAAAAACCCCAAGATTCAACAGCAGTTCGCGGATCTGAAACGATCCCTAGCTTCTGTCTCCGAAGATCAATGGGCCAGTCTCCCCGAGGTTGGAGATCTCACGGGAAAAAACAGACGGACAAAACAAAACCTCCGCCAACGTTTCTATGCTGTCCCTGATAGCGTCATAGCGGGCGCAAGGGATTCTACACAGTTTGAGGCCACAATTGCGGATGACGGCGCCGCTGCCGATGCGCGGGGTTCCGAGGGAACCGACGGGGCGATCACGAATTTCGCAGACATAAGTGCGGCTCGTGATAAAGTATTGCAAGTGAAGCTTGATCAGGCTGCCATGGGATCTTCTGGGGATTCAGGATCAGGAAGTGCGACCAATATTGACCCCAAGGGATACCTGACCAATCTCACACAGTCGGAACTCAAAGCTGGCGAGGTCGAAATCGGAGACATAAAGCGAGTTCGCGTTTTATTGGAATCTGTGACGAAAACAAATCCGAAACATGCACCGGGGTGGATAGCGCTCGCGCGCCTCGAGGAGCTTGCCGGTCGGGCCGTGACGGCCAGAAACGTCATTGCTAAAGGCTGTGAACTGTGCCCGAAAAGTGAGGATGCGTGGGTTGAAAATATACGGCTGAATGAGGGTCATAATGCAAAGGTTATAGCCGCAAACGCCATCAAGAACAACGACCGCTCCACGGGACTCTGGATTGAAGCCATGCGGCTGGAATCCGATCCTCGTGCCAAAAAGAACGTACTGCGACAGGCCATTCTTCACATCCCCCAGTCCGTGGCTATCTGGAAAGAAGCCGTGAACCTGGAGGATGACCCTGCAGATGCACGGCTTCTGCTGGCGAAAGCCGTTGAAATGATACCGCTGTCCGTGGAGCTATGGCTCGCTCTTGCTCGACTCGAAACACCCGAGAACGCCCAAAAGGTTCTGAATGCGGCCCGAAACGCTGTCCCCACTAGCCACGAAATCTGGATTGCTGCGGCTCGGTTGCAAGAACAAATGGGGACCTTCAATAGAGTGAATGTCATGAAAAAGGCCGTGCAATCCCTCGCCAGAGAAAATGCCATGCTGAAGAGAGAAGAATGGATAGCCGAAGCCGAGAAGTGCGAAGAGGAAGGAGCGATTCTCACGTGCGGTGCAATCGTACGGGAGACCCTGGGATGGGGTCTAGATGAGGATGACGACAGGAAGGACATCTGGATGGATGACGCAAAAGCAAGTATTGCCCGAGGCAAGTATGAGACCGCGAGGGCCATCTACGCCTATGCATTGCGGGTATTTGTAAACCGCCGGTCTATTTGGCTTGCAGCAGCAGACCTTGAACGCAACCACGGTAGCAAAGAAGCCCAGTGGCAGGTTCTTGAGAAAGCCGTCGAAGCTTGCCCACAGAGCGAAGAGCTCTGGCTGCAGCTCGCCAAGGAGAAGTGGCAAACCGGGGAGATTGACGAGGCTCGACGCGTGCTCGGTCGCGCTTTCAACCAAAATCCTAACAACGAGGACATCTGGCTGGCTGCTGTCAAGCTTGAGGCAGATGCCCGGCAGACCGATCAAGCCCGAGAACTCCTTGCAACTGCTCGTCGTGAAGCAGGCACGGATCGTGTCTGGGTCAAGAGCGTTGCCTTCGAACGGCAGCTAGGTAACATAGACGAGGCACTCGACCTGGTGAATCAAGGTCTCCAGCTGTATCCCAAGGCCGACAAACTGTGGATGATGAAGGGACAAATTTATGAGTCGCAGAAGAAATACCCTCAAGCCCGGGAGGCCTACAAAACCGGGGCCAGGGTCTGTTCAAAGTCCGTTGCCCTTTGGCTGCTGGCCTCAAGATTGGAAGAAAAGGCAGGGGCCGTCGTAAAAGCTCGTTCGGTCCTCGACCAGGCTCGCCTTGCTGTGCCCAAGAGTGCGGAGCTGTGGACGGAGAGTGTTCGTGTCGAGCGGCGGGCGAACAATATTGGCCAGGCGAAAGTCCTCATGGCACAAGCTCTGCAGGAAGTACCAACGTCCGGGCTATTATGGAGCGAAAGTATTTGGTATCTCGAGCCGCGGGCGCAACGGAAGGCGCGGAGCTTGGAGGCCATCAAGAAGGTTGAAAACGACCCCATTCTATTCATCACAGTAGCGCGGATATTCTGGGGTGAGCGTCGCTTGGAGAAGGCGATGACATGGTTTGAGAAGGCCATTGTCTCCGACAGCGATCTTGGGGATGGTTGGGCATGGTACTATAAGTTCCTCCTACAACATGGCACTGAGGTACGTTTCTCTCCTCCGTCTTTCCCTCTCTCCCTCCTCTCTCAACTTGGCTATCAAACCGGCGGCTAATGTAAACCTGTTCTTTTTTTCTAGGAAAAACGGGCCGATGTAATATCCAAGTGCATCTCGACTGAGCCCAAGCACGGCGAGATTTGGCAATCGATAGCCAAGGACCCCGCTAACGCGCAAAAACCTACCGAAGAAATCCTGAAGATGGTCGCCAACTATCTGTCCTAATGTCATGATTCAGGAGGGTACACGATGTATTTCTAAACAGCCATCAGACCCGGCGTTATGATCGGACGAGCTAAAATCAATTGTTTACCTAGAGCTTTCGTTTCGTAGAGCTGCCATTCTTCTATAATCAACCAGGAAAGGTAAACCTAATGTACATACATATACAGTAAGCAAGCAGACGAATAGACAGGCGGAGAGGGCAGGATTAGGCCATCGTTGTTTGCTCTCGCAGCGGAGTTCCATCAAACACACCCCCTGCCGCGCCGGGCGTGGGCCATGTTTATTTGCAGTAAATGGAGACTCTGCCATCCTTGCCGCTGCTGGCGAAACCGCTCGATGAATACCTCATTGGAAATGGTTCGAGGATTCGTGCTAGCAAAAGCCTCGCGTGTCCAAGCGCCCCGCATCTCATAGCAAGAGAAGTGCCCAAGATGAAGAAAGTGAGGAAGAAGACAAAACATCGAAAAAGAAAGAAAGAGACAACTCCGAGCCATATGCAAAACCGATCATACCCAATGACGGCCCTTCCGTTGTATGATACTCCCTAGGACGCCTTTTAACCTCGCCAAATCGAGAACATAGGTCACCCTTGACCTTTCAGTCAATGTTTGCGACGATAAAAAGAAAAGGAAAAGAAAAAGAAAAAGAAGGGAAGGAAAGGAAGAAGATGGAGGAGAAAAAAATAGAGAGAGAAGAAGAGGGAGAAAGACACCGCAGAAGACGGGGAATAAAGAGTCGAGAGAGACTTCACGCGGCAATAGAGAGGCAATCGTCGAGCAACGCGCCTAATTGATGGTGATCTGACACGGTTCCCCCTTCCCAGTCAGAATCTGCGTCATCCAGGTCCATGTCATCGGTGAAGTTATTCGGTCTCGAGTCGTTATAAGTTGTGTCAGCCGCTTCACCGCCTCGGTCTTGCTTGTCGGTTTCGAGCTCATCCTCGAGATAGCCGCCCATGATTTGATCAACAAGTAGGGGCATGTGGCTGAGAACCCCGCCCCCAAGTTCTAAAGCCAGTCGGAGATCCCTAACCCCCAGGGGCTTTCTAGTGCTCGCCTCCTTGGCCTCGACGGGGAGCAACCCAGTAGTGGCGTCTTTGACGATCTCGCCTCGCGTAAATGCCAGTTCTTCACGCTCGAGTTGTTGCCGGTACTTCCGCATCATCATACCGTTGATGGTGCCGGAGGGACCATTGGATCGAGTGCGTGAGAAGACCACTGAAAGGACTTCTTTCACGAAGGTTTCGGTAGCGATTGCCATGAACTCGGCGCAGGGGAACCCTGCACCACTGACGATCGACTCCTCGTAACAAATCGGGATCATACGAGCATGTATAGACTCGGCATCTGGAAACTCTCCGGTTTCTGATGCTAGGGGTTGCGCATAACGCTTTCGGATTTCCAGTTCCCAATCTATTGCCAACCGGGATGGTCAGCCTCCTCCGTTCTCGGGGTGACAGATAGCAGGGATATGGAACCTACTCGTTTTATTCAAGCCACCAGCACTTGCCGGTACCTGGCTGGGCAATTTGATCTGTTTCGCCAAATGGTATTCCTCCAGTTCGTTGGGTCCGGTTTCACTGGGGTCGCGCTGCTCGATTCCAGTCCGTCAGTCCCAGCGTCGTTTCCTCAATTCGCTTGTCGGAGTTCTGGTAGCATACCTCTGGGATCGCTTTCAGCCTTCGACGATCTCGGGGCGGCAATTGCATGACCTCGGTCTTGAGTCTTTGTTCCGCCGCATCTCCCGAGGTCGGCTTCGAAACCACCGACGGTTTATCGTTGGCCGACACCCAACTTGCAACGCCATGATCAGGAAGATCCCTGGTTAGGTTGCCGATGACGGCGCAAATGAAATTGTTGTGGAGATGCTCGGTCTTCTGGTCGGCGCCAATGATATGGTCGACGCGCGCCGAGACTTCGCTCTGGTTCAGCTGCCCTGCGACGTAGAATGATCAGGTCAGCTTGCTTGCGGGATAGCGGTGCGCCGAGGGGAGGGAGAGAGGCTTTTGGCGTAGAGCCAGCGTACCTAGCAGGAAGAGGGTGGTGGCCTCCTTGTACTCGGCCCAATTGTCCCCGATGGCAGCCTTCAGCTCCGTGTAGATGGGTTCGAGGTCCAAGCGCGGAACGGAAATCAGCGCCTTGGTCGACTTCTGCGTCGCCGAAGCGCCGGGGGCGGTATTCTTGGACGACGGAGCTGCGGCTGAGGCCGAGTCCGTTCGACTCAGGGCAGCCGGGTCGATCTGCATGGTTGCGAGGCTCGCAGGGAGAGCGCGACGGGGCTGCGCGAGGCCGGGGGGAGAAAGAGAGAGAGGTGTGGGGAGAGGAGAAGGAGGGGGGGAGGGGAGGGAAAAGAGGTAGGGATATCTAGGCCTTCATGAAGGTAGAACCATTCCAGGATAGTCCGACAGTCGGTCTGGGGCTCTGGAATTGGGGAAGGAGGTCAGAATTGATGGAATGACGAGGGAAAGGCCGGTGGGTTGATGGGCGAAACGACGGCCGGGGGGGGACAAAAATGAAGTCGAAGGGGAAATCCTGGGGATTTTCTGGTCTTCCCCTTCTTTGCTTCTTTGGCTTCCCCGCCAGATGCACTCCAGAACAATAAAGCCAAATGAGATTCTTTCTTCCGGCGATCTTCGTCTCCTCGGGTCTTTGTTTTATTTCATATTTATTCTTTGCCCTTAAAAAAAAGAAAGAAGAAGAAAAAAAAAAAAAAAAAAAAAAAAGAGCGAGACAGACAAAGCGAACTAAGTCATCTAATTGGAGCATCCACGGGTGCATCTGCTACTTTATCTACACTGTACAGGCTAATAGAGTCTCACGGCCTCCTCATTCAGAACCCCAAACAGTCGACTGATTTCCTCCATGATCTCCTCTATTTCGACGGACAATTGTCCGGTCACCAGAACTGCCACGCAGGGAAAATGTTAGCAGGGATCTCTCTCTCTCTCTCTCTCTCCCCTCGGGCGGGTGCGGTAGAAGGCACACGTACTATACGCATAGAGCAAGGCATAATCTTCGTCGGTGGACAGCCGGGATGCCTCGGGGTCTTTGCGATAATGAAACAGACGAGCCAAAAGCCGATCGCGGGCGTGTTCAATGCTTGGAAGGACGTCGCTCAGGGGATATTCCAACTTCATGGAGGAAGCCATCACTGGGGAGGTTCTTGGTCAGTCGCTCCGCCGTCGCAGCAAAAATCCACGGAATCACCGTCCATCTACTTACCGGATAGGAGATGGCTAATCCGTGACGAAAGCTGCAGTCTCTCCTGCACGGTATACTCCAGAATGGCCAGTTCACCCTCCGAAGCGGTCATGTTCTTGACCAATTCAAGGTTGATGGCGAAGAACGCATCCACCATGCTGCGCGTCCGCCGGAGGATGTTGCTGTATGCAGCATCGGGAAAAGCGCTCCTCAGCTCGAGCTCCGAGCGGGCGGACGCTTGGAGCGATTCCAGATGCGACAGGAACCGTTCGATCTCCAACTTCTCCCGCGGACTCACGAAGCCTGCCGAGTCAAAGGTATTGACCATCGTGGACAAGGGACCGCGTTTCCATATCAAACTCATGCGTAGCCAGAGTAGGCTGAGGCCGTCCTTCAGTCGGTCCCGCGCGCTGATGGGCCAGATCATTCGCGTGATGATGATGCCCCAAATGCAGCCCGATAGCACCGCCACGACTCGATGAAGGGCAATCTCGGTCATGACCGGGCTGTCTCCACCCTCGTCTTGGTCGTCCTGGCCCTCCTTTTGCGTGAGCGAGTATGCGTACAACACAGAGAGATTGTACGTGAGCATGATAAATCGACCCATGGGACCCTGTCCCTTAACCAGGATGATATACGAAGTCCAGGTAGCCATAAGAAGCCCAAGGAAGGCAAGTGTGAAGACATTGCCGGCCGAAACATACCACGATAGGATGGCGCAAACGGCTCCCAAGCAGGTCCCGAGAAACCGCGCGTATCCGGTAGTGTTGGAAGCCCCAATGGTCATCGAACAAACAAGCATGTAGGACAAGAGACCCCATTCTCCCCTCCAGTGGGAGTACACCGGCCTGGTTGACGAGAGAAAAGAGGGTAAAGCATAGAGCGCAGCCCCCGTTCCAACCTTGATGGCAAACTTAACCTCATCCCGTCGAAACACCCCGAGTGATTTCCAGATGCGATAGGCAAGCCCTGTTTGCGCAGGTCGGTCCCCCGGGGTTTGGAGTTTCGATGCTGGCCGATTTTGCGAGTGCGGTGAGGGATTTACATCCAAATGCTGATGGTTGTCGTCACGGACGGGATGCGACTCCATTGATGGCTGCTCTGAGGGCCGGTCAGCATCCATCGTCAAAAGTCTCACTCGTTGACCCCAATTATAAGAAACGTACCCGTATCCGAACGTGCCGGCCCATCCCCGTCTCGACGCCAAAACTTAAGCCATCTCCAAGACCTCCCGTGCGGCCTCTCTTCGGCCTCAAGCTGTAGCTCGTCTAAGATGGTGAGCAAGTCCTTCAGCTGCTCGCCGAACTCCAAAAGGGAAAAACTGAAATGGCCGCAGCTAGCGGAGACCTCTTCGAGATCGGCCTCGACCTCCAAAGGTTGAGTTTTCAGAACTTCCTTCTGTCGGTAGATGGTATTCAATGCCTCCACTCGAGAGTCTCGGTACAGTTCAAGGGCACGATCCAAACTCGTGCGGAATTTGCTGTTGATCGAGACCTTATAATCCGGGCCTGGTTTGAATGGGATTTCTCGGAAGATCTCTTTCAGAGTGAAAGCAAGTGATCGCTGAGAGAGAGTTTAGCGACGGCCACACCGAAAGGAACAGGGGGATCAGTAGGGGGTCACTACCATGGAGGGGCCTAGATGATCGATGAAAAGCGCGAATATGTCCGCGGGAAGAAGAGTATGATCAGTTTCCGAGTCTGCGGTGAGCGAGACTTGGTCTCTCTCGAGCACCGAGCCCTCCTCCTCGGGTCTTTCGTCGATTCGTTCCAACACGGGGCGGTCTTCATGGAGGGACCACGGACTCAGAAGGGGAGTCGCGCCAACACCGTTTATGCCCGGGATGTGCCCATGCAAATGCACGGATTCGGCAAGTTTGGTCTGCCTCAGGAGCTGGAACTGCAGCAAAGCAGCACTTCGGAGACCACCCATGTTGTGTGTTATGTCTTGCACCCAGCGGACGAGCTTTTTTTCCAGTCGGTATTCCTTTTCTGTACCGGCTACGAAATGCTCCAGCTTGGCCTCTCTCACGAGCTTATCAAGCTGGCCGTATGCTTTCTTGTGTCGGGCAGCAGTGCTGATGTATTCCGCTGTCTGAAGCTCCTCCTCCGAGCCACTCAAAAAGCTCTCCGTGATCAGAGCCAGCATGGTTGCCAGCGTGTCGGTGACGATGGTGAGATTGGAGCGAAGTTTCTTGCGGGCAGAGATGGGAAATATAGCAAACGACACCGCCATGGTGGCGATGACCCCCATCACGACCATTTTCAGCACCTGGGAGATTTTGGCGAAGGACAGATCCCCGCTCTGCACCGCACCCTCCTTGGTCAGGACTGTAATCGTGGAGAGTGACGCCAAAGAGCAAGCAACGTTCACGAGAGGGTCACCCAACCGCTGCTTGGTCCATCCCACAAATCCTAGGCCACCCCCGCAGAACACGATCAGGACTATGGCGTGACCCACGGGGAGAAGGTTCAGCGTATCCTGGAAAAACATGGACACGCACATGCTGGTGACGGAGATGAAGGCGGCGTAGAGGAAAGCCAGGAGAGCACATATCAGGGCCTTGTACATACTACCCTGCGAGCGAGCCGGGTGAAAGTAGACGGTGACGGTAGCCACGACATGCTTGCCATCTTGGTGACCAAGGAATGAAGCAATGGCCGGCACGAACGTCGCCAGAGACCCCAGGAGGTAGGCCAGACTGCACTTCAAGACTCCTATGCCAAGCTCCGACGAGATCGACTGTTTTACCCAGCGCCCTACATGCGACACTCTGCTGCGCAAACGGGCGCGGATGCTGGATTGATCCACCAAGAGCTCGCCCGACAGAAGCCCGCGCCGTTCGTCGTCGTCGTTGTGGCTACCATTTGAGCCCGAGTAAGGATTTCGTAGGTTGACCAGGCCTTTTAGGCGTTGGCCTGTTCGCGGTAAGACGAACGTCGCCTGCCGGAGCTTTATGGATGCAAGTCCGATGTCAGTCTCGTCCTTTGAGGTGGGTTGAGTCGAATGGAATCGACCGAGGATCAAAAACAAAGCAGCGGTTGGGGGACAGACCTTCTTCGGGCGCAAAAACCGACGTGGATTATTTGATGAATCCCCAGACGGAGCCATGGCATTCATCTCATGCTCTCTCAGCCTCCTCTCGGGTGGCCCGTGGCGTCCATGGCGGTCTGGGGAAGACGGAAAGATGATATTTATGAGCAGAGCAGGGGAGCTCTGAGGAGAAGCTGATCGCCCAGCCCGCGTGACTAATTGCCACGGCCCGGTGGGTCTTGCGCACACGAGTCCCTACATCCATCCACATACTATGAAAGAGACAAAGGCGAGGCATTTCATTGTCTATCCCTACTTTACTTCAGTCCCTCCACCTTCCACACCTTGACTGACGCGTCGGCTCCGGCCGAGGCAATCTTGGATCCTCCTGCAATCCACGCTACCCCGTTGACCCCTTCCTTGTGTGCGTTAGACACCTGCAGCCAGTCGCCCGGGTTGGCCAGACTCCACACGAAGATGTTGGTGTCCAGCGATCCGCTCACGACGTGGGTGCCGTCGGCCTTCCAGGCGACCGACGTGATCCGGGCTGTGTGGGCGGTCCAGCGATCGGTGACCAGGCTGCCATCGGCAACCTTGTACACAAGCACGCGCCCCCGAGAATCGCCAACAGCCAGCAACGAGCCGTCCGGAGAGAAGGCCAGGGCAGAAACCGGGTTTCGGGAGGCCTTGATGTCCGCCTTGGGGGCGAGACTCGACCCGGAAAGGGCACAGATCTGAACGGACGAGTCCTCCCCGCCAACCGCCGCCGTGCTACCGTGAGCAGCCACCGTCGTGACCGGGAACTTGGGCTGGAAATCCCCGGCTTTCTGCCCATCCTTATAAATCTCCACGCTCTCGGGCGTCCCCACCAACACCGTGCCATCTCCGGCCGCGATACCCTTGGGCTGTCCGGCCAGCTTGGAGGAGCTTCCGGCGTAGGTTTTGGCGCCGACGTCGACGGATCGGATCGTGTCATCCCAGGCGACGCTGTAGATTCTCCCGGTCCCCTCCCCGGTGGGCGCCAGACCGGCAATGTACGTCGAGTGACTGTCGCCGTCCACCTCTTCCGCAGCCCCCGTGGGGACATCCCAGCTGCACACCCTACCGTCAAAGCTGCCGGTCCACAGAGTTTCGTTGCTGTCGCTGCTGGAGGTGAAAGACGTCAAAGACGTGATGTTTTTCTGGTGGCCCTGAACCACCTGTCGGGGCTCCGGAGTGCCCTCCACAAGATAGTTCAAGTCACCGCTCAGGGACAAACTGATCAGGAGGTTGTCGCTCCTGTTCGGGGGCCAGACCACGCCGACCTGCTGATCGTTGACATTCGTGCTTCCTTCGCCACCAATATTCCATGTTTGAGAAACCTTGCCCGCTTCGGCGTCCCAGATCTTGACGGTCTTGTCGGCACTCGCCGTCACGAACTTCCGCGAATCCTTAGACCATGAGACTCCCAGGATGCTGCCCTTGTGTTCACCGTCCCCGACCTGCCGTTGGGGTTCCCCCGTCTTGCCATCGTAGAGCCAGATCTTCCGGTCGGCGCCAACGCTGACCAGGGTCGAGCCGTCGGGGCTGAAGCCCACGCCGTAAATGTAGTTGGTGTGCTTGTCTCGGATCCCCGTGTTGAACTTGAACGGAGCGCCGTGGTAGAAGACGAGGTTCTTGTCATCGCCGGCAGCGGCGGCTCGCAGAGGTCGTTGCTGTCGGATCGAGACGGAGTTGATCTGTTGCGTGTGGCCGTAGATCTCGCCGACCGTGTTCCCACTGTCCCACGTAATGCAGTGGCCGTACCGCTGCTTTCCATCGCCCACGGCGATGATACGCTGAGAATCTCCATCCCACGCGAGATCGTTTATGCGGCCATTGATGATGCTGTATTCGCCCTTGGTGATGCCATCCCCCACGCAGTCCCAAACCCGGACCAACCCCGTGGCATCGCCGCTAGCAACGTAGAACCCCGACGGCGAGAAGCGAGCCACGGTTGTCTGCGCTTTATGTTCGGTGTACTGCTTAGCGACGGCGGGGTCGTCGATAGATCGTAGGAAGATGGATTTATTCGCCTGGCCACTCGGCTCTATCAGTTACAACTGGCCTGGATACGGGGTTGGCAAGGTATCGCGGCGCATACCGCATAAGCAAGCCGTTCGCCTTTGGCATCCGAAGAGAGCTGAGTGGGCTGACCCCTTGAGGTGGAGGGGCTGGCGGCCCAGATGGACTCTACATAGAAGGAATGGATGGTCAGTGAACGAGGACAACCCTCCAAATTAGACGGATGGCGGGGCACACCATTGGTAAATGACATGATTGCTGTTCGAGAGCAGTACAAAACAACGCTGATTGGGAAACAGCAGGAGAAGGTCGAGGAAGGGGAAAAGGGGCGGGGAGGAGGGAGGGTTTGTCGATGGGAGAGACGGCTGACGTCTTGGTGGGTCAATAAGAGCCCGCCTACGTGGAAGACTCCAGGAGTCCCTGTTCATTTATCTGTTTCTCTTGATGCCTTTTGCATTCCCCTAATAATCTCTCTCATGCTTGCAAGGGCGATAATCGTACATGACTTTCCCCCCCCCCGTCGAACATCGTCCTGGGGAGAGTAATCCACAAGTGATAAATGAGCTCGAAAAAAATAAAATGAAATGAAAATATAGATAAATATACAAATGGCAAAACAACACCGAATCAACCCATCTTCGATCGGAGTTCTGCCGCCAGGATCTCGGGGTGTCGATGGACACTAGGCATCAGGCCAAGTCCTACTGCTCGTCGGATCGCTTTGGCAATCTTGCGTTGGTTCACAGGTCGCAGCCCGGTGACATTTCGGTGCTTAATCCGCCCCATTGGCGTGATGAATTCCGACATGACCGAGAAGTTCTAGCACGGGAGGTGGTCAGCGACCAACTCAACTTGTCAAGCTTCGCCGCTACACGAGCGGGCACGTACCTTGTATAGGTCGGTCGGGTTCAAGTTCAAGGCATCAAAAGCATCCGTCGACGGACTGGATCGCCTCCTCCACTTGGTCATCTCGGTTGAGCTCAGATCATGAGGCGCATAGACGTCGCCGGCCTTCCATTCGCGCGTTTGGAACTTTTCCAGCATGCGGCTTTCGGCTTGAATCCTCTGGTCCTCGATGAATTTTTGGCGGCTGGGCATGCGACGGCGGGGGATCCCTCGGGATGCTAGGATTGGAAAAATTCGCAGTTAGCATCCGACGGAGTTTTACGAGGGCAAAGCTATCCATGAACTTACATGGATGGGTGGGCGTTGCGGTAGAATTCCACCGACAAGCGGACAAAGGGCCCAGGATTGAACCCGAGGTGCGTAGGGGCGACCAGGAAAGGAGGTTCATGGCCATCTTTTCTTTTCTTTTCTTTTCCTTTGGGGGGGAAAGAGGAATGGGAATCGGCCGCAACCAAAAGTAAAAGAAAAAGACTGGAAGGGCAGGCCGAGAGGATGAGGACGGAGGAGGGAAAAGACGTTGTGCCAAGAGCCGCCGCAGCCAAAAGTCGAGCTCGCGTTTTGCTCTTTTGCTCTTCGTTCCCTACAAACCACAAGGAAGAAAATCGCCTCTTCCCCTTCCCCCGCGGCATGCTACCTCGTCGGCCGTAATCGATCGCCTTTCACTGCCCATTTGTCTTCTTCGTATCGTGTTACTCCATCCCTTCGTGCCTCGCAGCCATGCAATCCCACTTGACCCGTCGGGTCTTTCGAGCCATTCTGAACAACGAACCATTGTCCTCTGCGCACTGCCGAAACCGACTCCTACATACTATCCGAAGTCATCGGTCTCAAAAGCCACTTGTCCTTCCGCGTTCTAACTATGTCCAACGCCGCGGATTCTTCGCGTTCAATATGTCCGAGCCGGCCGATCCCCGGCCTGCATCTTTGCCGTCGGAGACGGGCTTAAAGCCCATGAGGGACTTGATGAGAGCACTGAAGGATAAAAGTCGAGGCCCTACAAATGACCTTTTGGCCAAAGCCTTTCAGGACTTCTTCGCCGTGCGGGTCGCGTCCCCGGGGGTCATCACCGGTTTTCAGGCACGTCTGCTCAGCGTAACGTGGAAACATCTACAAGCTCAGAAGGATGACTTGGAGCCTGAAGAATGGCAAGCCGTCTTTTCGACCGAGAGCCTGGAAAACATGTTGTTTGTGTTGTCGGAGACGACATGTCTGCCGGAGTCGCGCGAGGTGGTCCAAAGGGTGGCCCGTTTTGCCTACCTGGAGCTTTGCGCGGATGAAGGGTTTGGCCCCAACCAAATCAGCCGGCCTGCCCTCATTGCCTACGTGAATATCCAAGCCTTGACTGGCAATCCCGAAGAAGCCCGTCACGTTGTGGAGTACTTTTGGGCCAAACTGCACAAAACCAGCCCCTCTCCGTGGCTCACGGTTATGAGAGGATTTGCTACCAACAACGACCAGCAACAACTTCGCCAGACCGTCGAAATGCTCGACAATTATGGCGTCAGGTTTGATGGCACTTCTCACGAGGACTTGGTAGAAATTCTCATCAAACAAGATCTCCTGGAAGCAGTCAAAGCGATCTTTGAATGCCCTCTGTTTGGCCGCCAGGAACCAACCCTCGCCGCCAAGCAAGCGGTTATAAGATATGCGATTCTTCGCTCGGAGACGTCTTGGGCGGAACCCATTTTTCAATCCATTGCGCAGGTACCTCTCGCAGAGAACATGGGCACCACGCTGCTTTGGGAGGCCGCTCATGGTAAAGATGCATCGGGCATTGCAGACATGGTCAGGTCGTTGGTGGCTCGAACCCCCGAAGCAAAGGCATCCATCGATATCTCGTGCGTAAACCTTCTGTTGGAGTACGCCAATTCTCGTAGCAACCCTGAGTTAGCCGCAGGATTTGCTTCTCTGGCGCCACAGTGGGAGCTAGAGTCCGATGTACAAACGCGCCTATTGCAGCTGGAATCGAATATCCAAGCCCGGAATGTCAGCGGAACAGTGCAATGCCTCCAGGATCTTCGCGATTTTAATTCCATCGCTCTTGGGAACCTGCCGCTGATGAATAAACTCGTTACGATGCTCTCTTTGTCGGGGCAGGAAGATGCCGTCTTCGATCAGGTTTCGTCCTTCCTTGACCCGCTCTTCGAAAATCATGTGCGCTTGGACTCGGAGACGCTTGCAGCATTGACACGCATGCTGCTCTACCGCCACGACTGGGAGGGCGTGTCGGAACTCCTCCGCCCGCGTCTCGCCCTGTACGACTCGGAGGAACGAAGCAGGGTCCGGAATGCGCTGACTGACTTCATCATGGACCATTCTCAAGACAGTGCTGATGCATGGGATGCCTACGAGCTCCTGCGGCTTGCATTCCCGGAGACGGGCGTGGGCAAGCGAACCGAGATTATGACCTCGTTTTTCAACCGCGACCGGGGTGATCTAGCATTCCTCGTGTTTGGGCATATGCGGCAGGCTGAAGAGTTCTCGCGACGTCCCAAGCCGGACACCTATGCCAAGTGTTTCCAAGGCATTGCTCGAACCCGGGATGTGAATAACCTGGAGTTCGTCCACAACATGCTCAAGCTAGACGTCGAGGTCGATTTGAACACGCAGCTCCTGAACCGGCTCATGCTCGCCTACGCAACCTGTGATATGCCGGAAAAGAGTATGAAGGTCTTTCGCGAGATCCTCCAATCGAAGGAGGGCCCGACGCACAAAACCATCGCCGTCTTTTTCAAAATGTGCGCCAAACACCCAAGCGGAGTGCACGAGGCCGTCAAGATGATGGATAAGGTCAAAGTTCTTGGTATTGAGATGGATCGTCGTTCGTACACTGCGTATGTCGAGGCTTTGGCTGCGCAGTGTGAGTTCAAACTGGCCACGGAAGCTCTGGAGAAGATGCACAGCGAAATTGGACAACTTCCCACCAAAATGTCGTATGTGACTGGACCCGCCCATGCCTCTTCTACCCTTTTTCTTTGGGGGTAAAAAAAAAATCTCGGTCTCTCGCTAATCTAGCATCGCAGGATTGCTCATCTCTACAACGCGCTCCCGTATCAATTCTGGAAGGACGAAATGGAGAAATGGACCCGGGAAAAGTATCCCGACCTGTGGGCTCGGCTAGAGACGGTCGAACGCTCGGAGCAGGAAGAGGGGCTTCGTTTCGAGGTGAAAAGCAACGAAATCTTTGTCTAGGTCGGATGATAGGGACGAAATCAACAAATACAACATTCACGGGCAGCAGGCCGCCATTCAAACGTGTCTTGGCTGTCGACCTCTCATTGAGGACCGACCGGAAGGCCATCGCAAATAATTTCCATTGCTAATCTAATTTATATCTCTTGATTTGATCGGACTTTTCTGTACGCCATGCACGGAGACCACGATCATAATTAATATCCGGAACACTGCGGGACGTGCAGTCATGTATAAGAAAGACTAAAAGAAACAAAAAGCCCGGAAGATGCAGATGCAATATCATGAATCGAGAAACATCAGGTCGTCGATCTTCGCTCTTAATTGGTTTATTAAATTATGCCTTGGACTGAGCAAGACGTTTGGTCATGCTGGCAAACAGGCACTGGTTAGCGAGAGGTGCAAATCCGATGGATCGGGACGGGGACACTCACAAATCGAAGAATGAGAATTGAGAGGGGCTGCTGCCGTACTCGTAGACAAAGCGGCTGGCCAGGTAGCTACCAAAGATGGCACGCAGGTAACTTTGGGGGACCTGGGGGGTTCGGCATTGTTAGTCGGTCGTCGTCTTGTCACCGGCACAAAAGGGGGAGGAGAGAGAGGAAAAGGGGAAAACGACTCACCCGCTCAAGAATGGTTTCCAGACCAATCTTGTCCAAGAGCAGCTTCGGTAGGGCGTCACCCAGGACGGACCGACGAAGGTCCACGTTGTCCCATAGTTCGGTCTCCTGCAGCTCTTCATCGAGCTTGGTAATAGCCACGCTGAGTCGGTCACTCAGCACACTGCGCAGTAGACCGGTCTCCACGTGTTCGCGCCAGATGGCCTCGAATTCAAGCGTGGCGTTCTGCTTGATGACCTCCTGCACCTGTCGAACGTAGTCGCTGTAGAACCCGGGCACGCTGCCATCCTCACGGATGCACATGTTCTCCACGAATTCCTTGTCGTCGAAAGACAGAGACGCCAGAACCTCGAGGGAGGATGACGTCACGCCACCCTTGTTGGCGGAGGCGTCCTTGAACAGGATAGCGCCGGCCCGTTCGAGTCGAAGTTTGCTGTCCTGAGTGATGAACAGATTGGCGCCCTCCACGATGTACGGGACGATCGACTTGCCGTCCCGGATCAGTCGTCCGACGGTGGAGAGATCAATCGACTCGGGCCGACCTCCGCAAGGAACAAACATATCGTACGGCTGATCCGGGCGCAGGTGGAAGGTGTTGCGGAAGATCATTCCGTTGTGAACCAGCTCGCCACTCGGCAGGCGAATGTTGCTCTCGTCGACCAGCACGCGGTACCCATCTCGAGAAAGCTTCGAGACGTCGAATTCCGAGATGGTCACTCGCCGCTTGGCCAGTTGCACGAGCTCTTCGTGGTTGAGGCCCTGAGGGTCCACGATGACACCCGACCCATCCACGATAGCAGTGTATTTCTCGTTGGAGAGAAGGATCTCGTTCGAACCAAGATCACCATCGGGACCACCGGTTTGCAGTTTGCGGACGGTCGAGGGGTCAATGTTCAGCTTGCGGTAGATGCCGAGAACGTACTGGCGAACGGACAGGGTCGTCATGCCGTAGGTATCGTGAGGAATGCCGCCCAGCTTGGGGCTCTTGCCCGTAAAGAACGACTTCCACCACGGGGCACCGCGGTTCCTGGCGTGTTCGGTGGCCCAGTTGACAAGCTCGGCCGTGTTCTCGTCCGGACCCATGAAGAGGATCTCATCCCTTCCGTGCAGGTCGACGATCGGATCCTTGATGCCGGGGCTGACCGGGGGGAGCAGGAGGTCCAGGACACTGTCGATGTATTTTTCAAACGCCACCCGGCCCTTGTCCTGATGGTTCACGTCGAGAAGGATCACACCCTTGGCACCGCCCTCCGGAATGTCCTTGTTCTTGCGCTGCTGGGTGTTGGCCAGGTTGTAGTTTTCGTCAAAGAGGGAGCGGGCGTTGATGCTATATGCCTCGTTATTCCTGCTTTTGACCATACGGATGCCTCCGCGGGCAATGTCGCGGAAGCGCAGATGGAAGCCGCGGAACTCGGAGCTGATGACCAAGAACATTCCGTAGAGTCGCTGGGGGTACTCGTGTTCCGGCAGGAAGTCGGGGTTCAGCCGGAAGCTGAGGGCCACTTTAGTCGGCGTGAAGAAGTTGGTCTTCAAGATCGAGCTGTTAAACACCCGGAAGGCACTCATGACCATCTCGTCGTGCTCGTTAGCAACGGAGCTCGAGATAAGCTGCTTGAGCTTCGGCCCGTCCAGAACCTCGTCGACCTGAAGGCGAAGGTAGCTGAGGGTGGGGAGGAAATCATCCTCGGCCGGGCCCCGGGTCTGCACGTAATGGGTATTGGCGAAATCCAAATAGAGCTTGTGGATGAGCTCGGGGTACTTGTTGACGATCTCCGAGATGTAATCGGAGGTGAACGTTTCAGTGCGCAACCGCTTCTTGATCTTGGCCAACAGCTCCGCATGGACACTGTTATTCGAGTCTAGTAGGTCGGTCAAGGAGGTGTACTCCGAGCCCAAGCGATTCAGGAACTGTTGCACGAACACCCACGCGCAGTGCGCATAGATTGTCTCCTGCAGGCTGAGACGACCGATGGCAAAATGGTGCTGGAAGCGGTTCTGAGGGATGCAGTAGAGGAGCGAGACCTCCTTGATGATTTGGTGGATGGCTGCCTCGATGGGAGGATATTTGGCGGTGATTTCGGCATCCTTCAACGGACGCAGGTAGAGCGAAATGACCGTGATGCCGTTGGAGAAATTCTCGAGGTACTTCCGAGAACTCGTCAAACGGTAGTAGTGGTACAGGTCGGAAAGCGCACTGAACAGGCCCATGGCAGAGCCCTGGCGGTAGGCAATGACCAATCTCTTCTCGCGGCTTTTCTCGATCTCAAACATCTCGATGACGGGGCCGGACCGAGCAACGGCGTTGCTAATGATCTCCTGGTAGACGGCCTTGGTGTTGGCCGTCGCCTTCTGCAAGAATCGCTTCTCACCGATGATATCGATGTTGGTCTCGTTGGGGCCCGGGTTGGGGTTTGCGAACTGGCACTTGTACACGAAGTAGCATCGCAGCTGCTGGCCATCGTCGCCGGGGATCGACGTCGGCGAGCGGAAGGTCTCGACTCGGTAGCTGTTATCGGGGGTGGAGCCGTTGACATACTTCTTGTCGATTCTTTGCTCGTACCGGGGGCCTTCGAAGGAAGACACGCCGGGCTTGCTGGTGTCGATATAGACGGCGTGATCCTCGGCCTCCTTGTCCAGGCGGATCTCCAGCTTCTTGTCGTCGCGGGCGTAGGCAGCGACCTTGGCTGCATAGAGGGAGAGGATCTGGGTGACGATGGCATCGACCGACTCGGTCTGGAAATAGGTATCGTCGATGCCCAGCTGGTTGTAGAACCACTCGGTTTCGCCGACGACGAACTCCGTCGGGATGAAGCCCTTGCCCTCCAGCTGGTCCATGACTACAGATGCGAGCCAACGATTAGACGGGACGATCGCAAGCTCCTCGGACAAAGGGACGGGGGCTCACCTTGTTCCATCTGCTTTTCCTTCCCTTCGAACTTGGCGGCAACGTAGCCCGGATCTTCCTCGGATAGAATCCGGTGCTGGCCGCCACCGGGAATACCCAGGTGGGTGGGCTGCGGAGACGGATGACGCACACTTGAGCCGGCTACATTGTCCAGGATTTTGTTGTGAGGGTGACGTTGGAAGCCAATGGGGGTTCCAGCGCCGGAATGAGAGCCGTCGTTGCTGCCATAGAGCTTGGGACCGGGGCGCACGGGGAGGGCATTGTTACCGTTGGCCTGGCCCTCGGACTGCGGGGTCGACGAAGGTGCGGGGGATACCATGGCGGAAAAGGTGAAGGCGAGAGTGAGAGAAAGAGAGAGAGAGAGAGAGAGCAATTGAGAGGCGTCAGAGGTGAAATAGAAGGAATCTAAAGACAGGAAAGTGAGTCATGGAGCTGAGCGGATGAATGGTGGCGCAACAAGGCCCAAGAAGGAACGAGAGACAAGAAGAGTGGAGGGTGGGGCAGAAACCAGGAAACTGGGAGGAGGGAGGAGGAGGGGGGCTGGCAACCATAAAAAAAGAGAAAAAAAAATCCAGGTAAATCAAAGAAAAAGAAAGAAAAAAGAGCAGACAGAAAGAAAAGAAAAGAGAGAGAGAGAGAGGGAGGGAGAGAGATAACGTACCTCGTGGATGGGGAATCAATCAGAGTGAAGCACTTGAGCCATGCGACCGACACGTCACCGGGAAGAAAGACAATTCACGGTAGGGAAAGGGATCTATCCATCTAATGAGATATACCGATGAAAAAAAAAAAAAAATGACAATAGGATAGTATGATAATGATGGAAGGGCCGGTGTCTTTATAGAGAGAGATGCTACCCGGTGCTATGCGATCGGCCAGGAACGGCACCGGTCCGGGGGGAAGGCGAAGGTCTCGATTGACCCGCTTAATGTCTCATAATCGATTGGGATTCCGTAGTCCCTGTCCACTGCAAAAAGTGCGAAAAATAGCGCGGCTAAAAATGGAACTGTCTCTCTCTCTCTCTCTTTCTCTTTCTCTTTCTCTTCCTCTTCCTCTCTCTTCTTCCTCTCTCTTCTTCTCCCTCGTCCTTTCTCTCTCTCTCTCTCTCTCTCTCTCCCTCTCTTCCCCGGTCTCCGGCTGGACTCTGGAGTCAACTTGGAGAAGGTCCACTTAGTAGGGCTGGATGTTTGGGCGCGGCATTTTGATGTGTCATCGTGGCTGGTGTCCTGCAAATCATCGCCGCCAACGTCGGGTTTCTCTCGTAATATGAAGTCAGTCGGGGAAAATGCCTCAAATTTCGTCAAGTTGCGACATCCTTCCCCGGACGAGAGCCGGAGGTCTGGCGCCGCAGAGATTTCCTGGCCAATGCGGGGTTGTCGATCGTCCCAACATCCATCCTCGTAGTGTAGACCGCTGGTGTTTTCATTATTAAAATGGCTCATTCCCGCATCCAGGATACCCCAAAGTGGGGGGAGCGCGGATGGAGTCCGGAGTCTGGAGTCTGGAGTCTGGAGTCTGGAGTCTGGAGTATTCCAACATCCCCTGGAGTCCTTGGGCGATAAGGTGAATCGTGGTACGACGCGACAGGTCAATCGGACCGATGGGATTGGACGAGTCATGTTCGTTAGGAAGCATGCTAGAATCGGCTAGTATGAGGCATCATTGATTCATACAGACGTATACACAGTACGGTCAGGCTGGGGAAATCCCCTGGAACTGACTCCCATATACTGCGTATATCTCTCTATCCATCCCCTCCAAAAGGGATTCCTCATGGCCGAATGACCTCACATGCCTGCCGGATTCTCCCAACGGGTCGTCTTTCCTGTCGTTCGGGGACTTTCGGAGCTCTCTTGCCTGCTATCTCAAGATGTATGTAGACCCTAGGACCGACAAAACTCACAGTCTCTCTCTCTCTTTCATCTCCCTTCCAACAACCTCGCTTCGCACCCCAAGAACAGGCCCCTTAATCCATCTACCTACCTAATATTAATCCTAATACACAAGCCCATCTTCGCGGCATCAGAAAACCAATCCAAAATGGCCTCTCCGATAGCCGCGCACCCTCCCACTCGTCCGGCTCTCCTCACGCCCTCAACATTTACTCGAGACATCTCCCGTGCCATCATGGCCTCGACGCAAGCCCCAAAGTCCGTCGACCTCGACCCTCATCCTCATGCGGGCCTGAGTTATCCTCCGCCGCCACCGCCCCCGTCACCCGTGGAATCAAGGAGTCCACATGCTGTCTGGGGTGTCGTCGGAGGGGAACGAGCTTGATCTCGAGTTGCTATTTCCTTCCTCGAACTCGCTTGGAGGGTTATCTATCGTCTCTCGTGCGGATGAAGCCTTGTACTCAATTGTTAGAATATCTGGGCGGTTTTGTTTTGTTTTGTCTTTTCTTTCTCTTTACCTCTCTATTTGCGATCCGTTTGAGCGAGTGAATTCTTTCTGCGACGTTTGCGTTCTGCTGGATCCATGGTTACACGGGTATGGGATGGATGGGAAAAGCAGGTTTCTGATTGAAGTTTCTTTTTGGTTTCTGGTCCCCCTATTACTTTAGCTAAATAGAATCGGATAGATTAATACACGTGGTGACAATGGAAGATCCGGTTGAATTGGGAATGCTCTCGTAGTGGACCACCATGCTTAGAAGGAACATGATGTACAACGGCAGGGCCACAAAACGGGTCCATCGGAGTCTCCAGATAAATCTAGCAGCATGCGAGCCCATGCAAGTTATGCGTTTCGTCAATCACATGCGGCAATCTCTACGGCGTAGAGTACTGGCATCTCTAGCTCGCCGAGAGCGGAACCCCTGGTGACGCCACTACTCTGCGTCAACCCGGTTCTTCCAAGCGGCACAATCCTTCGGGCGGAAAAGAGCCAGACTGACGACTCCGAGCGAGGCCCGAGGTGAGGCGATCATCGCCCGTCCCCAATGCTTATCGCTCCTCTTCATCCTCGGAGCAACGGCCAACATCACGTGATCGACCGGCTTGCCGGGGCATGATAATATGACCAAATCGGTTGGTCGGAGGAGCTACCTAAGCACTATGCCTCATCGTGGTTGGAAGGCCTCTGCGGGCAAACCGTGATCTTGGGATCCAAGTTGAATGTACAAGTTTTCCAGATCCGCCATTGCAGTGGTATTTCCTTGAACGGCGGCGTCGTTAAGCCGCTGGATCTCGGTGAGCTGCTCCCCCGTCTGCGCCCAGCCCCGCAACCGTTCCTCCAAGTTCTGAGCCCGTCTTAAACTGAAGGAGCTGCGTATAGTGTCGGTCTCGCCCTTGGCTTGCTTGATGCTCTTGAGTCGCTCTAGGAAGCGGGCCTGGTTTGACATAGGGCCGGTTCTGCGAGTCGTTGCGGGGTCCGTGTCCTGCGCAACGTCGGCCTCCAGCGGCTCCATTGGTGGCGCAGGGCCAGCACTGGAGATCAGATTAGCCTTGCGACCGAAAATCTTCACGCTGTTCGCAGCGATCAGATCAAAGTCCTTCCCGCGCCTCAGCGGCTTGGTTGGCGCTGCGGAGTCCGGGTCCGATTCGACTTCGGGTTGCGCAAAGAGGAGCTCGGTACCGATTTGATCGGCCCAGGAACAATTGAAGATTTGGTTTCTGTAGGAGACGATCGGGTTCGGGGTGTGCAGGCCGAGGATCTGCACTCGCTCCTCGGGGGTGGAGTCGACTTCCGTGCTGGCCAGCGCAGGCTCGTTTCCGTCCCGGTGGGAAGACTCGGTCGGTAAGGAGCGCGGAGTAGTGACCGATTGCGAGTCTTGACGTCGCTTTGATGGCCGGCCGAGGTTCTGATTTGAGGCTAGGTCCAGGGTGAGATAGAAAGTCTGCGAGAGGAGGGGAGACCGTCAGTTTGTTAGGCCAGTCGCGGGACCATGCGCGGAGAGACCAACCTCAGTTGCGTGATCGTGGTACTCATATTCATAGTCGGAATCGTCTTCGGCGGCAGCAGCAGGATCCGGCAAGATGGCCGGATCCAAGACCAGGACGGGGTCGACGGGATGCATGGAGTCATGGAGAGACTGAAGGGACAGGGAAAGACGCCAGGCGATAACGGAGTTAAGGCGGGCGGGTCCCGTGATCGGGGCGGACTTCCCGGTCCTCCTCCATCCCCGTCTTCTCTCTTCTCTTCTCTCCCTCCCTCTCTCTCTCTCTCCTCCGTCAGGTCAGCCCTGTGGCCGCAGAGTGAATGATCTCATCATCCTTGAGTTCCACTCCACCACTTGGTTGGACCCAACCAAGTGAGCCCGAGCCCCTCTCTTTGTTTGACAGTCCCCCCCCTGGCCTTATCTACTCCATACTCCATACTCCATACTCCGTACGCCGTATTCTGTTCCATAGTATGATCGAGTCCACGGTCTATCATTGCCTTCCAATTCCATCGTTCTTGAACCTCCCCTGAAATCGATTAGCTTCTTCCCCACCCCAGTAAGTCCCGCCTGTTTCTATAGTCATCACCCACCGTCCGATTTCAAATCCTTGCCACCGACGATCCGGCAGCGCGCGGAAGGCGGGCTGATCGCAGCCCTGTCACGACGCATTCGTCGCCAACAATCTGCACTTCTCATTCCTTCCCACATTATCTAATCCCCTTCCGTCCCTCCCGGTCTCTCTTTCTCACTGGACAATTCCGACTAGTTTTCAGTCATGCTGCTGTTCTCGACCGCTGACGGCCAATGCCTTCGTGCGCACTTCCCTTCCTCTTATAGTGCTCCCTCCTTCTTCTCCGGGCCTGGCTGCCCGCTTCCTTGACTTTCGTTTCCTCTGCTTCTTTTCCTGCCTCCTCTGCTGCCTCTCCCTCTGTCTCGTCTTCATCTCCCTGGAGTCTGGTCTGTCGCATGCTCCCCCTGCATCTGCCTTCCTTCCCGGTTCCCTTTCTGCTCCGCCCAGCTCTTGCGCTAGGGCTGTCCCGATTGGGAAGTCTGTCGTCCCCGGCAGCGCTACCGTCATCGCCAAAGCTGCGCCCGCTCTTTCTTCTGCTGCTGCCCAATCTGGAGAGCTCGGCCTGACCGTTCCTTGTCAGCCGCTCTCGCCTGCTGCCGACCTCGCCCTGTCGCCCAGTTACTACCAACAGATGGTGCGAAAGACGACCGCCGCTATTGTCATCCTTTCCTCCCTGATCACCTATGTTTCTGTCAACAGTCTGATCCGGGCGATCAATCCCGCGGCCTTCATCTGGTACGACGAGGACAACGACGAGTCGCGCTGGATCGCATCGTCCCGCTCCTGGGTTGACCGGAAAGCTTGTCGGTGGCTCGGAGCCTGCGGCGCCGCGCACTTCCGGCTGGTGCGCCCCCATTTCGGCCAGCGGAGGCTCGCCCCGGATGCCCCAACGTCGGGCGATCCGGCCGAGTCGGCTTCCTGGCGGGCCTTCTGGCTCAATGGGGGCAACCAGTCGGCCAATTCGTGGGATGAGGCAGAGCGATCTCGCCGAGAGGTCCCCGAGTACGTTTTCCAATACGCGCCCTTGGTCCATCTCTTCTCGGGGGAACAATTCTGGCCGTGCGATATTGCCGAGCATCTCTACCACACCACGCCGATGCTGAACTACACTCCCGTCAAGTCGCGATGGGACCATTCAACGCTACAGGATCTTGATCAGCTGAATCAATGGCAGAAAGGACGCACCGTCTTTCTGACCAGCAACGACGATGTTGAAGATCGTCCACCATGGATAGAGGGAGAGAAGAACATCCCTAGCCCTCCCGAGGATGATTTAGAACAGTCTTGGGCTGACTGGGACGGTCGTGTGGATGGGGAAATCCCTGGGGATTCGCCGGCGGAACGAGCCAAATGGTACGACACGAATCCGCCTCCGTCGAGCGCAGGAGAAGCCTTCGCCACCGAAGATAATGGCTACCTGGACGCCGAGGATCTCCTGGCCGATGAGGGAGCCCGCGACGAGCTGCGGAAGCGCTACGGCGGGGAACCGGTTCGCATGGAGGTAACTGGAGGCCGTAGTGATGCACCGGCTATCCTGCTCGTCATGGACAAAGGGAACGGCATTGTCGACGCCTTCTGGTTCTATTTTTACAGCTTTAACATGGGGAATGTGGTTCTCAACGTGCGATTTGGTAACCATGTTGGTGATTGGGAGCACTGCCTCGTACGGTTTCACCATGGCAAACCCAAGGCGCTCTTCTTCAGTGCCCACTCGGCCGGGGAGGCGTATAGCTACGAGGCTGTAGAGAAGATCGGGGAACGGGTAGGTGCTGCATGGGCGAGACACGACATATGATGTGCTAATCGTTGTGCTGTTATTAGCCGGTTATCTATTCGGCGGTGGGCACTCATGCCATGTATGCGACACCGGGAATACACTCTTACATCCTGCCCTGGGGTCTCCTCCACGACCGGACAGATCGTGGCCCGCTCTGGGATCCCCTCCTGAATTCCCATGCATATACATATGACTATGACAATGATACGCTCCGTGCGTCCACCGCCAGTCCTGACGCGCCCACGGAATGGTTCTACTTCAACGGTCATTGGGGGGACAAATTCTATCCCCTTGGGGATCGTCGGCAGTACCGATTTGCGGGTCAGTATCATTACGTGAATGGGCCGTTGGGTCCTCGATTTAAGCATCTCAATCGCCGCAAGGTCTGCCAAGGTCCCGATGAGGACACCTGTGTGATCAAGAACTACATCGGAGAAACGAGGCGGGCCAAACGCTGGAGCAGCTTCGGGCCCGGGACGGAACGCATTGTCTGAGAGATGGTATGCTTGGGGCTTGGCGTTTTGAGGCTGTCATTGTTATCGTTATTGTTATCTCTATTCTTTCGTCGCGCTCTCGTTGATGGCTCGGCTCATTGTCGTCTTAAAGAGTTTCGGCTGTTATTATGAGACATCGCATAAGATATATATACCCCGTCAGTTATGTGTTATTGGTGGTCCGAGGATGGGATCCGTGAAATATGATGGATGACGAGATACATGGTTACGTTTATATATAAGGGAGGGGGATATACTTTCTTTTTCTATCTCAAGCGAAGCCATGGGTATCTTTGTGTCTAGTTCTGATAACGTCTGCATAGAAAGACTACTGGTTGCCGGTGGGATATGAATTCACACATGTACTAGTAGTATCCTGATCTCACTTACGCGCCTTCTGAATGGTGAACGGAGCAATCCAAGTACCTATGGAAACGCGAAGGAGAAAAGTATTACCAGCTCTCAAGGGGTCGAGTCGATAGCATCATCAAAAATAGAATCCAGGGTATTTATTATTAATTCGGAACCATGACGGCTCATCCCTTCCTCGAGAGACCGAGGGAGGCTGATAATCAACAAAACGCCAGCAGAGAACCCTAACAGAGCAAGGGAGGAAAGAGCAAACGGTGAAAAGTCCACCGCTCGAGTTCATTACAAGAACATAGCGCAAGATTCCGCACGTACTGACCAACAAAATGGAGACGATGACGATCGAGGGGGGGAAGAAGCAATGGAGAAAAAAAAATGTTGAGATAGAAAAATCGACTAGAAGAAATGAATAAAAAGTCTCGGAAGATCAACGGTCTGACCAGGGAATTCCCCAACGTTTACACTCTTGAACGCCAAATAAAATCGACACGCAAAGCTTAAAAAAAAATAAAAAATAAAAAGCATGCTTCGGAAATTGAAACAGAAAAGCCACGAGAAAGTAGTCGATGCAAAGGAACGGCCCCAGACAAACGAAAGTCCAGCCTGTTCATAAAACGCCCAACAGACCGTGTAAACAAAAGGAAGGAGAAAAAAAAAAAAGACCAAACAGAATTCAACACCCAAATTTCCGGACGAACTCCCTTCTCATCTTAAACTCCGCGTCCCAAAGGAAAGGAAAGAAAAAGGAAGGATAAAGGTAAAGAGGCAGCAGATGAATCAAAGAAGAACAGGAAGAGGAAAGAGAGAAAAATAGAAGAAAAGCCACTGAAGTTTCATCATAGTCGCCTTGTAGCAAGTTGATTTCGGCTGCCCGGCTGACAGTCGAAAAGGAGCATGGATGAATTATAAGAGAAGTAGAAAGTCGTAACCCGTCATAAACAGAAGCAACTCCGCAGAGATAGATTCATTCAAATCACACACGCGTGGCTCGTTTCCGCAGGCCAAATTCCTGCTCTTGTAGTTCACGAATGAGACGTAGGCTCTCGGCATCCGGTTCCTCGTCAGCGACAGTTGCTCGTTCGCGTCTGGGATTCTTGGTGCCTGGGTCAGGAGAGGGAACAGAATGGTCGAGCCCCGTTTCTGCTGCAGGAGAGAAGTTTTTCTTCGTGTGTGATGACGAGGGGCGTGATGAGGATTTCTTTGAACCCGACGACGGACCGGGCGTGGTTTTTCGCGTGCCGGCACTCGATGCACCGAAAGACGAGCGTCGAGCAGCCGGGGTGGTGTGGGCTGACGACTTGGTGTTTTTGATGATATGGACCTCAGGCACATATCGGTCAACGTGGCGAGGTTGGCGGGAGGAATGGCGAGAACTGGACGTGGGAGTGTGAAGGACTGCGGTGTGCTCGCCATCCCCGTCAGCATGCTCGTGGGGAACGTCGGTCTCGTCGGCTAGGGAGGTTGGTGGAGAAACGAGTGAAGCTGCGGGTTTGGACGACATGGAATCTGCATTGACTTCTTTGGCAATAACTGGGTCCGTCTGGAAGGCCGGTGGTGAGGCGTACGAGGTCTGTCCTATGCGTGCTTCCTTTTCTGCCGACATCATTCTCGGCGGCTGCAAGGGCGTCTTGCTCGCATGCGGGAATCCCGTCGGAGTGACATGATCAGTGGTAGTATGTCTCGGAACATGCGCCGGCGGATGGAAGACTTGGGTGTCCGCAGCCTCGTCCTCTCGATCAAGGTGCGCCGGTCTCGTCACAGGAGACGTACTTTCTTGCTTGGGTCGTTTATTTGTCGTAGAAGCAAAACTTTCGTCGTGGGGCCTTGGCCGTTTGGCGGATGCTGCGGCTCGTGGTTTCGACCGCTCCTGCGCCTTGACGGGGTCGATTCGTCCATATTCATCGTGGATGCACCGGCGCTGCAACGACATTAATACCTCTGTCCACATCGAGAGGGTATTGAGGGGGGTACAAACCTTGCTTTTTCGACAATCATCACAGGCCTTGCTGCGTCCCTTCTTTCCGTGGCCTGATCCGTCGGGACTCATATCATTAAGCCTATGCGTAACTGAATGAGGCGTTCCCAAAGTCCCCGAGCTGTACTTTCCGGTGGGTTCGAATCCATCGTGATTCCTGCCATGGCCGTCCTGAAGGCCGGCCTCTGAAGCAATGGCTGCTAGGGAGTTCAATGCAGACGCAGCGTCATGGGCCAGAGAGGATTGACTTGAAGGACCAAACGCCCCAACCATTATTTGCTTTGTGGAAACCATATCGCCATGATCATCCTTATGGTGACACCGGATCCGTCGTTTGCGGCAAGCATCACAAGCAACCCGCTTCGGACCTAACCCAGACCCACGAGGCACGGTTCGGGGCTTGGGAGTAGACTCCTCTTTCGCGAAGCTGCCCAAAGAGAGGTGGACCGACCCAGAAACGCCGTTGTTGGATGAGATCGAACCACCATTGCTAACGAATCCATTCTCGAGCTCACGGGACTGCTCCGGAAGTCGCTGCACTGCCTGTCTTTCGGTGTACATGCGCTGGCTGTCCACGTTGCGCTCAGAGCGACGGCTGGGGCGCCCGGCGGGCTTTTTCTCCGTTAGGCTGAGTTTAGCGTTGCTTTCGACGACACCGGGGCGTGTCCATTGCGCCGCTTTTTCATTCCCGCGCTTCCAAGCAACCCAAATGCCAAATTTTCTGACCGTGTCGACGGGGTCTCCTGCCCCCTTAGGTATGGATCGCTTGATCGCATTTCTTGCGTCCATCGTCACGCCCTCGACGATATACGAGCCTGCGATCAGAGCCGTCCGCAGCAGATACTTGGCAAGGTCAAGTAGACCTTCCAACTCCGCTTGGGAGTAGAAGCGTGAGTTGTGATAGGGGGACCCGACGGGCGCCGTGTTTTCCCGTTCGCCGAATTCGTAGTAGATGGGATAGTCCCTATGGAAGCGGTAGTTTTCGTCCTGGGCGAAGGCATCTAGAACACCCCAAGGAATCGGATCGTCCTCCAGGTACTTCAACGCGGTGTACCATTGGATTTTCTGGAAGAACGGGTACCTAAACTTCCTTGGGACTTTGGTGTCCTTTTCGATTTTGGCGATCTTAATCTGCATTCCGTAGTTCAGCCTCGTCAAGAAGTTGCCGCCGATTACTAGACTGTCCTCGGGAGTCCACACGGCATGAATCCATCCGGAGGGAATCAACATGGTGTCGCCCTCGGAAAGATCAACGCGGTAGCACTCCTTGGTTTGGTCGCCAAGGAAAGTAGATTCCTGAGCAGGCGAGTTACACCATTCTTCATACTTCTTGAGGTGTTTATCTTTGGGTGGGATGAAGAAAAAAGTCTTTTTGCCCTTTAGAATGTGGTAGTAAACCGAGGAGCCACCAAAATCAACGTGGAAGTCGGTATAGCAGTTGGCGACGGACATAAGGCAGTAAAACTGCACTTTGGGGTAATCGCCAACAGCCTTGAGCTCATCTGGCCAGACGGAATCCTGCAAGTCAAGATCGCGAACGATCTTGGGCCGGCGAATCAGCCTACCCAGCTTGCTTTGTGACACCTCCAGACTGATAACGTTGCGAACAATCTTCGATCCGGAGCTTTCGTAGTAGTCGGCCCATTTCTGCATGGTCCACCTTTTATCCTCCCCTTGTTGAGACTTAACATCGATGACTTCCACTCGTTCCTCGGGGCCATAGAGTTCGGCCACGGTCCTGGTCGTGAGGCCCTGGGGGATCACCATGTCCAGCTGATCCTGGCCACAATCCAGCACGTGCTCGAAGTCCTGGTCTTCGTCGGGGACATGGTCCAGCAACTCGTCGAACATCTCCTGCGTAGGGGCTTCCTGGACCAACACATCAAATTCCGGACCGGCGGCGGAGATCGGTACCCGGGAGTTCATATGGGCAGGGATGACAATCGGTTCCGTCATTCCACTGCCTCGTTCAAAATATTCGGCTGTGACAAGTTCTGGGCGCATTCGCGGAAAGCTTTCGGGAAGGAATTGGATTCTGCCTTGGCGTATAGGTTCCAAGTAGTGATGTTCTACCGAGTCCGTGGCTGTTTTGACAAGCCCCTGGTTGAGCCCCGCATAATCGATGGCGGTGCGGGCGCGAGACGACTTGCGAACAAAGGTCGTATGTCCATAGACTGGTCGGCATTCGCGGCAAATGAATTTGTCGACGGTTCGGATCTCACGGTCGTTTTTGAATCCCGCACAGACTATGTGGAACCATCGCTTGCAACCATCGCAGCTAATCCAGGTAACGTCGCCATACTCGCCCGTATCAACCGGGATCCGTACGAGATTGCAAGCAGCGCAGGTTGCCTGGCTAGTGTCCTCGGATTCTGTGTCGTCCTCCAGTTTGGAGGATAGGCTGATCGGGAATTGGGCAATATGAGCTCCCATCGCACCAGAACTCCCCGAGCCCAGTTGTGCATCGTCCAAGGTTTCCTTGGTAGCCGAAGCCCAGTGCCTTCCCCCACCATCCCCTTCCGGCATGAAAGGCGGTAGTGTGGAGGCACTTGTGCTCGGCCGCACACCATGGTGGACTGGCCGAGAAGCGACGGCCGAGCCGTCAGACCGTGACCTCATGCGCGACGGCGGTGGATTATTCGAGGCAGAAATGCTGTATGCAGAATCCTCATGCTTCGGCTCCAGAACCGCAGCACCAAACCCGATTGAGGGCTGGGGATTTGCGTCGTGCCCATGGGGGGGATACGATTCGTCGATGCTAACGCGTTTTGACGCGGGAAAGTAGAAGTTCGAAGGCCTTGCGAAATTCAGAAGAAGTTCCGCATCCGTCTTCATGCTATCAAATGTGGAGGGAGTGTTTGGGTCGGGTATCGAATTATTCCGGAGTGGATGAAGCGGCGAAGGATCTTTCTCCGACCGCGGGCGTTTGGCCGGGCGTTCGTCCGCTTCGGTGGGCTCCGGGGGGAACAGCGGCATAGAGGGAGCGGAGTTTTGGGAGGGGGGTCGATAGGAGATGGGAGCGAAAGGGGGGCTCGTCGCGAGAGCAATCGTCGCAAGGGTGTCGATGGTCGAGCTCGATCGACCATGGCTCGACCGATGATGTCCGACGTCGGCAGCCGTGGCATACCCACCATTGTGCGAAGGAAACCGATCGCCGTCGGAGCTCGCAGCTTTGGGTAGGGCGCGGCCAACCCACGAGACGCGGGCGTCGGAGGTCGTACATGGCGAAATTGGTTCGACGGCGCGTCGCGGAGGTGAAGGAGTGCGATACCGCGGCGGCCGGGCGGCCGAGTGATTCAGAAAGGAGGTAGCGCTCATCATCGTGACGGTACGAGGAGGCTACCGGAGGCACGGGGGCCAGGTGGAGGAGGGAGGAGCGCAGAGAAAAGAACGGGTCCGAAGCAGCAGACCAGGCGTGCGGCAAAAGGATGCAAAGCGGGGAGGGGATTCTGTTCGACCACGCGGGCTAGAGAGAGGCCACCGCAAGCACAAGGAAAGTCATTCCTGGCAGAATGCACGGGCGCACGATGAACGAAGGAGCAGAGGCGAAGCGGGATGGGCGGGGAGACGAGGTGAAGCGAAGAGGTTGACGGAGGAGAGTCGCACGGCGGAACGTTAGGAGGTTTGAGGGGGTTGAGTCTGCCGGCCGGGCTAGTCGAGAGCGGCGGGAAAGGCACAGCACCGAGGAAGGCAGCGGGCGAGAGGTCCAGCGCGACAGACCGGGAAGAGGCCGGGATGGAGCGGGAGGGCAATCGGGGGAATCGACCGATTGCGAGGGCCGATGGGGATGGGCGATGAAGGAAGAAGAGCGACCGCAGCAGCAGAGGAGGGGAAGAGAGGAAGGGCGAGCGAAGAGCGAAGAGAGCGAAAGGGACGCCGCCGGCCTTGCTGCCTCAGGCCGCCGCCTCGTCCGGCCGGGTCGTTTGCGGCCGCTCGGCATGCGCAGTGGCCTGGCTGGCCTGGCTGGCGTCCTGCTCGCCCGGCGCCAGGCTGGACGACCAGACAGGCGTCGCCCGGCACCGCAGGCCCTCCCGGATGCCTCTGCTGGCCGCCGAACGAGGCGCAAAAGGCCGACTCGCGGTGGTTGAGGGCAGCAAACCGCCAACTACGCAGTGAGGCTCCGGCGGCGGACTAGGCCCAAAGGGGCAAGGCAGGCCCCGTTCCGACCTCGTGCTCATCGCGGATAATTACATCTCTCCTTCCTCCCCTTCCCTCTGGCTCTTCTCTCCCTTCGAACTGATCTGTCCCCGCCCCGTTGGGTATCGGCTCGGCATCCTTCCTCTATCCCCCAATTCCTTTTTCTGGACCAGAACCGTCCCACCTGAGAATGAGCCGAAAGCTCGCCCCCGAAGCCAATCGGTAAGTTCCTGCCTGCTCTGGTCGAACAAATCTGCCCCTCCTCGATCGACTCGGCTCTTTGTCCCCCGTTGCCAACCCCGGCGGCCGTCGAACTCGATCGGCATGGCATCTGTGCATCTGCTGATTTCCACCAGGATTCTCTTTGTCAAGAACCTCAAGTAGGTCCCTTTTTTCATCGCGTTTTTTCGCCACTCGCAGCCCGTCGCACAACTCCCAGACTCGTGGGAGTGAACGAGCCCGACCTCGACCGCTTGGGAGACATAGGCTAATTTGGTTTATCTCGATCCAGCTACAACGTAACTGCTGAGCAACTGTTCGACCTTTTCGGCAAGTTCGGGCCCATCCGGTAAGGCCACTCTCGACGAATCTCAGATGCATCGGTTTTGCGCAGGGGCTAATCCTCCGGGGTTTAGGCAAATACGTCAGGGAATCGCGAACAACTCGAAAGGCACCGCATTTGTCGTATACGAAGACGTTCACGACGCCAAACAGGCATGCGATAAGCTCAATGGATTCAATTTCCAGAACAGATATCTCGTCGGTACGTGACTCCCTCCTCCCACGGGATGAGAGCCCGGGTCCGATTTCTGCCCCGAGGTTGCAGCTGACAGGTTCTCGCTCGGTGGCAGTCCTATATCACCAGCCGGAAAAGATGCTTAGGTCGAAAGAGGATATGGCGGAAAGGCAAGAGAATCTGGAACGTCTTAAACAGCAGCACGGTATAGAATGACGTTATGATTCTTTTTGTCGCTTTCTCTGCGTACCCTTTTCCGGCATCTGGCCGCGTTTTATTATGGGTTGGTTGTGGGGTTTCTGGCGTTTTACTCTGATGGATTTCGTGACTCTTCTTCATGGGTGTGAGGGTGGCCGGCGGGTAGAATGTTGTCCTCGGGCGATTGCCTAGGGAAGCGATACAGAATGGGTTCTCTTTCATACTGGGATCAGTGCCGTTATACCAGTTAGTCACTACGATCAATGTAATCATCTCGATCGCCGGCCCCTGTCGGCTGTTGCGATAGACTCATGAGAGGTCTCCGTGTTTGCAGGTGTCCTGTCGAACAACTCCGACTGCCTATGTCGATATATCTGTAGTCTGACCGGCTGGGGTTGGGCCTGAGTGGGGAGTTTGCAATCTCAAATGGACGTCGCGCTTGGTTTATACTACATCTTACTGAATGGCGCTTACGTGTTAGCGTGCGGTAGTCGGCATAGGTTGTTGGTGATCGCCCGGCGGCCTGTGAACTGCAAGAAAGAGCCTGATTCATGACGATCATGCAATAGTGTCCATGCGGTAAGACTTGGGCTCATGCACATACTTCCAGCAACAAGGTTTCTCTCCTCGACGACTCGCATAAGCTTAACACGTAGGTTTGTTCCCCGAGCGTGCTGGCCACGATGGTCTGGAAAGCGACCTTGATAGTACCCACCCCTGCTCGTTAGTCGCGAATGTTAGAGACCAATTATGTACCGAGCACGACGACGTGGCGCTGCATCTAGGCACATCGTGCGTCGGAAGACAGCAAAGAGTGGAAGATACTCCGTAGTCTGCGGTGACGGCGAATTCCTCTCTCTCTATAAGATGAAGCTATCTCTAATAAAGGAGTCAGCGAAGGATTTCTCCAACACCGTTTAATCTGGTACCCTCGCTTGCCTGGCCTGGGTTCCGGCATCACCATTACGCGAGTATGACTGACTCAAACTATAAAATAATTCTCTTATCACCATTCCACACTAGTTTTTATATATCTTCTCTTGTATACCCCTTCTTACTTTTATCTTCTGAAGCTCTACATAAGGAGACTGCCTGCTACATCTTTCTTATTACTTACCTACTACTCCACTACTTGACTACTTCCTTACTTCCAGAATGCCTCTCCAACGACCACCAGTGTTTATGTTTTTTGGTATGGTTATGGTTCACCAGATACTTCTTTCACGGGATATTACTCAGAGCTTTAAAAGAATAAGGCTTCTTGAAGAACAATTAGCGCGGTTAAAAATCACTAAAGATGAAGAACAGCATAAGAAGGATTAGACTCTGCTTTCTTATTCCTCTTTAAGACTACGCATCTCTCGTCCTTAACCACTACCAATACCATTACCACCACCTCCTCTATCTTGATCAGAGCTACGATATGATTCCCTCATGGTTGCGCATTCGGTTCTTTTTGTTTTAGCGGATCAATCTTAAATTCGACATACAGCTCATCCCCGAAGGATCTAGATCTTCGATACTGGATTGACCGGCTTGCTGAGATGAGAAACTCCCAAGGTCTTTCTAGTTTACCACCCTCCTTTGCCTGTATCTAAGGAAGGAACTTCGCTTTTTATTGCTTATTATCTCTTGTTGGTTTTAACTGTATAAATCGCTTAAGCTGTAATTCTGTCTTACTACAAGGTATTAAATAAAGATATGTATGGAACCTCACCTTTCAGTAACTACACTTTGCAAGGAATCTTTCAATTTTAAAATAGCACACATAAGATGACGTCGTCGGTTAGGTCCTTCCACCCTTTGGTAGTGGCTTCTACACCTGACCTGTCATTATTACGCGGGAGTTTCAACCTAGAAATCTATCGAAGACCATAGAAAACTGGGTAGCCATTTCTATTGTTTCAACCACTAGTGGAAACATTGCGGACAGAATGCTATAGTTATCTAAATTCAGGATGGTACTTGGTCAGCTTTCATGGGAACACCGATAAGGGATGCCTTGATCAAACTTGCTACTAACGCAGGTTCAACTTAAGACCTATCTGCTTTATAGGAACTAAGCGAGACTAAAAGTCTATAGCTAAGTATAAATCATGGCTAAACAGGAGCTATGGTCTGGAATTATGGCTAGGAGTAATATTTAATAAGCGCTTTTTGGGGTGTTATGACTGGGGCATATGGAAGCACTAAAGTGCTTGTGGATTTACGCTATAAATATACTAGGCGAGGCTCATTCCCCAACTTCTCATCCTCCTTCATACACGCCGCATTCACCATCAAAGTTGACTGTCCTTCTAGACGCCCCGTGACAATCAAACTCCCCAGTAAATCCCAGACCCCAGACAACAAAACCATCGTCGCATCCAGCCCCAGTTTTACTCGTCGAAGAATCTTCACACCATCTTGCCTCTGCAACTCCTGAACCTCCGCGCAAAAGCCCTCCCATCTCAACTGCGCCTTATTCCAAATAACCCGCTCAGCGCCGTACGAAGCATGCACATGCCCGAACACATGAAGCAGCGGTCTAACTTTCCGTACTTCATCAAGTAAGAATGCGCAGCCCTCGGGGGATCCAAAGTCCCAGTCAAGGTGATATTTTGGGGGCGTATGCGTGACTAGGATGTCAGTCGAGGGAGGAATCTTGCCATTCCATGCATTATGAGTCACTGGGTATTGAAACGCGTTTTCGTGATCGGGACCACACTCGGGGACATACGGTGCGCCGTATATTTTCAGATACCTGGGGACTGAACCTGAGACTCGGTCTGGGGATTCAGTGTCGATGGGACTACAATCCAGCGTCACAGACGTGCCCTGGAGGTAGTGGATATCGCCCCAGTCGAAGATAGAAGAGACATCATCTTGACATGACGAGCTCTCCTTGTCCGAACAGAGGGCCATGTCTTCAGGTAACCTTGACCGAGCGTCGAAAAAGAGATCGCTATTGCCTGCAACCACGACCTTATGTCTATGCGGCAGGGTCTTCAACCAATTGATTGTTTCTTGGATGTCGGCCGCGCTGCCGGTCTGGCTCATATCGCCGGCGTGGGTCAATATGTCGCCGTCTGGAACGGGGCATTGCTGCGAATGGGTATCAGAGAGACAGACGATGCGGGTTTGGTGACTTCTTGGACGTCTCCAAGAGGCAAGGATCCAACTTAGGTATGTCAGGAAAGTATGGCTGGTTCCAGTGATAACCTGGAGGAAGGAAGATAGGGATGCGTTTGAATTCATATTGTTTGTTTAACGAGGAAATGGACTGGTTATTTCGAGACATTTTGTGCTCTTTTATGCAAGAAGGTCAGTCTAGGCAGCTTTCGATGACGCGGCAAATGGTTCCTTTCTTCCCCTCGTCTTGCCAGCCGAAGTGGTCGGCCGATGGAGATGGAACTCATTCGAACGGAAATTACGCTCCTCTTGTCCCCATAGTGTCAGCGTCTACAGGGGTGTGTCTGTTATCAATAATTGACTGTATGTTTAGGATTATTGAACATGGAGAAGGTCTATATTATTACGACGTAGAACCCTAGTAGCCCGTTTGGAAAGTTCCCTCCATTTAATACGCAAACATGGTTGTAACTTAGTCTCATGTACCATATCGAACCACCCAGATTTCATCATATTGCATACCCGGGTTTCATAGTCGCCTTAATCCGGTATGGCTGTACCAGTTGATGAGGGCTTCTCTATTCCGATCATTCTATGTTGATGACTGCGAACTGGAGCCAAGGTTCTGGAATCATTTGCATTTCAGTAGTTATAAAATAATGGAGGACCAACGGAAGACCGCTGTTGATGCCTCAGGATCCAGGCACCGCTGATCCCGTGCCATCCCCAAAGCGGTTAGACTAGAAATGCCCCACTGGCCAGTCGCTGTCGAGATTTTCTGCCTTTTTTTTTTTTTTTTTTTTTTTTTTGAATCTTCCTCGCAACACCTCGTCTTCCAAAGCATCCAGATCTTATCTGCACCACGGCAGTGATCCTTCGCGTGAGCCATTCTTATTTCCTCGAAAATCTCACACCCTCGATTCATCACCTGAAATCATGTCTGGAGAACCCAATGCTGGTAAGTAGAATACCTTCGTGCATCCGAACCGCATGCGACGATATACTAACGACTTTTTTTCTCCCTTCGATAGCTTGGCCTCTCGCCGACGAGAGCCTCACCCAGAACATTCTGGATCTCGTCCAGCAGGCGTCTCACTACCGCCAGCTGAAGAAGGGTGCCAACGAAGGTCGGTCGTTTCCACCTCACACAACTGTTCATCTATTGACTCCTATATAGCCACCAAGACGCTGAACCGCGGTACTGCCGAGATTGTGATTCTTGCCGCCGACTGCAACCCCTTGGCCATCCTCCTTCATCTGCCCCTGCTCGCCGAGGACAAGAACACGCCGTACGTGTTCGTCCCCAGCAAGCTTGCTCTGGGACGCGCGACCGGCGTGTCTCGCCCCGTGATCGCTGCCAGCATCACCACCAACGAGGCCAGTGATCTTATGGGACAGATCAGAACCATCAAGGACAAGGTTGAGAGACTCATGATCTAAGATGGGTAGGGGTGGAATCCAAGGGCCTGGGCTGTTGTCCGTCGATCTCTCCTAGCCTCGAGCCGGGCTACACGGCGTTGGGGGCAGGATAATGACAATAGAGCTTGCTATGTTCTCTGATTCAATCAACCATCGATTTTCCTGGATATCGACTTCCGCAGCCCATGCGAAATGGGTGTAATCGTAGCCACCGGGCAGGATGTGCCGGATGTGCCGTGAAGGGGCGGATATCCTTCAGTCCAACGCACGGCGCAGCACACCGCCACGGGTCATTCGACCACCGCCCCGCCGACTCGGTGATTTGATTGTGATGGTGGTGATGGTGATCATTACTCCGTAGTATTTCCATTATTCCCTTGTAAATGGGAAGCGCCGCCGACGCTCGACCGGGTTTGAGCCTGACTAAGGCGAACTAGTGACCAACTCCGCCCACTGGGCGGGGGCCGTGTCTCGTCCTGGCACCGCCGGTTGAGTTTGTTTCTCCCTTCCAATTCCAATAAATGAATCTTAACCCACCGCTCCTGGCTGGCTCAGGCTCCTTGCTGGTAAAGGAGTTGTTTCCGTCATCAACGGGGGCCGTCTTTCTCTTTCTTCGATCCATCCCCTACCGTTGCCCGGCCCTGTTTCGAACCAAGTCCCTTTCTCCGTCATCGCTTACTTCTCGTATCGCCGCCACTAGGAGCTAGCTGCGCTCTCTGTCGATGACACCGGCAACCTGCTTGGAACCATAGCCTTGCATCCTTCTGTGATTCTGGAAGCAGGCGGTTTTGATTGCCTCGTGGCTACCATGACCGTGTCGCGCCTTTCGATGGCCATGGCAACCGCCGTCGTCGCTGTGTTCGTCGGCGGCGTCTCCGCCGGCGACCTCGGTTCGACCTCAACCATCCTCGCGACGCCATCCCCTTCGCCATCGCCATCCGCACAGTCCATCCCCTATCCGCTGGCGGGTCCAGACCCCTCGGGGGATGCAGACGACACCGGAGAGTGTAGGCTTCTGGGACCCTTTTCCCTCCTCGTCCAAGCCGCGCTCGGGGGGCTGGCACTCTTGTCTTTGGTCTACAAGCGTTGGAAGGAACGACCGCAGCGACCTCTGAAGATCTGGGCCTTCGATGTCTCGAAACAGGTCTTTGGGTCGGCAATGCTCCATCTCGCAAACTTACTCATGTCCATGTTTTCCGCCGGTCAGCTAGAAATCACCAGCGACTACAAGCCGAATCCCTGTTCTTTCTACTTGTTGAATCTGGGCATCGACGTGAGTGTTAACCCCCCCCTCTCATCCTCGGCCACTGCCCGGGAACTACCTCCAAACTAATACCCGTTGGACTATCAGACCACCCTCGGTATTCCGATTTTGATCTTCATCCTCCATGTACTAAATCGGTTGGCCTCGTATACTCCACTTGCCAACCCCCCGGAGTCTATCCAATCGGGAAACTATGGCCGCCCTCCCCGTGCAACTTGGTGGTTCAAGCAGTCCATCATATATTTCATTGGACTGCTGGGAATGAAAATCTGTGTCTTTTTCCTCATCCAGTTACTGCCGTTCATCGTCAAAGTCGGCGACTGGGCCTTGCGATGGACAGAGGGAAACGCGGCCGTGCAAATTTTCTTCGTCATGCTCCTCTTCCCCGTTTGCATGAACGCGATTCAGTATTACATCATCGACACGTTCATCAAGAAGCCATCGCATGAGCTGCTGGAGGAAGAGGACGACCATGGGGACGATTCAGACGAAGACCACGACCACCGCCACGCGCTTTTGTCAGGTCTCGAGGATGATGGAACGTTGGTGTCCGAAGATGATGCTGCGGAGCGAGGGCCCGCCAAAGGTCTGGACAGCCCGTCGCGAACGAAAGAAGCTCTATCCAATTTCGACGCTGCCGATTACCCCCCAACGGTTCGAGGCGAAAGCAGCTCTGCCTCGACTGCTTCAACCGGTTCAAGCAGCAGCCATGGCGAATATGATCTGATGTCATCATCTACGAAACTCACGGTACAGCAAAAGACCCCATGACGAGGGAAGGATTGATGGTTATGCTCTGCGGTGTTATGTGTTGGAGTTGGATTCCCGGCAACGATTTGGTATCTTTCTACGGAGCTATTGTTTAGTTTTTGAGTATTTTATCTTGATTTTCTACCCATATGCATACATATATTGGATTTTGTTTTCGTTGTATCCGTTGAAGCAGAACAGATACGCCGTCATAGAGTCTGTACAGAATCCCAAGCCTCTTTTTCTCCTCTCGATGCCGGGGCTGACTTTCCTATACCTAGCAGCCTGTCATCAACAATAAGAACAAGTAGAACTAGAAATTCGGGGTGTTATCTGAGTGGCTGCCTGACAGCGCGGGCATACCCTAAGGCAGCACTGTCCACCGCAGACGCCACCGCCCGCATCTGCCGGACGAGCGCAGAAAATTATTTGTCGGCGGCTTCGTCGAATCTTTTCCGCGGTTTGATCTGCGACAGTCCTCGTTTCCCTGTCCCGGCCTTTGTTTTCGACCTTTGCTACTCGTGCGAGATCTTTCATCTCTATCTTGAATACCGCCGTTTAGATTCAAATTCATCGTCGATCCAACGGAGGCCGCTTTGATAATGCCGAAAACCGCGGTCAAGCAGAAAACCCGCCAAAAGGCGAACCCGGCTTCACGGTCGCCTTTCGAGAACTCAAAACCTGTCCATGACGATAGCGACGTGGAAATGGGCAGCGAGGCTAGCGACATCGACGAGGATGTGCGCGAGAAGGACGAGGCGGAGAGGAAGCTGGAGAGAATGCTCTTCGGTGACGACGAGGGATTCCACGGCGCACTGAAGGGCCATCAAAATCGCAGCTTGGCGGCGCTGTCGGCTATGAGTGATGACGAGGCGGCCAGCGAAGGGGATGAGAGCGAGGAAGGGGAGGATGGGGAGGATGGGGAGGAGAAAGACCTGGATGACATGGCCGATGCCGATGTTTGTGGCCCTCCATTTAGCTCTGGGTTGATTCTGCTAACGCAGGCTTCTACAGCTTTTCTTCCTCGATTCCGGGGCAGATGGCGTTCCTGCCGACGTCGCCGCGCCCACCGAAATGTTGTCCGATTCTGAGAGCGAGGATGACGAGGAGGCCGATCAATTGCCAGCGGTGTGGCATGACAGCGACGATGAGCGCCTCACAGTTTCGCTTGCGAGCCAGCAAAGGCTGAGGAAACTGCGGGTTGCGGAGTCCGAAGATGTGATCAGTGGCAAGGAGTATATTCGACGTCTTCGCAGACAGTACCAGCACTTGCATCCGACGCCTGAATGGGCGAACCCCGAGCTGAGCATGGCCCGGGGCGAGTCCGACTCGGACCGTGCGGACGACATGGACACGGATGATGAAGTCCAGGACTCTGCGCAACCTCTTGCCAAGCTACTCCGGGGAATTACCGATCTTACGAAGCTTGAAGACAACACGCAGCCCGGCGGGAAGAGGAAGCTACGCCAGGAGATGTTGGATATCCAAAGGCTGAAGGACGTTGGGAAAGACCAGCCGGTGAGTGTGGTCCTGGTTTGACCTTGACGATAACCGAACCGAGGTGCTAATCCGACAAATTTTCCAGTCTTCAATCGATTCGCTTTCCTTCCATCCTCACTACCCACTGCTACTGTCCTCGGGGCCGGCGGCGACGCTTTTCCTTCACCACATCTCCCCCTCTTCTGCGGCGCCCAACCCCCTCCTAACCTCATTCCATATTCGCCATACGCCCATTCACACCTCGGCGTTTGCGCCGCCCGCTGGCAATAAGATCTTTGCCGCGGGACGCCGGCGCTACTTCCACATCTGGGACCTGAACAGCGGCAAAGTGGACAAGGTCAACGGCACGGCCGATCGGAGGGAGGAGCAGAAGTCCATGGAGCGATTCAAGCTCTCTCCCTGCGGTCGGTACGTCGGGCTGGTGGGCACGTCGCGTAAGGGCGGCGGTCTCATCAACGTTCTGGATTCGGGCACGGCGCAGTGGATCGCGCAGGTTCGGGTGGACGGCCGCGGCGGTGTGGCGGACTTTGCCTGGTGGAGTGACGGCGAGGGAATGACGGTCGTCAGCAAGAACGGAGAAGTGTCCGAGTGGGACAGAAAGTCCAACCGGGTGGTGGCCCGGTGGATGGACGCAGGTGCCGTGGGCACGACGGTGCTCAGCCTGGGAGGACGATCGGGGCGCACGCAGCTGGGAGGCGACCGCTGGGTGGCCATCGGAAGCTCCAGCGGAATCGTCAACGTTTACGACCGGCGTCCCTGGGCTGCCGCGTATGCCACGCAGCCCTCGTCGGCCATCCCACGCAATCCGGAGCCCGTGCGGGCACTGGACCAGCTCACGACGCCGATCAGTCACCTGGTATTCGCGCCGGATGGACAGTTCTTTGTCATGGCGAGTCGGTGGAAGAGGGATGCGCTGAGAATCGGTAGGTTCTTTCTCTCTTCTCCCTTGGATTGATTCCTAACATAAGACAGTTCATCTTCCTACATGTACCGTGTACCGGAATTGGCCCACGTCCAACACACCTATGGGACGAATCTCGTCGGTAGCCATTTCCCCCAATTCCGAGCAACTCGCCGTGGCCAACGAACAAGGACGAATCCGACTTTGGGAGATCCGAGGGTAGGCCGGTAGATGAGAAGAGATGAGGAGAGCACGAGCAGGGTATATAACCAAAGACATAAAAGTGACATTGCTTACGCAGATATCGATAGAGGACAATGTATACTAAGCATTTCTATTTCCCAATACGATAGCAAATAATGACGACCGGCTTTCGGAGAGAAGATTAAAAGATCCAAATAAATGTCCTCCAAGGAGAGTGCGCAGGTCCCAGACCGGAACAGAAACAGGAATTAAACAACATATCAGATAGAAATCAACAATATCCTGTGATAATAAAAATATGTTATGGTAGTAGGTAGGTAGTCAAGATTCAAGATGCCAAAAAGAAAAGGAAAAAAAAAAGAAAGCTCGCCCGATGTGGGGCTCGAACCCACAGCCTTTCGGTTAAAAGCCGAACGCGCTTACCAATTGTGCCAACCGGGCTAGTCGCTGCCATCGTCTGACGTTAACCTCTCTATGAGGCCTGCAAATGTCGATTCTTCTCAGGCACCAACTATCGATCCGAGCTGTTTTTATCATCGAGCAGTGGTCAATCACCCCAGAGTCTTTCATACGCCATGGATGTGCAATGGAGGTAAGAAAGGGAGAGGAAAACTTACCACATCTAACAGCCCCGTCACCTGCATTCCATCAACGACATCTGATCAGCTCTCACGTTTCCATGGTAATCGATGCAGCATGTCCATCTAGAGCACTCTACTACATTCACAAATGTAGATAGATGCATCTATCGAGAGGGGTAACGATAGTGGAATTGGACCTTTAATGACTTACCTTGGACAGGACGGAATTCTTCTGCGATTCTGTCAGTCTACGAAGCATATTGGCGTGATCATCTCATCTCAGCTTACCGGTTTCGAACTGGCTGGCGACCCCGTCGGTTGCGCGACAGTCACGGGGGAGCTGCTGGGGGTTGCGCTACTGGGAGAGGCACTGCTGGGAGTCGCACTGCTGGGAGTCGCACTGCTGGGAGTCGCACTGCTGGGAGTCGCACTGCTGGCTTGAACCGGCGTGGGCGTGGCGCTGGGGCTGGGACTGGGGCTGACGCTATCGGAGATTGAAGGACTGTCGCGCACGACGCGGCCGCCTCCATGAGGAACAGCCATGGCGCCCAGGGCGGCTCCGAGGAGGAGGAGAGAGGGCTTCATCGTTGGAGTAAGAAAGGAAAAATAACGATAGGTACTTGGAGATTCGAATTGGGCTGGAACAGAAAAAACAAAGGGGTATCGGTGGATATTATGATATCTATATAGAAGACGGGGGTTGTGATATGCTTGTTATCAAGGGATCCAAACACGATGTCTAGGATTGTGAGACAAGGGATGAGACCGTTGTCACTTCTAGCGACTTATATACATCGATGCCTTCGCACTTCACGCATGGGGGAGCCGCCATGTCCGAAAACACAAGTCTACTGCATTCTTGACCATCGCCCGCTTCAGGAACTTCGACCGGCCGATCCATTCCAGCCTCGTTTCTGGGGTGTTGCGTGCAGCTACTTTGACGGGTCCGGGGAAATTCTTGGATTTTTTAAAAAAAAGAAATAGTGGCAATTGTCAGACTCTTGAGCTATCTGCCATCTAACGTTTATCCCCGTCTTCATGGTGTCATATATGCATCCCTATCATAATATTTTTTTTCTTTGCCTGGGAGGATTTCCCAAAGCATCGACGACCCAAATCAAACCGCGCACACTCCCTCCATTAAGGAGAAAAAGAACAAAAATAAATCAAATATATATTAAAAAAAAAAAAAAAAAGCCAACCCCGGAGAATGCGTCATTTACAGCAACGTTTTCATGTCATCCATGTTGCGGATACCGGCCAGGTTGCCTGCCTTGACGCGCTTCAGGGTCAACGCCGCAATGAGGGCGGCGCCCACACCGGATCCATCCTCGGCCGCCATGATGGAAACCTTATCCTGCTCGGTGGGCTGCCAGTCGAGGATTTCGCGCAGCGCCTGCGCTCCACGGGCCTTGAAGTGAGGGTACTTGGTGAAGACGGAACCGTCCGCGCCCACGTGGCATGAAGGCATGTTCTTCTTCTTGCAGATGGCGGCCACTCCGCAGGCCGACAGGCGAGCCGCACGCGTTCCGATCAGCTCGGCCAGGCGACGGATCAGTTCCAGCTCCGCCTGCGTAGCCTTGATGTTCAGCTTGCGCTCCATCAGCTCCTCCGTCTCCTGCAGGTTCTCGTACGGGTCCTCCTCGATGGCGGCCAGGAAGGACGAGTCCAGCAGGTACGGCTTGCGCAGCTGCGAGGTGTCCTGGTCGCGGAAGACAAGGCCGGGTCGGCTCTCCAGGAGATCCAGCAGAGCCAGACGGAAGATCTCACCCAGGTAGAGACCCGCGGTCATCTTCTCGAACGCCTGCTGGCCCGGACGGGGCGAGTCGCGGTCGATGATGTGGTCGTATTTCGTCAGCGGCAGCACAACGTGCTCGTTGTCAAAAGCACCGTACTCGCAGTTGATGGCCACCGGCATGTCCGCGGGGAGGTTCAGGTGGGCCAGCTTGGGCACGGAGCCCACGTCCTCCATGTAGGCGGCGTTGACACCGGTTCCGAAGATGCAGCCGATCTTCATGTCGGTATCCGTGTAGGAGGAGGCGATCAGGGTTCCAGTAGTGTCGTTGATCAAAGCAGCAACCTTGATCGGAAGACCCTGTAGCAATTTCAAACATCGTTAGTCACCCGTAACACCCAAAAAAGAAACACAGAGGGACCAGGGTTTTCTCGTACCCGCTTCTTCAGGATCTCCTCGAGGGGAGGAACAACATCCTGGCCCTCAACGCCGTCGATGTCGAAACCCTTGGTCCACCGCTGAAGGACACCGTGATCAATGTAGTCCTGGGTGGCGGGGTAGGAGAAGGTGAAGCCCAGGGGCAGCTTGGCCAGGTCCTCGTTCTCGTGGTGGTATTCGATGAACTGCTGGAGACAGTCGGCAACGTACTCCCACAGCTCCTCGGCCGTGCCGGTCTTCAATTCCTCGGGCATGCGGTACTTGGACTGAGTGATGTCGAAGGCACCCTTCTCCTGGGTCAGGGTGATCTCACAGACACGCAGGTTGGTGCCACCCATGTCCAGGGCGAGGAAGGTTCCTTGCTCATTGCCGTCGGGGAATCCCAGCACCCAGGTCACGTTCATGGGCTGGAAAAGGCATCGACGTTAGCCTAGAAATGCGCGAAAGGAGGTCCGCGCCGGGGGAGGAGGGCAGAGAGGCTTACAATGTTTCCACCTTCGACGCTGAGACCTAAACCAGCCCTCCGCGGTTAGTGGAAGGCATCCCACCAGATTGTGAAGGGTTTGGAGCCAATCAACCCACCCTTCTCCAGTTCCTTGACGAAGTGGTCCACCACCTGCTTCAACTTGGCCGTATCGACGGTGAAGATCTCCTCGAGCTCCTTGATCTGCTGCAGGAGATTCTGAGGCAATTCGTGCCTCGAGCCTGACAGGGGACATGAGTAGCTGAACCGGGAACGACGGAACGGACGGGGGGTGGTGATATCAGCTTACCCTTGCGGGAGGGGGGGCGCTTGGGACCGATTCCGACCATGATGGCAGATAGAAGGGAGGGGGGGGTAGTAGAAAGCAATTGGCGAGGGGAGGGAGGATGATCAAATGCCGGAGGGGACGATGAAAAAAAGACGAGGGAAGATGATGAGGGAGAGAGAGAGGGAGGGGCACGACGACTGGATGATATCAGGCGTGGGGCAGCGCGGGAGCCCGAAGTCTCTGGGCGTCGACCAGTCAAGGCGCCGGCATCGACTCCGCTGTGGACTCGCGGATCGCCTCACCGGATCTTGTTTAGGGAGCTTCGGCCTGAGGAATCCATGCCTTTCATCATTACGGCCTCATCGCGCCCGCTGCCCTGCGGTTCTGGACTCTGGCGAGGGCATCACCGCCCAAGCTTGGCGTCCACGTCGTTCCCCCAAGGAGGGTCTGTGCAGAAACAGCTCTCATTGCGGTCATCGTCTTCGTAGTAGTAAACATGCATCAACCAAACACTGAATGGATATTTATAAACGTTCGCCCGTCACACCAACCAAACGCCGGTTCCCCCTTCCCTCCTCCTGCTCCCTCCTCGCCCCCTCGTCTATGGCGGGTTTTGCGGCCGCGCGAGGTGAGGAAACACATGCGCCAATCCCCCGACCTTCCCCGGTTCGCCGCTTGTCTTTGCCTCCGACCCGTTCAGATGTCGTCGTACCCGCTGCTGGTAGGCGTCGGAGATCCCCAGAGTCCGATCCACCTCCTCGGTCAGTCGCTCCACTTCATCCCGGAGCCGTTCATCCTTGGTCTTCAATGAGGCCATCTCGGCCTCGCGCGAATCCTTGTCGGGATTCGTCGCCTGCCAGAGGAGCTCGAGGTCTTGCTCCCAGCCGAGGGCGCGAGCAAATTTCCGCACGCCCGCATCACAATCGCCGAGGATCAGGACGTCGTCGGCACGGGAGCCCATCCCCCCAACCCGGTCCATGTTGATCAGAACGCGCGGGATGCCGTCCCGACAGAAGGCCGGTAGACTTGCAAAGGGCTGCACGGAAAGACTCGTGCCCATGACGATGCAGAGGTCGGCCTCTTCGGGCAGCGTTCGGTTGTCGAAAAAGTCCTCGGGCAGAGCTTCGCCAAAGAAAACGATGTCGGGTTTCACGATTCCGTTGCACTGGGAGCAGTGCGGCACCTCGCCCTTGACAATGGCATCCTTCATCAGAGCCTCGGGGTATTCGGCGCGACAGTCGATGCAATGCTGATTGGCGAAGCTTCCGTGGGCCTCGACGATCTTCTCGCCCGGCACGCCCGCCAGGCGCTCGAGACAATCGATGTTCTGCGTGAAGTGCTTAAGCAACAGGCCCTTGTCGTGCAGCAGCTTGATCAGCGAATGCGCGATCGTCGGTCGATACCGGCCGGGGGCCAGCTCTCGCGCCAAGGCGTAGAACGGCCGCGGATTCTCTCTGAAAAATGAAATATCGAACACCGCTTCGGGATCGGGCAGGTCGAGATGGGCTAGATTGGCGTAGATCCCAGTATCTGGCGAACGGAAGTCGGGAATGCCTGCCGACGTGCTGATGCCCGCGCCGACCTATATACTCCGCCGAATTCAGCCGTGAATCAGGCACGGGGGACAAAGGCAAGGAAACGTACCATCACCACCACGCGTCGCACATCCTTTTCTTTAATGTATTTGGCCAGTGCCTCGACCGTGCGAGCCTCGAGCACGGACGGAGGCGTCGTATCGTCTATCAGAGTCGAAGATTCGTTGCCCATTCTGCGAGGCAAGCGGCCGGATCGAGGCCGGGCGTGTTGGTGTCGGGGACGGCGACGACGACCGATGGTGGCGGTTCTGTAGAAATGGAAAAGAACGAAGAAAGAATACGTCTATAGATACAGTATAAGTCTATTCGAGGAACGGATAACGAGGGCAATTGAGGCTGAGGGTCTGGGAGTCGATAGTAGATAAGGCGACGAGGGGAAGAAAGCGAGAAGAAAATCGGCGGCGGATGACGTCGAATCGGCTTGCCGAATAGGGAAGTCGCTGCCTGAGGTGTCGGTTCTCCGGGGACGGATGCCGCTGGTGCAGATGGCCGCTGTCTTTTGACTGTTGACCGGGTCCAACATCCGATGCTTTGTCTGGTGCCTATGACATTCAGCCCACTCCAATTGCTGGTCGGAGGAGGGAGTCCCTGACGACTCCGTCCAGTTCACTTTCACTTATGCTCAGGCATTGTTGACAGCCTCCTCACCGCCTTCCCCGGCGGACGGCGGCCTCCCCAAGTCGCCAGATCGCCCTTTGGCCGCTCTTCGTTCCCCCCTGATCCAGCCTCCCCCTCGTGGACAATGTCCAAATCCACCGCCGGCCCAGTCAATGGGCACGTGGTGACTCCGTCGTCGCCGTCAGCCCTGCGTCGCCCTGCGTCCTCGTCGGTTCCCGCGCCGGATATCTTCAATGCCAGCTCCGTCGCCGAGATCAAGGCCACTTTGTCGCACCTGCACGACCAGGAGGCGTCGGTCACGGCCCGTCTAGACGCTCTCGTCGCCTCCCAGAAGGATTTCTCGCGAGAGCTGGGCCGATTGGATTTGTTGCGAGCCAACCTGGGCTCTCAGACCAGCACCACGCGCTCCATCAGCCATGGCATGCTCTCCAATGCCGCGGCCACCGCAGATCGCATCTCAAGCGCCGTCCGTCACCTCGATCTGGAACAATCTCGGGTCAAGGCGACGCTGGAGGTTGTGGAGCAGGTTTCCGAACTGAAGGCCTGCGTGCTGGGCGTCGCCGGCTCCATGGGAGCTCCCCAGGACTGGGAAACGGCGGCAAGCTACCTGAGTCGGGCCTCCAAAATCCCGTCCGACGTGGTCCATGGATCTTTCGCAGCCGAGATGGTGCCTACCGCCGAGGTGCCGGATCCGCCCAACGTCACTCTGGACAATGCGGCCGAGTCGCTCTGTGGCCTGTTCTTGCGCGAGTTTGACAAGGCCGTCAAGGAGGTCAACGGCGCCAAGATCACTCGATTCTTCAAGCTGTTCCCCCTGATCGGTCGCTCGGAGGTTGGCCTCGACGTGTATGGGCGCTACGTTTGCCAGGGGGTGGCGTCGCGGGCGCGGACCAATCTCAACGCGGGAACCGGCGCACAGAGCAAGGATGGCTTCTTCTACGCGAATGCGCTTACCAAGTTGTTTGAGCACATCGCTCAAATCATTGATGGCCACGGAGGGTTAGTGGAACGTCATTATGGCCCCCGGAAGATGAATCGGGTCATTGAACGGCTGCAGCTCGAGGCGGATGTTCAAGGTGGAATCATCCTCGACACCTGGAGCGATGAGAGACATGTCGATCGCAAGCTCACGGACATCAAATCATATGCGTTTACTTTCTTGGTGCAAAGTTTCCTGCCCCCGCAACGAAGCACGACTCCACGATCCAGCTCCCCTGCAACCCGCGATGGAGCTGCCGAGGACGAGGGTGTGGATATGAAAGAAATCGATGGGCTTCTCAATGAAATGGCCGTCATGCTAGGCCGCTGGTCTCTCTACTGTCGATTCTTAGCTGAAACATGCAATGTAAGTCATCAGTCCCTTTCCTTCGTCAATATGCCGCTGACGAGTCCGCAGGCACCTGAAAACGAAGATCAATTCACACGCCCACGGTTTCTACAAGACTCGACTCTGATGAAGAAGGTCACTGATCGACTTGTGGCCCCCTTCAATGCCATGACAACTTTCTTCTTCCGGCGGTCAGTTGAGAAGGCCTTCCAGCTGGATGAGCAGCCTTCCGGCCTGACCTTGAACCCCCAAAAGCCGCTGAAAGCCGACCCACCTCATATCACCTCGGCAGTTGGTGATATCATGTGGATTGTAAACAAAGTCTTGCAACAATCTTTGGCTACGTCGCAAATCGGCGTGGTGACCAATGTAGTTCCCACGCTATCCCGAGTCCTTGGCTCGGACTTTATCGGCATGACGCAGAGGAAAATGCGCGATGAATGTTACCCGCGAGCCACCGTCCAAGGGGGCCAGCCGCCTGAACATATGGTCATTGCCTTTTTAGTGTTGATCAACAATTTGGACGTGGCCGTTGACTACGTCCAACGGGTTGTACAGAATCATACCGAGACCAAGAAGAGGACGACGGGTCCCGAAGGTCAGGTTGAAGAGACCGACCAGCTTCACTCTCTGTTCCCCGTCCCCGCGGAAGCCACTCTTGCGACACAGACCCTGCAGACCCTTTCGTCATCGTTTGAATCCAAGGTCAACGATCTTCTGTCGGACGGGATCCAGGTCGTGTTCAACAACGTTGTCAAGCACCGTCTACGGCCTATCCTTGCCGATGCCTTCCGAGACATCGAATACCAGCCCGGGGAGGATAATGATCCTACCAGCGCTGCGTACGGCGAGTATGACCATCACGACGAAGCGGACGACGACTCGACGACTCGAGCCGAACTCGTGCGTCCCCGCTTCGCAGCCAGCTGGACCGAGCTGCTCCTCCCGCTGTCGCGCATCCTAACCACGTCGGCTTTCGACCGACTCATGACCGTCACGGTGGCCTACCTTACTCGCTTGTTGGAGAAACGACTGTGGTCCTACCACGGCCGGGTCAACGCAATCGGAGCCACGCGACTGGAGCGGGACGTCTCGGGGGTGGCCAGCGCCGCGGTGGACATTGGCGGTACGTATGGCGCACCGGGCCGATACCGGCACCGCGAGGCCTTTGCCCGGTGCATGCAAATTGTGCTGGTGATGGGGATGGACGAGGACGAGTGGGAGGATGTCTTGCGGGGAGGGGAGACTGCCGAAGTGGTTGACAAGCTGAATCGGGAGGAACTTACGCGCATTCGAGCGATGGTGAGACGATGATCCTGTCAGTATAAAAAGAAGAGGTCTTTTTTATTTGTTCGATTAAGCATACGTTCAATTTCCAGACTCGAGTACATCCGTGGATACTTACTTCTGTCATGTTTGCTCACGTGCGGCCCTGCCTGATCGACCTTCCACATGACCAGATTCCTTGTCGGTCTTGTCTGCGGCCTAAGGCTGCAAGGTACCCGAATTCTGTATCGGATCGACTGGCTCTACTGCGTAGTCCCCTTGGCTTCGGAAGAGTAAGATCTTAGGAAATCCAAGGGATTCAAAGGGAATTCAAATGTTATGGTCAACAAATATTCAATCAATCTATGCACGTGGTATCTGGAAATCCCATACAAGCAAAAACAAAGAATCCCCCGCCAAAACCCGATTATATACAATCAAACCCATCAGCTGATAGCAAAATAGAAACGAACTCCTGCTCCAAGCAAATCCCAGACAGGTATAAAATAATACATCACATAATATGGCTCAGCCAAACGAAACGGACACGCTGGATATCGTAACAAGAAAAAGAGAACGGGAAAAAAAAGAAGCAAGGCAGCTGAGATCGGATTACTGAGCTTTCTCGTCCGACCTGGGCAGTTCGGACCCTTCGTCGACGGGGTGTTGCTCAGCCACCTGGCGGGGAGCCGGCGCGATCTTGATTTCTTGGATGCCGGAATCGCCCTCGCTGCAGCCGCGGCTGTCGATCCCGATGGGCGGGTGGCCGTCCAACATCATTTCGCTGTGCTCGCCGATCCCGTACCGCGCAGCGGCAGGGATCTGGTGTCCGTCTTCGAGTTGGTCGTGTTTCTGCGGCGTCCAGGCCAGGTAATCACGGCGGACCTCAACGTAGTCGTAGGCAAATTCACCGAGTTGGTCGTCGTCCATACCCAGCAGCTCGGCCTCCTCGGATGCTCGGAGTTTCAGACCAGGGATGGCGTTGATGGCGTACGCGATGATGGCAGAGACGACGAAGGTGTAAGCGCTGGCGGCGACAATGAAGGCGATTTGAATGTAAAGTTGCTTATAGTTGTGAATCAACCATCCACCCGATCCACTGCCGGTATTCACTCCATCCAGTCCGACGATAGCGTCGTCCGCGAAAAGGGCGTTGAAAATAAGGCCGACAATACCGGCGACACCGTGCTCAGCGAACACATCCATGGAGTCATCGATCCGGATCCAGTATTTAACTGAGTCATGTTAGCCAATCCATCCCCTCAGAAATAGGCCTGTCACACAAACTTACCCTTAGTGGCATAGTTACACACAATTCCAGTTACGATACCAAGGATCACGCTAGCCCAAGGGGGGATGAAACCAGAAGCCGGAGTGGCGGCAACCAGGCCGGAGATTGTTCCGGAGCACCAGCCGACCATGGACCATTTTCTCGCCAGACGCCAATCGAGGACCACCCAGCTGATGGCCGCAAAGGCTGCAGTCAAGTTGGTGTTCCAGCAAGCGATGGCGGCGCGGAGGTTGGCACCAAAGGCCGAACCACCGTTGAATCCAAGCCAGCCAAACCAGAGGAAAACGGTTCCCAAAAGAATCAGAGAGACGTTGTGAGGGCGGAAGTTCAACATCATGCGTTCCTGACGACGGCCCAGTACCATGGAGTAGGCAAGAGCAGACAGACCGGAACCGATTTCGACAGGACCACCGCCGGCATAATCCAACACGCCGTATTTGGCCGCCCATCCGTTCACATTCCACGTCCAGCAGGCAAGGGGGCAATACACGATCGTGGCCCAGATGAAAATAAACACCATCGCAGGAAGCAGGCGCCCACGTTCCGCGACTGCTCCCATAATAATTGCAGCCGTGACTCCGCAGAATTGCATCTATGAAGATTGGAAGGTTAGCTACAGATCGTGGGGGTGGCTTCGCAGGCTCTCGATGTGCATACCTGATAGAACGCGTAGAGAAGGTTTGGAACAAGGGGAGAGCCGGGGCTTGGGTCGGCCAGAGTCTTCATCAATCCGAAGTTGCGAAGGTTTCCGATAAACCCGTTGGTGGCAGTTGGCGAGAAGGCAAGCGAGTACCCCCAGAAGTACCATTGGAAGGTCACGACAGACAAAGACGCCATGCAGGCCCAGATCATACTCAATGCCGATTTCCGACGAGCGAGGCCGGAGTACAGGAAGCCGAGACCGGGAATCATGACCATGACCATGGCGGAAGCCACGATAATGTAGGCTTGGTCACCCGATTGAAACCATTTGTTTACGTTTTCCTCTCCTACAGATATCCACAGTTAGTTTCCATGGGATTGCAAACGTAAGCTCCCTGGGTGCAAATCAACATACGGGAATTGCCACCCAGTTCGTTGGTTGCGAGCTGTTCGTAGTTCGAGGGGGCGCCCGTCCAGTTGTAGGATGCATAGTCCGGGATGAACGGCACGTTCGTGGTCGATGCCATGGCGAAGGGTTAATTGGAGGGATGGCGTGGGAGATGATTTGAGGTGCAACAGGAAGGGCGCAAAGCCCAAACCACGGGAGAGAAAGGGTCGAGCAGGAGTCGAATGTCGAGAGAGGGGAAATCGAAGAGAAAGAGACGGAAAGGAGCTGCTCGTTGAACCCGTCCAGATGGCTCGCCTTCTCTCACTCCAGAAAAAGATGAAGGCAGCAGGAAGGGAGGAGAGGAAAAGAGAGAAAAGAAGGTAGGATGAGAAACTCCGCTCTGTGTGGAGAAAAAGACCGCCACGGGGGGCGGAGGAGGAAGAGGTATATAAAAGAAAGGCAGTTCTGGAAAGGCGTCGGCGGTGGGCCTTGGAATTGGACGGGACGAAATCGCGGGTCCCAGGCTAGCCAAAGATAAGAGCTAAAGAATTAGGAAGTCACTAAGTAAGAGCCTTAGTCACGGATCATTGGCAGGGCGCGATAATCGATCGGGGCAGGCCAGAGAGAGGAAAGACAAGCGTGGTGGAGCCTCCAGAAATAGGCCGCCGGAGCAGCAATGGCGGCAAGTGGTTAATAATAGCGACGATAAATGCCAATCGAAACAGGCAATAATCGAGATAAAACACGAGGACAAGAGACTCTTCCGTTCTTTGTCGAGGGAGAGGAAGGGAGGAATCAGCTTCAATCCGAGGGAGGCGCGGGTCAAGGGACGAGGAACAAGGCCAAAAAAGAAAAGAAAGAAAAAAAAAAAGGCAAAGATAGTGGTCAGGCTTCGGTCAGAGATAACAGCGGAATGAAAAATCAAATAGAATAAAATAAACTCGGCAGGCAGATCTTCGACGAGAACATCCTAGCCGCCTGCCTCCCGCCAATCACCGCCTCCGTCCGTCTTTGGTCTTTTTTTCTCTGTTCTCTCACTTCTCGCCGCTGCTCCCGACAATCCCTTCGTCAGTCAATCGCATATCCCACGGCCAACCCTTGCAAAGGGGAGTCCTGTCCTGCTCGGATCGTCCAGATGGGACCGGCAGCGTCACCATTCTTGCCATCGACCATCCGGATGTGCGCAGATGGCGAAGTCTCGAGTCCCAGGGTAACTGGGGCTGGCTTAGCTTCTGGCCCCGTCGTAGTTCGGGTTCCAGAAGACCCAAAAAACGCCCCATCCGGGCCAAGACCGTCCGCAAGACTGCAGAACCAAAGCTCATGTGGCGAATACTACTATTAGCAGCACATTTCACCCGCGGGTGGGTTAGCCTTCTTCATCGGCTTCATCGTACTCCGGAGTAGATAATCCCCCCATCAGAGGACGGACTGATCCCGATCAGCTATCGGGGGGCAGACTCCTCTGCCCAGCCGGAGCATCCATGAATTGCTCTTGGAAGCTAGGGAAGGGGGAGGGTCTTGAGTGGCTTGGTTCGAGTCTGAAGACCAGAGTTGGCATCGGATGGATGGAGAGCTGGACTCACCACCATCCCCGGAAGCAGAAATCCCCAAACTCTCCGTCCCCGGGGGCAGAGAGGTTCGGGACCCTGTATTTAAAGCTACATTGTCTATCTCCAGGCGTTCGACTGTCTGGCAAGCTATCTGGAGCCCCGATGATAACGGCTATACACGCACCTGCTTCTTCCCCAGACGGCGGCGCCTGTTATCAGGCCGGGAGGGCTCTCCCCGGCGACTCGGGAATGCGCGCGGCGGCCTTATCATCTGGCATTTCTCTCAGCTCATGAATATCGTCCAAACGATTGGCTGTGAGGTCCCGATAAGGCCCTGAACGCCACCTGCCGCCAAGTGGGGCGCCGGGGCCACCGCATGCGGTCTAGCGCGGTGGGCTGGATCTCCACGGCGCTGATAACGTCCAGATGAGCCAATGACCGCCCGGCCGGATCCCTGCGCTCCTCCCTGTTTTGCCCGAGCGCTGTCGGGCATTTCAGGGAAGGTCCCTTCGGACTCGGCAGGCGGTCTTGACACGGCCGCTCGCAGGAGAGGAATTCCTTATCCCGGTCAGCTCATCGCCCCGTCCAGATCTCGGGTGGGGTTCCCCGATCCTCCCGCCTAAAATCAACCCCAGCTCCTCCTCTGCCTACTACTCCGTACTTACCTGTCCAGCGTCGGATAACATCTGCACCACCGGGCGTCGGCAGTTCGTGCTACGGGGCCCCCTCGCCTGTCCAGGAGGGCCTCAATTCGTCTCCAGCGGTGGGTCGAGCCACGCTCTCGGTGCCTGTCTCCTACCTACCTGGTAATATCTACTTCTCCGTGCATACGAACCACCGCTTCCTGCGTACGTGGTAGCATGGGGGATGCACGTCCCGCACTACTAGTGTCCAGTGACTAGTAGGAGATGGTGGGAAACACCTTACTTCGACCGCGTACCTCCCCACCCTCTATCTAAACAGCCTGGCAGTGAGGCATTTACGCCCTCTTCCATGCAGCTGGAAATGAGGGATATGCAGAAGCTGCAGCCCAGTGTGACACGGCAGAATCCGAGAAAAGTCAATCCCTATCGCGAGCAAAAAGGCTAAAAGGTTGCACAACCCCCACGTGGTCGATCCTTTATGGTGGAATGCGAACCGGCTCGAGCTGGGATTCTGCTCCTAGCCGATTCTTCGCGACAAGTGGTGCCCACGCCGTACTGCGTATATCCTGGGACATATACGGAGTGGGATGCTCTGTGTCTAGTCAGGTGGCTTCTTTCGGACCTCTTCGATCTCAATTGCGTGTTGTTGAGTTCGTGTTGCTCCGTTGCTCCGTGGTGGGCAGTCATTCCGGTATAAATATACAAAAATAAACACTGGACACCGGATAGTGTCAGGAAGTAAATATACATGCCTGCATGCATACATGTATAAAGGAACCCCGGATTCTAATAGGATTAAATGAGCGTACCTACTGGACCCCATTAATTTTGCTGATCTTCTATTCTGCCATCTCCTTGCAGCTTGTCTTACTCTGCTCCATCGTACCATCGGCTGCCCTACAATCCTAGAACCACAACAGAGCTACAAAAACCGATTAAAAGTGTACATGGACAGTTGGATGATTGATATACAAGACAATGATCTGTAAGAAACGCCTCCGATCTTCTATACAATTATACACCCCCGTCCTCTCCCAAAAAAAAAGATTATATGAAATCAAAGTTTATCAAATCTCTTTACCGAAGGAAACCCCCCTCAAACGTTCACACTATATCCTACCCCAACGGCCCGGCGCCGTTTCAGAGTTTGGTAGAATTTCCGGGCCTCGTCGACCCAAAACACCGAGCTCGAAATACACAACAATTTGAACAGGTGGGCAAAGTTGAGAGGTTCCGTCTGGAAGATCCTCTGCAAGAAAGGCAGGTATATGACGCAGGCTTGGCCGGCAAGGGACCCGAAGACTGCGTAATTAAACATCTTGTTTCCGAAGAGGGAGATTTCGCCGCGGAGCACCGACTTGCCCTCGCTGCGACAAGCAAGTGCGTTGAACATGTCGAAGAGCACGAAGCAGGTGAAAGTCATGGTCGTGTCATGTGCCGTAACGACCCGAGATCGTTTGCCCGGGGTAATGCCGTCGTCAGCATCGCCCATCTCGTACACGTAGATCGCCAGGGTACCCATCATGATCGTCAGAGCCGCGGTGACCACCCGCTGGATGAGCGGCTTCGTGAGGACCCGGGCTGTCCTGGGTCGCGGCGGACGGCTCATGATGGTCGGATCAACCGGCTCTACACCCAATGACTGCGCCGGAGGGCCATCCATGAGAATATCTATCGGCGAACAGGTTAGCCAACTGACGGCAAAAAATACACGAGGGGCAAAAAGGGCGTGCATCACTTACTGATCCAGAGAATCTGCATAGCATTGAGCGGGTTCTTGAAGCCGAGAGTGGTACTCAAGAGCACCAGACTCAAGGCGGCAACGCTGGTACTGAGCTGGAATGTAATGAAGTTCTGGATGTTGTAGAAGATTCCCTTGCCCTGCTCAATAGCTCGCAGGATGGTTGAAAAATCGTCGTCCGTTAAGATCATATCCGCAGCTTCCTTCGCAACGTCGGTACCAAGCTTTCCCATTGAGATGCCAATGTCGGCCTTCTTCAGAGCCGGCGCATCGTTCACACCGTCTCCGGTCATGGCTACCACGTCGCCTCGGGACTGGAGGGCACGGACAATCTTCATCTTATGGTCCGGGCTGGTGCGGGCGAAGATTGAAACAGAGGCTATCGCTTGCGCAAGTTCCTCCGTGCTCATGCGATCGATACTTTCCCCACTGAGCACGGGTCGCGAACCCGGAGCGTCACTGATGGGCATTCCGAGTTTTTTTGCAATGGCCACGGCAGTGGTCTCCGCGTCACCCGTTATCATGATGATTCGTACCCCTCCAGCCATTAGGCGCCTGATCGACTTGTGCACGTTCTTGCGGGGTGGATCGTTCATGCCCACTAGTCCAGAGAAGACTAATCCGTTGTATCGATCATCGTCATCACCCTGGCTGGTTCTCGAAGTAGGAGTGCCGGACCTGCTCCCGAAAGGCCTTCCTCTAGACGAATCCCTCACCGCGCCACTGGCGAAAGCCAGGACTCTTAGTCCTTCCGATGCCATCTGCTCAGCTGCCTGTCGGACAGTCTGGCGTCGCGGCTCATCCAAGATAACTTCGCGGCCGTCCTTGGTTAGGTAGGTATCACACCTGGTCAGAACCTGCTCCAGAGCACCCTTGATATAGGCAACGTTGGTTTCACTGGAAGTGCCACTTCCGATGATCACGCCCATCCACTTGCGTTCGGAGCTAAAGGGAGTTTCGGCAACGCGCGCACTGATACGATCGCGCACGTCATCCTCTCCAAACGTGTCCAATAGATCCAATATGGCGACATCCGTGGGTTGACCAACCCATCTGCTCCTCACGGATCCGGAGGCTCTATCGTCAGTGGAGGACAATACTGCGGCCGATGATGCGCTCGCGGGCGAATTTGCGTTCACACGCGACAGTCTGGCGTTGTTGGCAATGTTTCCAATCCGAAGCACAGTTCTAGCTGCAGGCCCTGGAGTCAAAGATGTGATGTCGTTGTGGACCTCGAACGGCTCAGGACAATCGAAATGCCACATTTTCGTGACAGTCATATGATTGAGGGTGAGAGTTCCTGTTTTATCGCTGCAGACAACGTTCACCGATCCCAGGGTCTCGACACTTGGAAGTCTTCGCATGATTGCTCCCCTTTTTGCCATGCGCAGCACGCCCAGAGCAAGGGTTACCGTCACGATGATAGGAAGCCCCTCCGGAATCGCCGCGACCGCCAGAGAGACACCAATGGTAAACATTTCAAGGAGCTTGCGACCTTGCAGTAACCCTATGACAACAATCAATCCGATGACGCCAAAAGAGACATAGCTCAACTCTTGGCCCAATCGATCCATCGAGAGCTGTAGAGGCGTTCTCGGGCTCTCAATTTCCTGCAAAGAGGCCGAAATGCTGCCGAACTCCGTTCTTGCACCGGTGCCAATCACGATTCCTTGTCCGTATCCCGATCTAACCAGAGTACCCATGAAAGCGATATTGTGCTGCTCATTTAAACGGATATCCGCTCCTACAGCACCACTGGCCGGGGCATCGTAAAAAGGCGACCGCGGAGGACTGACGATTTTGGGCGAATGGATCGAAGTATTTTTTGCATTCCGAATGGCGTCGGCAAACTTCGTAACCGGCTCGTTTTCTCCCGTGAGGTTGGACTCATCGATGGATAGATCCGTCGCAGCGGTGATCCTAATATCTGCCGGAATGCGATCACCAACAGTAAACAGAACCATGTCACCGGGCACTAACTCGGCTGCCGGAACCGTAGTGGAGGCTTTGACCGCGGCCGAAGCTGAGCCAGGACTCTTGGTTCGAAGTTCCTGCAACTCCATGCTGTCATCGGGTCCTGCGGGCGCCGCGGGTATGGAGCTGTCCGTCGGAGTGTTCCAATGGGGGACGTCGCGAATAAGATGGGCATGATGCGGTACCAGGCGGCTCAGTGCTTCCAAGGATTTTTCCGACCGATACTCCTGAACGAATCCGACGGTAACGACAATTGTTACGGCGAGAGTGATGCTGACAGCATCGTCGTAATTACCCATGAAAAACGAAATCGCTGCCGATGCTAGAAGAAGCAAGATCAATGTTTCCCGGAATTGCTTAAGAAACCGCAGCCATAGCGGCTCGGGCTCCTCGTGAGGCAATTCATTTGGTCCATCCCGTATTAGGCGCACCTCGGCCTCTGCCGGAGTGAGTCCGTGGGTAAGAGAGGTTTGTAGATGCTCCGCGGTTTCCTGGGGGTCTAATAGGGAGTAGGTCGAGGTTGAGGTCTGTTCAAGATGCCCCGCGTCAGCGCCAGGCCCTCTTGAACGGGGCAACGGGAATTGTCGAAAGTGCCCGATAGTGATCGAACGGATGCGACTTGACTTACTTGGGGAGAGGGACTCGAGCGCACACCCGCCGGAGTGGTAGACGGGGGTCGTAAACCGGAGACCTGGGCATTATGCAAAGGTAGCGCAGGCGTCGCAGACCTTGACATCTCTCATGCTTTGTCGAAAGAGGGTCCTGTTAAATCCGGCTTATAGTTGTTATCATCCCATCAGGGAGAAGGGCGCAAAAGAGTGTCGATGTTGTTGAGTGGAATGCAAATTAGGGAGGCGAGGCTGAAAGAAGGAGCACAAAAGGTAATCAGCGAAAAGCCACGTTCTCAGACGCGAAACTGCATCAGTCATAAACAACTAGATGGACACTAAGGCAAGTGGAAACAAGGCTAAGAGTAAGGGCCACACAGGGTCTGGAAGAGGGAAGACCGAGAGCTAGGCGGTCCACAGTCACACAGACACCAAGGACGATGGATGATCCAGAGGGGCTTCTTGCAGTCGAGAAGCGCCGGCCAATACCCCGTGGGCTATGAAAAAAGCATACGGGCTCCAGGAGGGGATTCTTCGCTGCATGCAAGCGCCTTTTACTTCTGGACAGGCTGACCTCAACGCTGATGATGCTTTGCCCTTTGCGGCCTAGCGCCGGCGCCCCGTTAATCCGGCCGACGCCGGATGGGGCCTAGCGCCTCCCGTGACACAGGCCTGAGTCAGCAGCGCCCACACGTGACCCCAGCCACGGCCTTAACGGGCCAATCAGCAGCGCGCGTCGGCCTCGTTGCGGCTGGGCAACCGTCGATGCCTTAGATAATACCTGGACTTCCGCCCGCCGGACGCGCTCCCAGGCTCTCTTTCCCTCTTTTTCCCACCACCGCCTCCCAAATCATCCATCGACTCGGTTGATCCCAACCACCCCCTTCCGAATCACGGACGCGGTGGATACTCTTGCATTGGTCTCTACGCGATCGCTTCGACTCGCTTTCTTTTGGGCCCCTCTACGTGTTGCTTGCTCGTTTGCGACACCCCTTTTCGAAGCGGGCTGTAGGGGGCGAAGCACCTGATCCTGTTGTTTTCGGGATACAGCGCGTCATTAAATCGGGTTGCCAGGGCCTCCCACCACGCACCACCCCGCATTGCGCGCGGGCTTTTCTTGATCGGCCTTTTTGTCTAACGTCCATTGGGAAGCACATTGTCTCGTCTTTTTGTGTATTCCTTCTCCACAGTTAATTACCACCACCATGTTCTACTCGGAAACTCTCTTGTCGAAGACGGGGCCGCTGGCCCGCGTTTGGTTGTCGGCCAATCTGGAGCGCAAGCTGTCCAAATCCCACATCTTGCAGTCGGACATCGAAAGCAGCGTCAGTGCCATTGTTGACCAAGGACAGGCGCCTATGGCTCTGCGATTGAGTGGTCAGTTGCTGCTGGGTGTGGTCCGCATCTACAGCAGGAAGGCGCGCTACCTCTTGGATGACTGCAACGAAGCGCTGATGAAAATTAAGATGGTACGCTCTCTTGCTTCATGATGCTGTTGGATCTCTAATCTTACTGATGTTATTCACTGCTTAGGCCTTCCGGTTAACCAACAACAATGACCTCACCACCACCGTTGTTGCACCTGGTGGTATCACTTTGCCTGATGTTCTTACCGAATCCGATTTGTTCATGAATCTGGATTCCTCGCTGCTGCTACCTCAGTCCCTCAATTTGGAGCCAGAAGGAAAGCAGCTCGGCTCGTCCATGGATTTCGGCAGTCAACTTCTTCCCGATAGCAGCTTCCGCCGTTCCGTCTCCCAGGAACCCCCCCGCCTTGAAGACCATACTTTAGTCGATCTTGACTTGGGAGAGGACGAAACGCCGCTGGGTCATGACTTTAGTATGGAAGTTGGTCGAGATGCTCCGGCTCCCCGGCCTGTCGAGGAAGATCTTTTCAGTGATGCTGGCAAATTCAACGATGTCGATCTGCCTTTGGACCTCGGCGAAGATGATGCTCCCTTGGATAAGATGGATCTCGGTACCGATGGTCCTCAGGACACGCTCCTGCAGGCGGATGACACTCTCGATCTTGGTGGTGAAGAAGGACCGGCCCTTGCTGGCGAGGAAGACGAATCCGATCGTGAATCCGTCCTTAGCGACCTCCCGGATGCCGATATTGAGAAACTCGGACAAGCATATGATGATACCTTCCACCACGACGGAGAAGATAACGAAGGGAACCAGGAAGGAGAAAAGGACGAGATTACTGCACAACATGCGCAGCGCTCTAAGCGGCGCAAGGTCGAACCTCTGATGGAGCTTGATGAAAAGACCGACTACACTGGTACCGAGATCAGGCAATTGCATGAAAACCGCGCCGATATCATGAAACCCACATCCACTCTGCCCCGTGATCCAGTTCTTCTCACTCTCATGAACATGCAAAAGAATGGAGATTTCGTATCAAATGTGATGGGCGGAGGCCGTGGACGAGGCTGGGCCCCCGAGCTTCGCGACTTGCTCTCGTTTGACGCAGTGAAAAAGGCCGGCGAACTTAAGAGGAAACGCGACAGCGGCATCTCGGACATGGATATTGAAGCTGCCACTGTCCCTGCGCTGGAGCTGGGCGAAGAGGAGGCGATCGTGCCGGTAGATGAGGGACTCGGTCTGGACTCGACCCTGAATCAGCGATCCGAGATTGAATTTCCCGGTGACGAGGAGGAGCAGGGTTTGCGCATGAGCGATGATGAGGGCATGGATCAGCCGCCATTGGACGAGTTTGACGAGACGATCGAACCGGCAGACAGCGGACCGGTCTCAATCGGCACCAAGCATGCTGTTCACATCCTACGCGACCGCTTGGGCGAGTCTGCGGCGGAACAGAAGAAGAGCGTGAAATTCCAGGAGCTCCTGCCGGAGAAGAAGGCCTCCAAGGCCGATGCCACCAAGATGTTCTTCGAAGTTCTGGTGCTGGCTACCAAGGATGCCGTCCAGGTCGAACAACGATCTGATGCCGTTGGAGGACCGCTCGAAATTCGGGGAAAGCGCGCTCTTTGGGGCTCGTGGGCCGAGGAGAATACCAGCGGCGAGTCTGTCAGCCAAGCTGCTCCGGTCACGGCTTAGATGATGTTTGTTCTGTACAGTCGGTCGCAATTTTCTTTTTCTTTTTCTTTTTTTTTTCTCTATTCTTTGGCTCGTTGACCCCTGATATCTTTGGCCTTTTTTCTTTTCTTCTCTCTTTATCTTCTTGTGACTGTCTTGGTTCTACTCTGAGAAGACCCCCTCTTGTACTTGGATGCAGGCTCTGTTTGCTTAATGAATTGGTGGAGTTTGGGAGTCAGTTTTAAGGGTTTCTGAGAAAAGGCGGTTCTGGATTTGATTCTTGCGATGTCCAGGATTTGTTGGATTTCTGGGGCGAATTGGTCCGGGACGATTAGGTAGCTTGATCTAGTAGTTAACATAGAAGCGGAGTCACTGATTCCATTGACACTGGTATCTTGAACGGGTGTAGCTGGTCATGCACGTGGCCGCCGTAAATCTCCGATTCTCTCGGTACTTTTGTTTTCTCCATTCCTTCCACCCGACAATGTCGGTATCCTGATTCTTGTGAACTATCAATTGATCAACCCGCCAGCAATGGCCCACGTAACTAAAGCATCATGCACACCACTTAGTCATGGAACCAGCTCTAGATCCCAGCATGGTCGGCTCGATGCATTGCCGATAAGCCCGAGGCTAAGGATCAGTCATGGATACTAAGATCAGCAAGATGGGTCAAGCTAACCTAGCCAATTAGCTCCAGCCCCCATCAAAGCCTTAACGCCGTCGCCGTGACTAGAAAAATGCTTGCTTGCTTTGCATTTTTCCCTTCTCTGGACGACAGAGTAATTTGCCCCGGCTTTTGTCATCATCGGTGGGGTTTGGAGCCGTTCGTGGGCGAGCGATAAGCATTTTCGCTTTGGTTATTAAGCTCGACCTCTTTCAAACGTACTTGGATTCTTGCTCTGTTCTCCTTTATGGGTTTTTGATTATCCTTTCGGCCATCGATAATTCATGCAGCTACCGGTCCTCGATCGACCGGTTAGCTGAGCACTGTATTCATAACGTCATCTCGGCGCACCCACGAACATAGGAAAGAGGACCTTGGCAAAACGGAGGAACGAGTTCTTGACGACTGAAATCAATCATGTCTGCAGCGCAGCCGGGGGACTCGGGCTCCCGACCAGTTGTCGGCACCAAGATCCATTCGCACAGGCGATCAACAGACGACGAAAGAACCGACGCCGGCGATTCTGACCCGGAAAAATCGGATGATGCCAATACCTATGCGCCAATCAATGTCACGCCATCTGCAAATGACGGGCGAATGCAGAGGCTTCATTCAACTTCATCCCGACCTATTGAGCGCAGTTGGTCTCTCAATGACGGTTATAGCTGCCATACTGCCGATGAAGAGGCAGGGGCCCATCTTCCGGACGAAGCACAGGGCGAGGATACCGATGAGTCCTCGGCTTTTGTTGTTGCATGGGACGAGAATGACCCCATGAACCCTCGCAATTTTAACACCTTCAGGCGGTGGATAATCGTCATCATCTGTTCGATGGGCTCCTTATGCGTGTAAGTTCAGAGTAGCCAGCTTTGCAGCCAATGTCCCCACTGATATCCTGCCTGGATAGGACCTGTACTTCCTCTATGTATACGGTCACCTATGATCAAATAACGCAGGAATTCAATTGTTCCCGGTTGGTTGCAACGCTAGGATTGTCGTTTTTCATATTTGGCCTGGGTAAGCTTGGGATCTTCACTGTACCCTGGCCGTGAATTGCTAACGTATCTTCGATGCAGCGGTTGGGCCCTTATTTCTTGGGCCCTTATCAGAGGTGGGCGTGTTCCCTGGCGAAATTGATTGTTTCTGCTAATGTCATACAGTTCTACGGTCGAAGATACATCTATATCATCTCGTTCACATTTTTCTTGATTTGGCTGATTCCGTGTGCCGTGGCTCAGAATATCGAGACAATGATTGTGTGCCGTTTTTTTAACGGTATTGCGGGAAGCGCATTTCTGAGTGTTGCCGGCGGTACAGTGGGCGATCTCTTTGCTCGTCATGAGCTTAGTGCACCGATGATGCTCTATACAGCGTCGCCTTTTGTTGGCCCTGAAGTTGGGCCATTGTAAGTTTCCCCGCCAGTTACTTCTGATGAACTGCCTTGTGTGGTTGGATTGCTGCTCGGTAGCTGACGGCCAGCTCTCAGAGTGGGTGGATTTATAAACCAGTATACCACATGGTACGTCTTTTCCCTTCGAAAAAGTCGTGTGTAGGACACATGCTTACCTTGCTGGTTCTCGGTTATTAGGCGCTGGACTTTCTATGTGCTTCTCATTTGGACGGGTTTATTACTTATCTCGATCATTGCTCTTGTCCCTGAAACCTATCATCCCGTGTAAGTGGATGCTGTTGACAGCAGCTCAGACAGTCTATCTTAAGCAGCTATACTAACAGGGGTGAGGCAGACTCTTGAGACGCAAGGCGCGACAAATGCGCAAGGAAACAGGGGATGACCGCTGGAAAGCTCCAATCGAAAGGTTGAATCGCTCAGTGGCACAGACGGTTCTGCGGTCCACCTACCGGCCCATGCTGCTTCTTACACTAGAGCCCATGTGCTTGAACCTTTGTATATTTTCCGCCATCCTTTTAGGCATCCTCTATCTCTTCTTCGGCGCCTTTCAATTGGTATTTGGCAACGTGTATGGCTTTGAGCTATGGCAGCGGGGTCTTTGTTTTCTTGGTCTATTTGTGGGGATGCTCTTTGCTATCCTGTCTGACCCGTTGTGGCGACGCATTTACCAGCGCCTGGAGAAGAATCATGAAAGGGCAGTTGGGAAGGCTGACGACTTCCAGCCGGAGTGGCGGCTTCCCCCAGGTGCGTCTATCGATCTGTCATTCGCATTGGCGCCTAATTATAGGACAACGATGGTGATGCTAATTCGTGATGAAGCGATCCTTGGCGGACCGCTCGTGACCATAGGCCTGTTCATCTTTGCTTGGACGATTTATCCCCATGTGCATTGGATTGCACCTATCATCGGGAGTGCGTTTTTTGGAGCCGGGTAAGTTTCCAACAGGGCCAGAGTTGGCGCATTCCTGTTTTGCTCTTCAGCGCATCTAGGCTTGCGTCTACTAGCAACAAATGAGCGGTACTCATTCGATTCTTCCACAAAATCTAGCACGATCCTGGTATATTCGGGCATTTTCACCTTTCTGGTTGATGCATATCCGACATTTGCGGCCAGTGCTCTGGCAGCAAACAGTTTTGCTCGTTCGCTGTTTGGTGGGATATTTCCCTTGTTTGGAATACAAAGTAAGGAATCAACCTGCCACCTCTTTTTCCTTTTTCCTTTATGGATGGCCTACCTTACATTGCATGGCATGGGAAGGGCCCAATGGCCCATACTGGGCTAGTGCTTCTTGATCCATCAAGTTCAGAGTTGCAGTTTTTCTTTTCTTTTCATATTTTTTTTTCTTCTTTAATGATTCATTCTTTCGATTGAGTCATTCTCTCTTTTGAGTTTTCATTTGAGGCTTTGAAGGCATCAAACTTGACGTGTCGATGTGATAGAGACCTTGACCGCCAGTTGCTAACCGCCGCCTGCAGTGTATAACCGATTGGGATACCACTGGGCAACTTCGTTGCTCGCTTTTCTGACCCTGGCCATGACACCGTTTCCGTGAGTTACCCCGTTGTAACAACTCAACCTCTCCCTTTTCTCTTGCCAGTCGGGTACGAAGGACGAGGGACTGTCTCCTGCAGGGAGCTTCTGCAGCTCGGACCGCATGCTGTCCTTGACATCTTCCGGCCTTCGTTGCGTCTCACCATTGCGCATGATTCTGGGAATGGCCGTGGGAAACCCGCAGCATGCTTTCGAGGGTCTGGCTAACCGCGATCATTCGGATATAGGTATATTTTCTTCCAGTACGGCAGTCGCATTCGCAAGAAGAGCCGATTTGCGACGCGGTAGATTCATTTTCTCCGCCCCCCAGTTTCCAACAAAAAGAAAAGGAGAAGTTTAATGCTGCGACATCGGTTGCGAGCGGGGTTGGTCGTCTTGATCTTCTACAGAGCCCAATGGTCATACTCGCTCGTATTTACGCGGATGCAGGTATTGCGCTGCAGGGAACAACAGCGACAGGAAAGCCGGTGGACAGGGTTATATGGGATATGGGATATGGGATATGGGATATGGGATATGGGATATATATAGTTGCTATGCATGCACATAATGTACAGTAGAGGCTACGATCTAGGCCCGACAGACCAAAATCGAAGCGAATAAGGAGTTGGACGTCTCCCACCGAATTGAACAGACCGCTACTGCCGCGTGCACAGCTGACGCCCAGCTGGGGGAGAAACACGCTGCTTTGCTGGATCAGACGAGGCCTCGCCGAGAACCAAGTTTCGAGCCCTCAACACGAACCAAGGAGGGCTGCCTCGGATGAGGCTGGCATGCCGTCGAGATGCAGGAGGGATGAAGCCTGGGGAGGGAGCAGCGATGGCAGACGAGCCGAGGCAGACGCTGGCAGACGCTCTCGGGGGATTCCGGAGGTCGGCGTGAGTCAGCATCCCGGGGCGACCCGACGACGAGGCCCAAAAATGGCTCATTCCTACGGATGTTGACTATCATGGCCGTTGACATGAGATTTCGACTCGATTCCTAGGACATGTGAAGCTGTGAGGTTGTCACCTACTGCGTAGAGTACTCGTCTGTATCTCCAGCAGAGCTCCCCTCTTGACCTTGAAGTCGCATTGATAATATTTATAATAAGAATCAGAGGTCCATCACAAAAAGAAAAAAAAAAAATCAAATCAAATAATAGTAATAGTAATAGTAATAGTAATAGTAATAGTAATAATAATAATAATAATAATAAAGAGGATGCCACCGCCGGTCCTCTCAGTGCTCCTGCCAGACGCTTGCGGTTGTTGGACACGCGACTCTTGACTCTTTTCTTTTCTTTTCTCTCTGACCGGGATCTTTGCATTAATTCGAAGATTATTATTATTGCTCGTCGCTCATTAGCCTCTCTGCTGCGACTCTCCCCGCGTTCGCGCTCTCTGGCCTTCTTCCCCTCGTCGGTTCATTCGAGAAAATCTCTCATCCTCGCCCGCCTTTATATTTCTTCCCCTCGTTCGATCTCTCTGGCTTGATTTTCCCCGCAGTCCCAGTTCCTGTCCCAGCTTTGGATGCTCGCTCCACTGCCACAATTGATTGATTTGATGATAAGTCCGTGTTCCTGTCTGGGTTTTTAAAAGGAAAAAGACCATCCGCGCGGCTTCCTGCATGGAATTTCGGTCGACATTCCAACTCCAACTCAAGTCGCAGAACCTGTCACCCTCGCTGAAGCTGAGAGCCGTCAGACTGAGCTGTGAGCACGCAAGGTCCCCTGCCTCCACCCTCCACTTTTTGCGATCGGATCCGCCGTTCGCTCCGTTTCCTTCGACCTGCTCGCCCGCCCGCCTCGGTCGTGCTTTCTATGCCCTCGGTCCGTGAGAGAACGGCCAATTTGCTGCTTCTGCCCGACGAGACGGCTGAGATCGTCCCCGATTCGACTCCTCACCCTGGATTGCAACTGGTGCGCTCGTACGCGCTGCCCCGAGCTGGTTTTGTACAGAGACATCAGAATCGGTGGCAACGTGGTTGCTACGGCGCTCTCCCTCTAACCAACTGACGAAGCACCACAAAAGTTCCGGCGCCGTTTCCGTTCGTCCCCCCCCTCCCCTACCGCCCGCTCCGTCATCGTTCATACTTACGGCGCAACGCTTTCACTCCGGTCGCGTCGGTCGCCGTCGCACTTTCATGTCGAGATGAAGGTCGAACACCAGGATAATAGCTCCTCGGCTTCTGCTGATCCCAGTGGGCCCGTGCAGGGTGTCGAGGATCTGGGAGAGCCCCCCGAGCACTCGAAGAGCAAGACCGATGCCGGTGATAATGCGCCCGCGGAGAATGGTCAGAAGTCGACCAACTCGAAAGACCCGTCACGCCCGCGACGGAAGAAGGCCCGACGCGCGTGCTTTGCTTGCCAGCGGGCGCATCTGACTTGCGGTATGATCTGCCCGACCTTGTCTTTCTATATGTTTCTTCTGCCGTCCTTGCTGTCCTTGTCGCTTTGCGCCGGATGCCTTCGGGCATCTGCTGAGCCGTTTCTTTTGGACGTTCCGGTAGCGGTGAAGACCCGAGACTGACCACAGCTTTGCGATTAGGTGATGAGCGACCATGTCAGCGATGTATCAAACGAGGCCTCCAGGATGCCTGCCATGACGGTGTTCGCAAGAAGGCCAAGTATCTGCACGATGCGCCGGACGGAGCCTTGATGCCCGGAATCGGCGGCAACTTCTACGGTAATACCATGCGCAGCAGCCTGCCCATGTCGAGAAACGGCGCCAATGCTGTCAATGCGAACACGCCGCAGAATTCGGCCCCAAACTTTTACCCCACGCCCCAGTCCAGCTCATATAACGTCTACCAAGAAAACACCCTCAACCAGAACTCCTTTACCTCGCAATCTCCGATGTCTCCGACCTTCAACCTGAAGACCACGCCAACCGCCCGAAACAACAGTCTGTCGTCTTCTGTCGGCCAGCAACCGCCCAGCGCAACCGTTTCGGGGGCGGCCACTCAGAACCCGAATCCGCTTGGGGGGCCGTTCTTCGATCCGAGCGACCCGGCTCTCTTCAACTTTGACCTGTCGAGCATGAACTTCGAGAATCGGTACGGCGCGCTAGAATTTGGGATGCTGGGGCACATGGCGACGGGCGCCGGCGACTCGCCCAGCGACTCCGCCACGCAGCGAGGGTCGATGGGCCGCAGCGGATCGGCGCAGTTCTCGAATACGCCGATCACCGGGGCGGCCGCCTTTGGGGACAGCCCCGGGGGTCAACAGCCGTTCATGTTTGGCGATCCTTTGCTCAACGAATGGTCTAATGGCCAGCCCTCGGGCCAGCCGCACATGAACGTGGGCGGCGTGTATGCGCAGTCCGGCCAAGGCAGCGTGATCCCCGGGCACCTGTCCAAAGCCGACGCACCCCATGCCTTCGCCATCGAAAGCGGGCCCCCGGCGAGTTTTGCCAGCCCCAGTGCGACAACTAGTCCGCACATGACGGCCGGCTTCGACGAGGTGACGTTCAACAACACCGTGGCGAACAAGTCCAACGGTCTCGTTCCGAACGGCCAGCGCCCGACGATCACAACGCCGAGTCTGAAGCAGCAGACCCTTCAGGTCGGCACCAAACGACGCCAGCGGAACCCGTCGTCTATCTACGAGAATGTCAAGGAACCCTACGCCTATACGAATCGCTTTCACAACCTGACCGCCTTCATCCAGCGGCGCTTTCCTCCGCAGAAGACCCTGCAGATTGCCAAAGCGCTGGCCTCGATCCGACCCTCTTTCATTGCCACGACCAAAACCCTGAACCGCGACGATCTGATCTTCATGGAGAAGTGCTTCCAGCGGACCCTGTTTGAGTATGAGGACTTCATCAACGCGTGTGGTACCCCGACCATTGTCTGCCGCCGGACGGGCGAGATTGCGGCCGTCGGCAAGGAATTCAGCATCCTCACGGGCTGGAAGAAAGACGTCTTGCTGGGCAAGGAGCCGAACCTGAACGTCAACACCGGCGGCACCGTCCCCGAGTCAGGCGCATCCTCGCGCAGCTACACGCCGCGCAGCTCCGCCGGCGAGGCCCCTGCGCCGGGGCGGCCGCACCCGGTGTTTTTGGCGGAGCTGCTGGATGACGATAGCGTGGTCGAGTTCTACGAGGACTTCGCACGGCTGGCCTTTGGAGATTCGCGTGGCAGCGTGATGACCACGTGTAAGCTGTTGAAATACAAGACGAAGGAAGACATGGAACTGGCGCGGTCCGATGACCACCAGCGATGGAACAACCACCTGCGCAAAGGTGGCATCGCCAGCGAGGCGGGGATGAACCAGCTGGGCTTCAAAGACGGCAAAGTCGAATGCGCGTACTGCTGGACAGTCAAGCGAGATGTGTTCGACATTCCCATGCTTATTGTGATGAATGTAAGTGTGATACCAGCGAGGAAGATGTGTTTGAGAGCGACCAACTGACCGGTTTGTTAGTTTCTACCATGTATTTGATTTTATGGATAACGCAGGGATATACGTCTCTTACGCTTTAATCGGTTCATGCGGCTCATACCCGGGAAGGATCTCTAAAAAAATGTCGGCTGTCTGTGATTGTTACTGGTTTCATTTCATTTGTTTCATTTCTTTCTCTCTTTTTTGAAGATGGGGCACCCTGTCGAAATCTTTTTGCACTGGTACATAACTTTCGGATGATTCCCTTGGAAGCCCTCGACGCAGCTTCTTCGTTTTTATTTTTCTACTGTTGGTTCTTGTTTGGTCTTGTTCTTTGGCTTGATTGATGCACTTTTGTACATATGTACCTCTACATACGGGACCGGGCCTTGCGTGTTGTTTGAGTACGGGACGAATGCCGGAAATGCCCGCGGGCAGTTTTCAAGCAGTTCTCCAGCAGTTTACAGGAGACGAGGGATGCATCCAGCGTGTCTGTCACTGGATGCATCGACAGATACTGTGGGTGCATCGATCTCGCAGCACGTAGCGTCGACACCTGGGGCACCACCGCCGGCCTGAGGCGCCGGCCCTCTCCGGACCAATCAGGACGGCGCAAACCCCGCGTTGCGGCTTATCGATAGCGAATCCACCGCCGCTTTTCTTTCCTTCCATCGCCTTCTCTCGTTCTCCCTTCTTCTCGCCCTCCATTGTTCTTCCCCAGACCACTTCCCTCCCCTTCACGTCGACCCTGACTTCCATTCCCACACCATGCGACCAGACGGTCCTCGCGATCCCGTGGCCGGGCCGGACAGTGGCCCCGAGCCCCCCTTTCCCGTGCGCTTGTCCGGGCCCGTGATCAAAGGCTTCGGACGAGGGAGTAAAGAGGTGAGAGCCGGATGAGGAGACATCCGTTTGTTTGCCATTTGTGTCATCGAGGCCGACTAATGGTGGACTTGCCAATTGCAGTTGGGCATCCCCACGGCCAACATTCCCGCCGACGGTCTATCGGACTACCCGGATCTTCAGGTTGGGGTGTACTATGGCGTTGTCGCTTTGGACCCGTCCAAGTTCGCCTATGCAGCCGAGCCCTCGACGTCGACGAATATTCTTCCTGCCGTGTTGAGCATCGGATATAATCCATTCTACAAGAATACCACGCGATCGGTGGTATGTTGTGCCCAGATGAAGTAGAACCAGAATGGGGGCCAGAGAGAGAGAGAGAGAGAGAAAGAGAACGAGAGGACACCAGGAGACTCACACTCGATAACAGGAAATCCACATCATGCCACCACTCTCGTCGCCTTCACCCACAGCCACAGGGGAACCCGGCCATGTGAGATTCCACAAGCTACCGGACTTTTACGGCACCAACCTGAACCTGCTGATCCTGGGGTACATTCGGCCCGAGTACGACTATGTGTCGCTGGAGGCCTTGGTGGAGGATATCCGACTGGACTGCGAGGTCGCACGGCAGAGTCTGCAGCGACCGACGTATGCCTGCTACTTAACAGGAGAGGAGAGTGGATCGGAGACCGTGACGGCCCAATGTCGGTGGTTGACGGGGTTTTAAATTCGACGTACATAAAAGTTTGAAGGAGGGACGAACGGACGGAAGAGGGGGGTGAAGAGCCACCCCGATTGCGACGCTCCTCCCGCATAGACTGTACAGCAGCAACACTAGCGAAGAAACCATGCATAAACGAGACCACAAATTCCTGTCTGTCTGCCTATGGCCTGCATCAGCCCTATCTTGGCTCTTGGCGGCGGAGACCCCTTGCGGAATGCCAATACTCGTCGACGTCATTGCCATTCTCGCCAAGCGCTCCGCGGCCGGATTTAAACCCTTTTCTTTGCCCTGGAGAGCGTTGCTGGAAGTATTCACTCGTGTGTCTTACTCTTGTCCGCTGCTATCCTTTGCTCCCCAATCCCTCCCCGAAACATGGACCGCCTCCGCCAGCACTTCCGCCGCCGTCGCAGCAGCGCCAGCAGTTCGCCCTTGCAACCCCCGATCTCCCCGACGCTGAGCCATGATAAACAAAAGAACAAGTCTATTGGCGAGCCCCGCCGACTCTATATTACCTCCAACACGCCCGACTTCGACGCCAACATTATCCGCCGCTTCCAGGCCGAAGGATTCGACGTCGAGTACTTGCCTTTCGTCGCATCGGGGACGGACGAACCGGAACGAGAACGTAAGGAGCTCGAGAAACTCCTGCACGAACGCGAGGATGACCTCGAGGCGGGCGAACGGTACGCCGTAGTTGGTAGGTGGTTTTCTTCGTTTCGAGACGTTCAGACAAGCATGCCTTTGCTAAGTCCATTTCCTCGCGCAGCATATCACCGACCTGCCTATCTGCTGCTTTCTTCTCATCACCTGTCGACTTCGGCCACGAATCCATTCCCTCGACTTTGTGCCCTAGTGACCTACTATCCCGAGCCTCCCAGTTCCTTTTCAAATGGACAGCAGCAACGGGAGTCTGTCGACATCATCCCGCAATCCACTACCTCCTCGACCACCAACTCCTGTTACGCCTCGCTATCATTGCTTCCCATTCAGATCCATCTCGCAGGTCCGCAGCCTTCGTCTCTTCACGATGACTACCACAGTCATCCGAGCAAGAAGCGTCATCGCTGTCATCTCTTCTTTTACCCGGAGTCCGATCCCGGATTTGCCGAATCTACGTCTAAAGTGTATGATGGCATCAGCTCGCGCCTAGCCTGGAGTCGCGCCCTAGACTGTCTGAAGCGCGGGTTTGGATGGCCTGGCGGCCATTGGGATGTGCCCGAGGTTGAGTCCGTGTGGGAGGAATACTGGCGCGGTCTGTTTTACAACAACCGGAATGCCGAGGAGACTGAGACACATGTTGCGCAGACCTTGCGCCTAATGGGTGGCAGTTTAGGGCCATCGTTGGGCGAGGACGATGGATATCGTTCGGACCCGACGGTCGAACTGCAAGATACCGCCTCGGTGAATTGCGTTCCTACCATGATCGGTGGTGAGGCTCCCTGGAACATTTGATTTCTTCTTTTTTTTTTTTTTTTTTTTTTGTCCTTCACATCTACCCCACTCGTGTGAAAGAAAGAAAAGAAAAAAGATCAATCGGCTGACCCATTCGAAGGAACCACTTCTGCTTCTATCACCAACTTCTACACCACCCAATTCTTCCCCTCCGGACCCCCCTCGCAGACCATCCGCCTGCTCTCGCGTACTATCGGCCCCAATCGCATAGTCGACGAGCTCCTCCTCACTTTCACCCACACCGAAGAAATTCCCTGGCTCCTGCCTCGTGTCCCGCCCACCGACCGCCCCGTGCGTATCCTTCTTGTCATGACAGCCCTGTTTGTCGCCGGAAAGATCACTCGCCATAACATCTATTGGGATCAGGCCAGCGTCCTGGTGCAGGTTGGATTGCTGGATCCGGCGCTCGTGCCGACCGGGTTTCAGGCCACCGGGCCCAATCGCGAAGGGAAGGAAACGGTGGAAAGGATCCCGGTAGTTGGGAGCGAAGGGGTCGAGAGGGTGTTGGATTGAAATTTCTCTTCTCTCTTTCTCTCTCCTTCTTTTTCTTTCTTTATTGTCCTGTTTTTGATTGAGCATACCCTGGCTGTGTTGCAAGTAGTTCGATGTTATTTAAATACAGCCTCTTAGGGCTGACTGTGGAGCTGGCCGGATCGACGGTTCCGATTGGTTTGTTTAGACTGATATGATAGATCCAACCCATTCCTCATAGAAAGCCCAAGCAACGAAAAAAGTATTTCCCAGTCGATGTACTGATCTTTGGCAATGTGATAATTAATAAATAGTCCATAGATAGTTTTAAATAACACGACGCTCTCAATGCATGCTCGCTATTCTTTTTTTTTGGGGGGGGGGGAGTAACTCCGAATTTCCTACACCTCCAAATGCCGAGGGTAAGGTAACAAGATAAAAGTAAGAGAAAAATGTCTAATGAATACTGTCTCGCAAGGTGATGATATCGCTGCTGACACCTCCCGCACTTTTCAGGGTCCGAAGACTAGCCTCCTGCGCAAGGGGAATCACATCTTCAACCGCGCCTTTGCCCTTCGCCAGCCCCGAGATCACGGCCCCCAGGAGCGTGTCGCCCGCGCCGTTGACGCTGACGATGTCCTCGTCTTTCAGCACCGCCGCCGGAGGGAACAGACGCAGGTACACGCCGCCGATCAGCTCGTCCGTCGGCGGGGCGCGCGAGAGAATGTACGGGACGGATTCGGGAGCGGTCAGACGGGGATCGCCGGGTCGCAGCAGCTGGGTGACGAGAACGCCCTGCGACCCCAGCTTCGTGATGATGCAGGGAATGAAGGGCGTCAGCTGGATGCTTTGCTGCGGAATGCCTTGGTCTACCAAGGAGGCGGAGGTCATGGCCACGAGGCGGTCCCGCGACCCGGATGCCGACATGCCCATGGCGTCGATGATGCGCCACCAGCCGTCCGATTCGAGAAGGCCGTTCTCACGCGCAGTCATGTACATGGCAGCTAGTTCGTATTGGTTGGGAGCGGCGAGGCTGATGCCGTTGTTGGGGACTGCCGCGGATGGGGTGATGACGCCGCCAGCGTTGCCAAAGAGTCGGCAGCTTTTCGCCGTAGACACGGGCTCGAAAGCCACGCGGGCGCCGTGTTTCTTGGCCACGGCAACCCATTTGGCCAGCACGTCGGGGCTCCAGTTGGCATCGACGACGACCCATTGGGGCTTGGTGCGCGCGATCATGGGCTCCCAGAATCCGTCGAAATCTAGGACGTTCTCCGGCAGCTCCATGATGCCCATGTCCGCCATGGCCATGACTAGGTTCTTGGTGGCATCGTTGACGGCGATGTATTGGGCCGTTCGGGCGCCATCCGAGACTGGGAGAATCTGAATGCCGTGGGTGGTGAGCCCCGCGGTGCGAAGGGTTGATAGTGCGGCGCGGCCGCTGAGATCCTCTCCGACAACGCTGCAGAAGAGAACGGAGCTTCCGAGGTAGCTGGAAGCGATGGCGACATTATAGCCCACTCCTCCAAGGCTCTGGGAGATGACGGCGGGGTTGGACGTGTGTGAGATCGGGGTCTTGTTCGCACCTGCGAAGGGTGCATAGTCGCAGGACAAGTCAATAGCAAGAGAGCCAGCAACGAGAACATCGGCCTTGTCGAGCTTTTCGGTAGGATTCTCACTGGTCGAGTGGAGCTGCTCCAGCTCTGGCTCTGGGGTTGCGTGGTCAGCGTTCACAGTGCGGGAAATTGCTGGCATATGTCTGCGCGGGAGACCATCTCGCAATTAGGGATTGTTGGTTTTCCTTTGAAACAGACCGACTGAGGTCTTGTTGAGAGACAAGCCACTTACCGTTCGTTAAGCGATCCTTCGGACTTTTCCAATTTAGCAAGCTCCACGGCTACCTTCGTTGCGCGCTGGACGTTTGCCTCGACCAGAGCTCGGTTGGCGATAACACTTTTTCCGCCGCTAAGTTGCTTGATTTTAGACAGTACAAAAGGGGTGTTGTCACTTCCGCGATAACCCTCTTCATCAGCAAGTCGGATCGCCTCTTCGATGATTGCGTCCATTTCGTTCTTCGCAATGGACTGCTCCACAGGGACGGGGTTGGCGAAGTGGATTCCCGACGAAAGAGGAAGCTTGGTTTGCGCGTCTAATTCCATGTAAATTAGTGGGAAGAGTCAATGCAATGACAGCATCACCAGGAAATGCTGTGTGGGTCAATCGAACTCACAGATGATGGCCGCCGCCTCAGCCTCATTCTGGATGGCCTTGGGACTCTTAATGCCACTGTCTCGGGTGAAGAACGCCGGGAAATCCACGGCGCCCTCACGACCATCGGCAAACGTTCCAGCGCAGACACCCTCTGTTTCCAGATACTCAAGCGTCCGGGGAATGTCCAGAAAGCTTTTACATCCGGAGCTCACGACCGCCATCGGGGTTCGTCCCAACTCCGTGAGATCGGCTGTGGATCACGTCAGGCAAGGGCAAATCAAAGGTTGCAAGTCAGACGTACCGGAGATATCCATGGAGTTCTCACCACCACGGTGAACACCGCCTACGGATAATTAGCTTTTCATCGCAAACTTGGAAGTTTTATGTCACAAACACACCGAGACCACCAGTTCCAAAGACTCGAATGCCAGCCAGATGGGCAAGGATCATGGTACCTGACACCGTCGTGCCGCCGTGAAGCCGCTTGCCAGCCATGCCCTATGAAAGGTCAGAGGTCACATCCAACCGGATAGAAAGGATACCTGATCAACGGACCAGACCACAGATATAGCCCAGGTCTCTCCGTGAGACCTTGAGAGCATCTTTTTTCTCGGCAGTCGAGGCCAGCTCAATAAGCTCGTCTCCAGACAGACCAACGCGGGCCACACCGTCGAGGATGCCAATGGTTGCGGGGACACCGCCGTTGACTCTGACAACCGACTCGAGAACTGAGGCCAAGGCGACACTCTCCGGGTATGGGAAACCTGGCAGGGGAGGAGGGTCAATTAAAGTTCCCAAGCAGGATGACATTTGTCGCAAGCGCACCATGGGTGTAGATGGTGGATTCCAGGGCCACGACGGGCTTTCCCGTTGCTACCGCATCCCGAACTTCCTCGGAGACCTTCAGGAACTTGTTCGATAAGAGGCTGTGGTTATAACGCCGCTGGGGGAGCAGCCGTGAATATGCTGACCTGCAGCAAAGGCGCGCCGTAGCTCGAGAAGGGAGCATGATGGGCAGTGGAAGGGAATGGAGAACGGAGAAGAAGCGACGAGGAGAAAGAAGAGGAGAAGAAGAAACGGCGCGGAGAAGGAATGGATCGGCTTATCTTGCGGGAGGTACTCCGTGGGTCCCCGCCCCATAGCGTTTGTATGGCGGCGGTACCTGCGCGGTACATGGCACGATAGGACCGAGTAGATACCCCGATAACTAGATAGTATGTTGGTATGATACGGACCAGGAAGGACTGCTTAACTTCCTTTCCATGTGTTACAAGCGAGGATCCACCCAAAAGGTCAATTCGTTTAGTTATTCGACCGCTAAATGTAGGTACCGCGGCATACAACACGGCCAGTGACTGCGGTCTTCCAGGACGGCACTCTGGCAATGGTTCTGGCTGCAGCTGCAAAGCTATGGAGTCTCGAGCTGCAGGAGACCCGGAACATCAAGATCGAGAATCCTGGCAGTAGACTGACACGACGCTTTAATCATATACGACTATAATTATGTACATTACCGCAGACCGAGCGACCAGTCAATGCTTAGTCATCGCCACGGTGTCCACATCTCGAGATGCTTCACGGCGAGACACACTCGACCCTCTTCCATCTCCAGCAGCATTCCGCCACAATGCTTGCCCTGTTCGCCGTCCTGCTGTTCTGTGGGCTCCCCTGCCTGGCCTGGGCCCAATCCTTCGCCCAGGTCTTCAAGAATGTAAACCTGGTCCGCAACACCAACCTGGAGAAAGGCTACGTCCGCGAGACGGTCAACGTGGTCGTTGAGAATGTCGACAAGCAGCCGCAATCCCAATACTACATCCCCTTCGCAACGGACCTCGTTGACAAGCTCGGTGGCCTGGAAGTCCGGGACAAGAAGGCCCCCGAGAAGGGCCGCTTCGCCGTGGAGGCTGTTGAGCCGAGCTCGTCCAGGTGAGTATGGGCCAGCGTGGCTATCTTCCTGGCCCGCAATTGCGCTGCAATTGAGGCTCGGGACTCCGACAGAAGCTGACTTGCTCGATCCCAGTGGTGACTTCCAGTACTACTTGGTCCAGTTCCCCGAGCCCGTCGCTCCCAAGTCTCAGATCACCCTCGGCATCTCCTACTACCTGCTGTCGTCGCTAAGCCCACGCCCGGCCACCATCGGCCAATCCGATAAGCAATACCTGACGCACACCTTCTCCGCCTACTTCCCCTCGGTCTACCAGACGGTTACCCAGAAGACGAAGCTGAAGCTTCCCAGCACCAATGTTCCCGGCTACACCTCGACCAAGGGTCTGAAGTCCGGTGCGGACCCCGAGCGTCAGGGCACAACCTACACGTATGGACCCTACGAGACCTCGGACGTCGCTCCCGGCACCGCGTACCCGATCACCATCCGCTACGAGTTCACCAAGCCCGTCATCACGGCGTCGTTGCTGGAGCGGGATCTGGAGGTGTCCCACTGGGGCGGCAACCTGGCCACGGAGGAGCGCTACTGGCTGCGCAACAACGGCTCCAAGCTCGAGAACCAGTTCTCGCGGGTCGAATGGACCATCAGCAACTACCAGCAGCTCCCGTCGTCGGCCATCCGCGAGCTGAAGTACCCGCTGAAGCCCGGCTCCGTGGACCCCTACTTCATCGACGACGTCGGCAACGTCTCCACGAGCCGCTACCGCCCCGGCAAGGCCAGCCGTGACGGCTCCCTGGAGCTGCGCCCGCGTTTCCCGGTCTTTGGCGGCTGGAACTACAGCTTCCGCATTGGCTGGAACAACGAGCTGTCGGCCTTCCTCCGCCAGGCCGTCGGCGGCGCCGACTCGTACGTGCTGAAGGTCCCCTTCATCGAGGGACCCAAGGCCCTGGAGGGCGTGCAGTACGAGAAGGCCGTCGTGCGGGTGATCCTGCCCGAGGGCGCCCGCAACGTGCAGTACGAACTGGTCGACGGCGACTCCACCAACGGTCTCCCCGGCGCCGACCAGATCCATTCGCAAATCTCCAGCCACAAGACCTTCATGGACACGCTGGGCCGCACCGCGTTGACCCTGACGGTGGAGAACCTGTCGGATGAGGCGCGCGGCTCTCAACTAGTGGTAAGCAACCACGTTCACCCTTGACCCGCTCTCCCTCATAACCAGCGACTAACATCACCAACCCTTCCTAGGTGGCCTATGACTACTCCACCTGGGATGGACTGCGCAAGCCGGTGACCATCACCGCCGGTCTGTTGACCGTTTTCGCGGCCATCTGGGCAATCGGCAACATCGACGTGAGCATCAAAAAACGGTAGATCTGTTCTGTGTGTGATGACGATGTTCTCATTGCTGGCATCTTTTTTTCTGTATTCGAAGTTTCTTTCATTTATCTCTGTTTTATACCTGGACAATTTTAAAGCAATTGCATTGAAATCTGTCGTACAGAAATGCCCGATTCCGTATGGTTGCTTCTGCTGCCCATGCATTGAGTCCCTACCCAAGGATGAAAGCTTCTCGGGCTTCTTCGCTGAAGCCATGATAGAATATGAAAAAGGATAGCCATCGCATCATAAATTACACATTGTACATATCCCCAGCCACCATTCCGTTCCAATCCTTTTTTTGATGCTGCCGCGTGTTCTTCTGCAATCCTCCGGTGTAAGAGAAGAGAATAAAAAAATAAATCAATAATAACGCCAAACACCTCGCAAAATCCCAACCTATGGAGTAATGAAGAATAAAAATGATGTTGATGATGTCTTGAGTCTTGGGCGATCTTTAAAAATGACTAGATTTCCTCTGGATAAGGAGAGGAAAGGAGGGGATGAAAGGGGAAAGGTGAAGATCGAAATGGATAAAAAAAAGTAGAAAAAGGCATAGAAGTTTACGAGTCTTCGAATTTCCTCTTCACACCGTTCCCGTTCACATTAGGCGGCGCTTGTCGGGCCCTCCGTTTGCGCTCTTCGTCTTCGGCCATCATTTGCGCCTGGCGTCTTTTCCACGCGGTCTTGATGGTTGGTGCGAGGCGGATGAGGTCCTCCTCGGTGACGCGGTCCTGGATACTTTCGAGGACTTTCTCAACAGTGGAGATGTGGTTCGCGTCGGCCTTATCGTCCCGGATACGGTGGAAGCGCCACCGCCCTTGCTCGTCCTTGGAGCACTCCACGATGGAGTCGTCAAGGGGTTGCTGGAGCGCTTTCATCTCCTCCCACTCCGCCGGGGTGACGAACATTTCGCCGAAGGGACGGTACTCGTTGGAGTTGAGGCCGACAAACAGATGGAAGATGGGCAGGGCGTCGTAGTCCAAGAAGGGCTCGGTGACGCCCTCGGCCTCGTCATCGGAGTCGGGCTCCAGGGTTGGGAACTCAAGCCGCAGGCGGAAATCGATGGTGTTCTCGGCCGGCGGCTTCCATTTGAGGATGTGCTCGTCGGTGCCGATGCGATACGGGGTGCTGCGACAGGTGAAGATGAGGCCGTCGTTGCCGTGGATCTTCTTGACCTTGGGGATGATCTCGCGGAACATCATCTCGATACCGTAGCTGAACTGCGTGGATTTGTCCTCGACGGCAAAGATACGGTGCTGCTTTTCCTCGGGGAAGCGCTGGTACAGCGCGTTGTAGGGCTTGAGCACCTTCTCCTTGAAGTACGCCAACCGCTTGTCCAGCGTGCGGTGCATCAGGGGTTGTCCGTCCAGCACCAGGCAGTCGAAAACGAGGTATTTCAGCTGGTGCGACCCGTCATCGTAGGTATCGTTCACCAGCTCGCCATCCACCAGAGTGTCGACATGGAACGACTGGAAGGAGTCGTCGTCCGGTAGCGGGAAATGCAGGCCCGGCACGTAGCGATAGTCGTTCTTGCGATCGATCAGGTAGTGGATTTCCGCGTTCCCGGATTCGGGGTCCCCGCGCGCAAAGTACATCAAGCAGCGGATGCCGTCGGTCTTTTCGCAGACATAGTAGTCCTCGCGCTGGAGCTCGGTCAAGTGGCGGCTGGAGAAGCTGACAGGTTGTGCGCCGGGGAAGTTGAGGTTGTTGCGGCCAAGGAGACTGGCAACTTCGCGACGGAATTGATCGGCCAGGTCGGGCTCGGCTTTGATGCCGACGGCGTCAAGGTCTGGGACGGAGTGACTCATTGCGACTGAGGGGAAGGGGGGTGGGTGAAGTGTGGGTGAAGGGCGGCGGTCGTACGCAGTAGTTGGGTCGTTCGATTTGCGAGTAAGCTAGACAAGGAGAGGGAGGATCACGATGGCGAGACAAGGTCGAAGTTTAATGGATTCAGGAGCTCTATCGCCCGCAGGCGCAGAAGCGATGGACTTCTGCCGGGGTAGATGAGGGCCAGTATAGGCGAGCGAAGATGCGAGAGGAATTCAAGAGGGAGTGGGATTCTTTGTTCGGAGCGGATCGTTGGAGAAAGTCTCGATTCACACATGATGCGTGAGGCAACAAGGCAGTAAGGTGTCAACACTCGTGGCAGCCTGAGGCAGCAACTGTCCGCGTCGACTTCAACATCACAAGAGACCTACCCGGGTGATATCATTAACATTTCTCTCTACAATCGCAGACAGATAAACACATGGTATTTCAAATATCGGATGCTCTCACGTACAAAATCCGGTGTCATGTATCACTCCGAGGAGTGGAACCCCTCCATGAAGACGTACAATAGAATAAAACCAGACAACATAGAAAAAGACAGCGACTAATTTACAGCCATCCACATCCCAAGAGACTCAAGAGGGTATCATCATTTCAACACAAGTAAACCGGATCCAGACTCCGATCGCAGAAGCTCCCACAATAACGCCACAGCAGAAACCGATTTGAAGATAAAAATGCAAAGCGCCGTCGTCACGTCGTTCTCAATCTGACACTTCGCCGAGACAGATCTCCCTTTCCAGAATAAGATGGAATAAAGTAAGCTTTACGAGCTTGTCGGCACCGACAACTTCTTCGCAGCCGTGGCGGGAGTCGTCCCACCTGCGTCGGTGGAATTTTCGGGTGCACCCGCAGAGACAGGCGACGTTGTTGAAGGTAGGATGTCGTCCACGGGCTGAAACGGATTGCCATCCGTCACGGAGGCGTTGTTGTTTTCGCCATTCGAGAAAAGACCGCCTCCTCGAGAGCCGCCCAGGGCATGCGAGAGCATCTCTTTGATCCGAACGTACTTGTACTTCTGCTTGGTCGACATCAAAGTATGAGTGACAAGCGGCAGGGGGTGAGAGCGAGTAATGCCTGCCATCACAGCGTCCTTCTCTTCATCCGAGTCCACGGGGCCGTTGTTATCCAGATCATCCTGCAGAGGGGCATTGGCATCAATGGCAGCCTCTGAAATAATGCGAAAGATCGAAGTTAGCTCTGGCCATAAAATGGACAACCCATCCTCCCACGATTACCCCAAGACAGTACTTACTCTGCTGGCGCGCTTGGTTCTTCTTCTGATAAGCCTGAAGCAGCATATCATACGGCAGCGAACGACCGGGGACGCCACGCTTCGCGCCCATCGAGTGACTCTTGCAGGTCAGGGAGCGAGCGCACTGGGCACCATTCGGCAAGGTGACACCGCACTGCTTCTCGACATCAACCGGGCCCTTGGGCTTGGCTGCCTTGGGCTTGGGTTCCTCCTTCTTTTTCTTCTTCTTGGGCTCTTTGTCTTTCTCGTCCTCGGCCTCGGTCTTGCGCTTCTTGCCCTTCTTGGTGCCGTCCTCTGCCATGCCCTTGACGGCGCTCTTCTTGGCGCTCTTCTGGCCCTTCATGGAGTCGTCGCCCTCGCCGCCCGCGGCTTCCTCGTCCCCGTCCTTGTCGCCCTTCTCCTTGGCCCTGTTGGCGGCGTCGCGCGCTTCCTTCTTGCGCCGGGCCTTCTCCTGTTTGGCCTTGATGCATCCGCGAATGTGCTCGGCGGCACCCTGCTTGAGGACCGGCCTCTTACAGGTCTTGCAGATGACCGTCTCCAGGTGATCTTCCTCGCGCGGTTTGCCGGTCGGGAAGGCGGCCATGGTTTTCTCGTCGATCTCCGGTAAGATGGGTGAGGAGCCTGGGGAGGCCGGGGGGTCTGTTCATGTCGAGGAAACGAGGGTAGTCAGTCAGCATTTGCTTGGAGTACTTGACCCTTTTCACATCTCCGTGTAGTCAATGCCACACGCGCCGTCGCTCCTTCCATACCTCTGTACCCCCAAGGACTGAGAGCAGAGAATAAAAAGGAAGGCATAACAAGGACAGTAAGAGAGGAGCGATCAGAGCAACTCACCATCGGCCTTCTTCTTCCCCAACTTCGCCGACTTCTTCACCTTGATCTTGCTTGGTTTCGCATCTTTCTCCGAAAACTTGTATCCCGACGCATCGACCAAGGTGCCCGCCGACGGCGCTATCGATTCAAATCAGTCAGTAGGAGCTCTCTCCTTAACTTCGGCGGTTTAAGATCCCTGGTGGGCAATAAATCAGGTTGGATTGGGACAACGGACCTTTGGCGTCACCGTTCGTAGCCATGATTACCACAACCGACCCGGGAGTGGGGTTTCTGTCGCCACGCTGGGGATCAGGAAGACCAGAACTAAAGGGGTTATCTCGAAAGGGAAAATCCAAGTGCAAGCTCAACCGTTGCGTCGCGATGGGGGAGGGCAGCGAGATCGATCGGCCTGATTTCCCGATAGCAGGGAGTCCGGGGCGCTCCGCATTGGGGCATCACGTGCCCGCATACAAAGGGTTGAGGCCACTCGAGGTCAGTCAGTCCACGCGATGGCATCCAGTACAAAGAATTGAATGGATGCACGTTGTCAACCCGCTGAAGGGTGGCAATAACTCCGGTCGTCAATGGGCCATGCCCTCGTGCTGTCATTGTTGACCGGGTTGCTGCAAGACAATTCCAATGAAGGCTCCACTCTCCATCCGAGTTGTTGGTGGTTGTGTTACAGTGCCCCGATCGAGGACACCGCTATTATATCCAATGCAGGTCCATTAATATATATTTATTGTACAGTACAGTTGAGGGAATGAGATATGCAATGCACGCGGTATGAAAGACCGAGCAATACCCATTCCCAATCTATTCATGCCACACGAGAGAAACACAGGCTGCTGTTCGTCCCTCCAAAGCCAAAGCTGTTGGTCAAAGCCACGTCAATCCGGCGTTCTTGCGCCTTGTTTGGCGCATAGTTGCAGTCGAATCCATTGTCGGCTCGCTCCAGGTTGATTGTTGGAGGCATCGCATTCTAATCCAACAAATTAGTATCGAGGTCTCTACTGGATCGTTGGCTCACAAACCTCGTGAATGGCCAGAATGGAAAACACGGCCTCTATAGCCCCGGCACCACCCAGCAAATGGCCCACGGCCCCCTTGGTGCTGCTAATATTAACGTCTGCCGCGTGTTTCTTTCCTTCAGGCCCCAGAAGGAGAGTCTTGATCGCAGCGTTTTCTGCCGCGTCACCGACCACGGTCGACGTGGCATGGGCATTGACGTAGTCAACCATGGACGGTTGGATCTTCGCGTTCCTCAAGGCCTTTCTCATGGCCATGAAAGCGCCCTCGCCGTTCTCCTTCGGCGCCGTCATGTGGTGGGCATCTCCGGAGCAGCCGTATCCTTTCAATTCCGCATAGATCCGAGCACCGCGCGCTTTGGCGTGCTCCAACTCCTATAGAACTGACAGTCAGAAACCAGATGGCAGTAAATACTCTGTTTTCCCACAAACACATACCTCTAAGATGACCATGGCTGCACCTTCTCCGACCACAAACCCTTCGCGATCGGCATCGAACGGTCTTGACGCCTTTTCAGGGACGTCATTGTAGCTCGTGGCAAGACTTCGCGCCCGCGCAAAGCCCCCGATGGCCAAAGGGTGAATACACGACTCGGCGCCGCCGGCAACCATCACGTCCGCATCACCGCATGCGATAAAGCGAGCTGCATCACCGATAGAATGTGCTCCGGTGGTACAGGCCGTCGTTGCCGCATGGTTCGGTCCCTAAAGAGTTGGTTTTTCGGTCGTGAAATGACAAGGCGGATGAGGGCACAGGCACGTACCATGAATCCATATCTCATAGAGATGTGGCCAGCACCAAGATTGATCAGGAGCTTTGGTACGAATAAAGGCGACACTTTTTTGTAGCCCTGCGAGCGATTAGCGATGATAGTCCCAGCAAAAAGAATGCCGAATCAAACTGACCCCTTTCTCATACGCCGTGACGGTGTCATAGATCTCGTCAAAGTTTCCAATCCCTGACCCGAGGCAAATCCCCTAGAAACACGTGAGTTGGCGATGCGTGAGACCAGGCTGAGGCGCGTACCGTCGTCTCTTTTTGTTCAAATGTCGCAGGCATCCAGCCTGCATCCTCCAAGGCTTCTTGCGAGGCGACTAAGGCATACTGAGCGAAACGAGCCATCTTGCGCTCCTCCTATCCCGAAGGTGATCAGCATGAGCTCGCAAATACTTTTTCCACTTCACGGAACCTACATCTTTCTTTAACCACTCCGAGGCCGTCCAGCCTCCATCCTGCTTCTTCCCCGAAGGCACGACTGCCGCAATCTGGCAGGGCAAGTCGGCAAACCTGGAATCACGATTGCGGACATTGACAATGCCGCAGTGACCATCCAACAGGCGTTTCCAGGTCCGACGGATTCCTAGGGTAAGCGGATGGCACTTAGCGAATTATGCAGAGGGAGGAGAGTCGATCGTGTACAACTGCCTTTCCGGGGTAACGTCCAACGGTGCATAAGAACCATAACGAATGGGAACTTTCTCCCAGGACCTTCCCGTTCGGGACGGAAGTGGGGAGCGGTGGAACCCGATAGGAATTGATTGCACCGCATGAAAGCAGATAGACAGGCGACGCAGCGAATGGGAGTCGTGGTCGATGAGGAGGAGGAATGCAGACATCGCGAGGGACTCACGTACCTACTCCGAGGGGCGAGACTGCGCCGAGACCTGTCACGACCACACGACGCATGGCATGCTGCGTATGGAGGGAATGGGCGAAGGGTGGATGATAGTACTCCGTGTGGAAAAGATAGCGATCCGGCCAATGGGAGTCTGGAAGATGGATTGAAGTATGAAAGACGAGAGACGAGCGACAAAAGAATCGAATTGAAGTGGAGAGAAGCGCGGCCGAGAAGGGAAAGTCTGCACGACGTCACGGCCTGAGGCTGCAAGGCCCACATCGCCTCCGATCCTCAAAGTATATAACGCAACACGGGCCCGGCGTTCACTTTGTTTCTTTTGTTCCGCCTGTCTGTATCCCAGTTGAGAGTCTTTACTGTCTTTGCTGCACCGAGCTGCCATGAAATTCTCGTTAGGGCTGCTCGCACTGGCCGCGACGGCCTATGCCCATGCTCACCATGACCATGACGAGGCCATTCCGAACCATGTGCGCGAGGAATTGCTGAAGAAATGGGACCAGGAGGTATGTCACTTTTCTATACTGCTGTCATGAGCTCCCCGACCTAACGCCAACTCCCTAGTGGTCGTTCTCCGGTATCGCCAGCTTCGCGCACTTGAAGCCGGTCAAATGCTTAGTTGAGCCCGACGAGCGATATGATATCGCCGTCATCGGAGCTCCCTTTGATACCGCGGTCAGCTACAGGCCAGGTACGATCCACCATTGACAGAACCTCCTCCCAGCGAGCAATTCTAAATGCTAACGCTATCCCTCAGGCGCTCGATTCGGTCCTCGCGCCATCCGCGCCGCCAGCGCCCGTCAGATGGCCGGTACCAGCTACAACACGCGCGCCGGGATCAACCCCTACAGCTCGTGGGCCACGGTCAAGGACTGCGGCGACATCCCCATCACGCCGTTCGACAACGGCCTGGCCGAGCGTCAGATGTACGAGGCATTCCTGGAGCTGGGGTCGCGGCCCGCTCTGACGGCGGCCAACTCCCAGTACGGCACCAAGGGCGTCTCGGCGGGCAAGTCCAAGCTGGTGACGCTGGGTGGCGACCACAGCGTGGCACTGCCGGCGCTGCGGGCCCTGCATCAGATCTACGGCAAGCCCATCACGGTGCTGCACTTCGACGCGCACCTGGACACCTGGAACCCCGTGCGGTACTCGGCCTACTGGACGTCGGAGCAGGCGGCCTTCAACCACGGCAGCTTCTTCCACAAGGCCAGCCGCGAGGGGCTGATCTGCAACTCGACCTCGGCGCACGCGGGCCTGCGCACGCGTCTGACGGGCACGACGGACTCCGACTACACCAACCCGGGCCCGGAGCAGGGATTCATCCGCATTCACGCCGACGACATCGACGACTGGGGCCCCATGGGAGTGGTGGACCGCATCGTCGAGCGCATCGGGCTGGACGCCGACCAGCCCGTCTACCTGTCAGTGGATATCGACGTGCTGGACCCGGCGACGGCCCCCGGCACGGGCACGCCGGAGCCTGGCGGCTGGACGACGCGAGAGTTCATCCGCATCCTGCGCGGCCTCGAGAAGCTGAACGTCGTGGGCGCCGACATCGTCGAGGTGTCGCCCAGCTACGACAACAAGGGCGAGACCACCGCCTTGGCCGCCGCCCAGGTCGCCTTCGAGATCATCACCAGTCTAGTGAAGGCCGGTGCCGGGGAGGAGCTGGGAGGATGGTACGGCCGTCCGGAGACCGCGGCGGATGAGATTGCGTCGGAGGCGGCCTCCAGGAAGGATGAATTGTAAAACGAGACGTGTCATGATGTAAATGAGCTTCCACCGGGGTGTACCATGAAGGTGAATGCGTAATGTGAACTTTTACTTCTACTTCTATATATGCATATATGTACTTGTATATCTACGTTCCACATGCGAAAATCGTGTTCTGCGACGACTGCAGACATCGCGGTCCAGCTCAGACACTCCGACGGATCCTGATTCGAGACCCTCCAGCTCATTCCCCCCCTGAAAGACAATACAAGGTAATAAAAGTGGTCATCACTGGTTGTATCTGAGCTATCTAGTTTCCAGATCGAAGCGTGGTAATAACGAAACGGCACAAACAAGGGTGGCAGATGCAGGCGTGACAACAAAAGCGAAAATATGAAGAAACAGATCAATACCATCAGCCAGCCAAAACAAAGACGCCTCGACTTCCAACGCCGGTAGAGCGATGAGAGGGAAGAAAGAATCGGAAAGATGGACACGGGAAAGGAACGGAGCGAGAACGAGAATCGTGGGGCAGCTTAAGGAGTAATGGATAAATCGAGAGGGAGGGAAAGAAAATGGAAAAGAAAATAAAACAAGATAAAAACCGGCTGGAAGATCAAGGTAGAGGTGATTCATCAATATAATGTCTGCGCGACATGGTTTTTGGAACGTTTAGGGTATCAGTCAATGAATGCCACGACTTCAGAAAAAAGCATCGAGGGTCACGAAGATGGCGATCATTGAGGTCTGAGTGTCTGCCCACGAGCTGCGGGTGATAGGTCTGCGCGCACATTTTCATAGGCCTTCCAAATTATTTCAACGTAATGCGCTTCGGACACCTTCAATCTCTTCCTCCACAAGTCATGAACATTCCTGCAACGCGTCAACGACACGAACAGGTTGGAATTAAGGAGCGGTGCTAACCTTCTCTGTAACGGAGTAGGTATACGTATCCGTTTACAGCAAGACGCACTTCGACTTCTTCTTGGGAGCGGGCTCAAGGGCGGCGACAATGGCCTAGCAGAAGTCCATCAGTACAACAACACGAGGTGGCGGCGGGGGACTGAAGGGGGAGGTCTCGGACTCACCTCGTCAAAAACATCCTTGAGCTTGTACTGAGTCAAGGCAGAGCACTCGACATATTTAACCGCCCCCAACTCCTTCGCCATGCGATCTCCATCTTCTTTGCGGATGGGCTGCATCTTTTGGCGGGCAAGCTTTTCGCGTACGGCGGAATCGTCGCGAAGATCGGTCTGCGTGCCGACGATGAGGCAAGGGACACCGGGGCAGTGGTGGTGGACTTCGGGGAACCACTTTTCGCGGACGTTCTCAAAGGAAGCGGGGGAAGTCACGGAGAAGCAGACCAGAAAGACATCGGTCTGGGGGTATGAAAGAGGGCGGAGACGGTCGTAATCCTCCTGTCCAGCAGTATCGAAAAGTCCCAGCGTATACGGTTCATCGCCAATCCTGGGAGAAGGGGAAGTTCGAGTCAGTCAAGGATCGAACGGAGAGAGATGAACGGTCGAATCACGTTGGAAACTTCAGCGACGCGGGTGGGAAGATAGATCGAGAGCCAGCCGCCAGGGAAAGGAATTCATTCGCAGGGGAGGAAGCTTTGCAGAGCGTATCCGACTATCGAAGACCACGACTTACATAACAGTGACGGCATAATTATCAAAGACGGTGGGAACATATTCGGAAGGAAATTTGTTTGTCGTGTAGGAGATCAGAAGACATGTCTTTCCCACAGCACCGTCACCGACGACAACGCACCTGGAGGAAGAAAGAGAGATGACGATTAGCGATCCGTTGATAGATAAGAAGACCGATTCACCCGACCAGAGTGAAAAGGGGGGTGTTGTATTGGACCGCGGGGAAAGGGGAGGGGAGGGCAGTCGAGGGTAATTGAGGCGACAGATCGGACGGGAGAAAAAGAGAAAAAAGAACAGGAGCAAGCATACTTAATAGTGGCGACGACCATGTTGGAGATCCGGAGTTAGCTGGAGGCTCTGCAGAGGGGACGGGTGCAGATTATCGAAGGTTCAAGGTTGTCCGTCTAGACCACCCAGAGCAACGAGAGGGAAAGGAGGAAAGATGCGGTGAACAAAGAGAAGGGGAGGATGACGAGAGGGAGGGGAGGGGATGATCGAATCCCGAGAGAGCAGACGAGAGTTGGGGGGGAGGGGGGAAAGAGAGCAAGAAACGGAGGGATGGAGGAGAGGTGTTTGGATGGGAGCGGTCGCCAGAAGTCACAGGCAGTGGTTGGTGTGCGGTGAATGTGTCGACGGTGAAGGGTTGGTTGGTGAGGCCAGCCAATGTGGGAGGCCGAGGTGGAGGACGATAGGACCGCAGGGGACTAGCCCAGAGAAAAGAAAGCTGCAATGGATGGGGCAACCCGCACCGTTAGCTCCTGTCGGTCGAGTTGTCTAGACGCTTTTGCGACTAGCACGTTCGCTTTTACTGGAGTGCATTTCTCCCAGCACCCGAGGGGAGATGGGACAGTCACGAACCGTGTTCTTGTTTCCTCTCGAGCTCCCTAACGTCTGGAATGGTTTCCGATGGAGGGGATCGACTCAATCAGCGATCCTTCGGTCGAAATCCTCAAATATCGGACGACAGTATATGCGGGTCTGGACTCTGGAGCCTGGGTTATCTAGATCCGCCGACGGTCAGCTCGAGGAAAGGGGAGAGACTCGAGACGTAGTGATGATGCTCTCGAGAAAGAGGGGCGAGGGGCGTCGCGGCAAAGAAGTTCCGGGCGTCTCTCCTTTCCGATGAGACACTGGAGGAAGAAAAGAAGGGGTGGGAGAGGACGAGAGATCAGTCGGATCAGGTAGAAATCGCAAGAATGGACCCAATCCAATCAGCGGTCGATGGACCGGTTCCAACAAATCGATTGCCGTCGCTGGCCGAAGGGGGCTTTCTGGTTCTTTTTTGGTGTCTTCGTTCTGTTCTTTCTACTCTTTCTTTCTTGATGTTCTTTCTTTCTTACCGTCTGTCTGTCTGTCTGTCTGTCTGTCTGTCTCTGTCCGAGGGCGTGCTACTCGTGTCCTTCATCTCGGCGTCTACGAGGACCGTCAAGTCGAAGACCGACGGCACCTGATCTCGTCACGCGGCTGACTCAGCGCCCTTCACCGATGGTTTACACTTGGATGGTCTCAATCTCAATCATAGAGTCATAACAATATATAGCGCTGCATAATTCAGGTCGTCTAAGTCTAGTCGTCATCCAGAGGTCTATATATCAAACCCCCGGTGTATATTTTCAACATGTGTTGCTGTACACAGCCCCAAAAGATCACAGGCAGACAACTGTCAAGGGGAACATGAGATATATTCAGGCTCGCAGTTCGGGATTCGACCGCGGGCAGTCAGCATACATTCCACTTCGATCCCTGCATGCGTCTGCTGGTAATGATCCGGAGACTGGAGTGGGAGACCGGCTCCGTTATGTAGTGTCGTCGGGCCAGGCTCGCATCCTCTCACGTTCGCTTCACGTGTCCTTCAGACTCGGGTTCGGCGTCGTCGTCGAGCGGAACCGGTTCATGATCGGACGAGCTCATCTGTTCGAATTAGTTACCCGTCACGAGAGATCATCGGTCGAGGGACGATAATTCACCTTATCGAGATTGTAGTTCTCCATCATCAGGCTCAACGGGATGAGCGGGATCACCACCACAAACGCCAGCACTAACAATTTATTCATGGTCTCCTGGTAGGCCCGGTTGATGCCAATCCTAGCAGGCGACCCCATCGGGTATTCTAGCGCCTTGGTCAATTTCCCGAAGATCGCCTTTGCGTCCCCTTTATTCTCGTCGGGCAGGTACTGCTGCAGCTTTCGAGGAAGATTGTGAGTCCAAACGGCCCCGGAGATGGCCGCCCCTACGGCTCCACCGAGCTCCATACACGTAAGGAACATGGCCGTGGCGGCTGCGACTTCCTGGTGGCTCGCCGACGCCTGAACACCCAGCTGGACGGGGACGTTGAGAAGTCCGCCCCCTACACCGATCACAATCTGAGTCCCCAGTATCTGAGCGAATGAGCTGCCTTCTTTGCGGTACAGCATCATCAACACAAGGCCGACAATGTAGACCGCGCATCCGATGACAACGTAAATGCGATACCGCCGCGTAATTTTGATCAAGATCGACACGGCGAAGGCAGCGATTGTGGAGGTGAATGCAAAGGTTTGGGTAACGCGGCCGGCCGTAGAGACCTCGTATCCCTGGACCACTTGCAGATAGGAGTATAGATACGGCTGAACCGAAAAATAGAAAGCCACTGGACACGGTCAGAAGGATAAATCTCCCGGAATGATCGTCAAAGGGTATACATACTAAAGTACCAGAAGGCCAGAGCACAACCAGCAAGAGCGGTGCGTTGCTTCAGGAGATGCAAGGATAAGAGAGGCTTAGGGGCAAGTCTTTTGGAAGTTTCCCACACCGGCAACACCAGAAGACAGACCACGCCAACCCCGATCATCGCCATGATACTGTTATTCTTCCAGCCATTCTTGGCATTGGCAGCCAGCGTCAGCGGCACCAGAATGAGCGTCACTGCTGCCGACAAGAGCATCAAGCCAAACATATCAAGATCGTACCAGGTACGACGAACGGCAGCGAGGAAGCCCGAACGACGCGTCTTTCTGGGTTTGATGAGATTGAGTCTCCTGGCCTTGCGCTGATTGAGCAGCAACGAGAGCGCCAGGGGAAGGAATGACGCCGGCAAGATGATTGCCCACATCCCGTAGCCCCAACGCCACGACAAGTTTTCGAGGACCGCATCCGCGATCATTGGCCCTATCCATACGGTAACCAGAAAAGGAGACTCGGGGAGAAGGGTCAGGAAGGCCCTGTTAAGCAAGCTACTGCTATCTGCAATGAAGACCTGTTGAAGTATTTGCAAGCCGGTCGATCCGGCCGAGTAGAAGATTTGAGCCGACGCATAGGCCTGCACGTTGTTCGAAGCGGCCATTTGAATATATCCCAGAATGTAGATCAGGATACAGACGCAGAAGGCCTCAAAGCGACCGAAGACATCGGCTACTTTAGCCATCGGGGGTTTGATAACAGCTAGAGAATGTCAACTTCCATAATACCGAGCCGAGGGTCTGCGCCCGCGCATCAGGGCTGAACCCACCATTGACCACATTCTGAACGACAAGGACGGTTGAAATCAACGAATGTTTGCTAAAGGCACTGGTGGCATAAGCTGAGAGCGACATGGTTGTCTGGCCCTCCAGAGACGTGCAAAACGCCATGAGGAAAATGCTTCAGCTAGTTAGCGTGCTTCATGGAATCGAGAAAAACGTGACTCCATCACATCAACTAACCTGATATAAGCAACGGCCAGGGATTTTGTGGTCCATGTGAGGTTGATCGCCTCGATTTTTCGAACACCTTCCTGAACCGAGTCTTCCGACGAAGCTATCGTGCTGCCATTTCCTTCGCTTTCGTATCCCGCCTGAAGAAGACGTTCTCCTTCTTCCTCTCCGTGATTATCCATTTGATCGATGGTGCCATATGAAGGTCCTGACTGGATATCAAGCAAGGGCATTGCGGCTGAGCCGGACTAATCGATGATGTACCGCGCTGGATGGTTCGGCTATGAGCAACGTCCATTTATCGAGGCAGATCGGGCCGGTGCGTGAAATACGGTAAAAGCGTGGATAGATATCGAGTATACTGTAGGTATGACAACCGATGTAGGATCGAGGATGAAAGGGTGTACGACGGTTTGGGCGGACGTGAAAGGGTACGAATGATCTGAGCCCGCTAGATCCACCAGACGAGAAGGCAGCGTATGACCGGCGAAAAAAGGGGTATCTGAGCAAGGTCGAACACAAGAAAAAGCAAAGATAGAACAAAAAAAGAAAAAGGCAACAATCGAGGAAGCTGAAGGACGCCTATGTGAGACGTCAGGCGCCGGCTGCTGGAGGTCAAGGTTTAGGTAACCGAATCCCAAGAATACACATGCGGACGCGGATCGTGAGATCTGTCGTACAAAGGAGGCAGAGATTCGAGTCCAAGGACTCGAACCCCGGCGTGCTGCAAACCAATGGATACGATCGTCAGGCTGCGCTTATGCACGACGACGTGGGAGGGGGCCACCGGTTTAGCCTATGGGCTGACGCCCGAGGCCCAAACAGGCAGTGTGGTGCCGTGTGCACCGAAGACTTGGGAGAGAGACGCTTGTTCTGTACACAGGAAGTATTTCGCCGTTGGTTTAATCTTGTTTTCAATCCTCCACGCCTCGCGTCGCGTAGGTTGGCTCGCTGCGAAGCTTATCCTTCAAGCGTGGGCGCATGGACGCCTCGTTTTTTCCTTCTTTTTTCGCCTTTCTGTTGCAGGGTGCGGGGAGAGCAAGGCGGCAGAGGAGTTGGGCGCAAGGCGGGCCAAAGGTCCCCTGATCGACAAGAGCAAGGTAGGCCGAAGGAAGAAGTTGGAATGGACGGAGCAATGACCAGGGGAGGTGAGATGGAATGGTGGGGAGGAAGTGGCAAAGCGTGAGACAGGGTTGTCACGCATCAGATATGATAAGATCACCTGGGCGGTCGGACCGGGTCGGGAACTACTACGCAGCAGGTGTACAGTAGTATCGATGACGACCTTCATCCACCACCGCCTCTCCTTCAACTTCTTCACTGGGGCTGCGATGCTGCGGAACATCTCTCTGGCTATATATCTGTTCATTTCTCATCCTGTTTGATCCCGGAATGCAGGTTCGTCTCATCACTTCCCATGCCTTCTCCCCCCTTGCATCCGACAAGTATACTCCGGAGGAGACTTCGACCGCGGATCAATTCCAAGGAATGCTAGGCTCTAACGCCGTTGATTCCACGGCCTGTCCACTCAGCGCACTGCCTGTGCTAGGCAAGAGCAGAAAAACCCGCAGGCCCTCCGTCGCATGATTGGGGATCATCCATGGCCGGCCTTGTTGTCTTCGGGTCGTACCGCTCCATCCACATCCACTCGGCTCAAGCAAATGTTCGTGTTCCTACTTTTTACGCCCCTCCATCAGGATAATTCGACGACTGAGATGAGTCAGTCTGAGTAATGGAGTAATGGAGCCTGTGACTCCTCCAGCGTCCCTATCCAAATCCATAATTAAAGGGATTCTCGTCCACTTAGCAACGAACCCGCGACTGCCGCCTGATGAGTAGATTTAGTGACCAAGTAGTTCGTTGTTGGGTCATTTCCGTGTTTCCGAGCTGAACATTTTTCTTCTTTTTGAGGGTTTTTTTTTTTTTTTTTTTTTTCCTTTTCCCCCCTCCACCCGGTCTTTTTAGTCCGTCGCGCGTTGGGCTTTCAACCCTCGATGTATTGGCTGTCCAAATACGGAGTACTCCGTAATAGCTCGAGACAGGGCTTTCATAGGTGACACCGGAATTCCGGAGGATATAGAGCATTCCGATTTGAAAATAGAGAGACGCGACGAACGAACGTATCACGCGGTTTGGCGCGCCCCTTGACTTTGCATCCTCCCTTCGCCAAGAAGATGTGTCTGCTTCCAGCGATCTTTTTTCGAAAATCCTTCAAAATGTAAATTCGTATCTCGATCGTCTCTTCAACTGGGTAATGAAATGATGTGTGTGTGGACACCAAGCTTCTGATTGAGATCTCTGGTCAAACTTAAGCACCCGACGTGTGGCTGAGTTTTTCATCCTTGAAAACACGAAAGGCGATGTAATTCAATCTGATTGCCTGGATTCATATTCCGTCGGTCCCACCCGCCTGGTGAGAGGCGCGTTGCTTCTGAGCTGTTGTCGCAACGTTTGTTGCCAATAGAAAATGCCCCTTTCGATGGGTAATTACAGAGCCGATATGGGTGGTACGGAATCCTAGCCACCGAGTACTCCGTATCGATAGCATTTCTCCCGAGTGGACTAGGATGTCACCTCAGCTCACCGTTCTGGTCAATAATCGTCGGTGTCATGGCGGATTTGCCGTGATTATGGGGAAAAGTGGAGGTGGGCAGGTAGACAAGTGAAACAAAGGACCCATGCTCGTGAGACAGAGGGATCATGCAGACAAGGAAATGAAGGGACTGGATATTGAACGGAGGGGAGCAATTATTCAAAAGGGGGAGAAAAAAAAAGTTGTATCTTTTCCTCTTCAACTCATCCCATCCACAATAGCAATGAGATCTACAGTGCGTGTTAGTGTGATGATTATATATATGCCACATGTTCAATCGGCCCACCATTATTGTATATTCAACGACTTGGCAGCCATGACCAAATCATAGCTTCATCCTCAGTGCCATGATCGGTACTCCGTATGAAACAGCAATCGTTGACCCATTCATTCGGTGGGGAGGCAACGACTAGCCCGTAAACTCGCATGACTAGCGGTCAACCCCTGCAAGCAGATCATGCCGCCTCTTGCCATATCTACCGATGCCATGAGTGCTCACGACACTCCGGGCTAACTATCGAGTATGATCAAATGGACCATACCACCCACGAGAAAGCCGTGCTGAACCGGAATCCAGGACGTGGACAAAGAAGGCCAGCATCTGCAATGCAATGCAATGCAAACGCGTCCGATGCGAACGCGGGAGGGGTACGCCATTCGCTGCGGGGAAACAGAGCACGGCTTGATGCGAGAGTGTTTATGGTTCGCCTACGATCATCTTGTTGAACGGGTGGCTTCGAAGCTTTGCAATGTCTAGGTCCGGTGTCCTCATTTTGTCCCGATTTTCTCGCTATCAACATGCACCGTTCCAAGCAGCAGGTCTACCATAGCTTTGTCCAACGTGGGTTCCTCTTCCTCCACCCCCCTAAATGATGATGATAATAATAATAAGAGGCAAAACAGCATGGTCGTATCTGATGGTTCATGTCGGCATCGCCATCTCGTCTATTCAGTCGGTCGTATCCACAATCAGATGGCCGAAGTTCACGTCTAGCTCACCCCCCTCTTTGCTAGGCCTGGCGGCATAAAGTCCAACCCAGAGATCCTTCACATCCTGCTCCTCAAAGACCCAGGTCACCTCGCGGAGGGGAGACTTTTGAATGCCTTCCACCAGATAGATCCACAAGCTGTTGTCCGACTCTCTGACGAGCTCCAATGTCGCCGCCCCGCCACCCGAAGGGACCGGCTGCAGACTCCAGTCCGCCCACCGGTCCTTGGAAACGGTACTGAGATGAGGCCGGCTGTGTGTGAACTCGATGCCGGTCTTGACCCATTTACGGGACCCGTCCGCCCCGTTGAGAACGAGGATGAGACCACCCTGATCGTATTTTTGCTGCCACAGCGCATTGAAGGCGACTCGGACTCGCTTGAAGGAAGCCAAGGGGACACTTCGATATAGGATCGGGGCGTTGAACGATTCCGTGGAGGGAGGCTTCGCCCAGACGTCGGTCTCCGGGCCTGCCTTGATTACGAACTCGGCGGGGAGGATGCCATCTCCGGGGACCTTTTGTGACGAATTGGCAAAGACGAATTTCGCCATGACGGACGGTGTAGCCAGAGGGAGAAAAGGCGTGTGGGATAGGCTGTACAGTGTATATAATACGATGGTAGAAATGGTGCAAGCCTCGCAAGTCCGCACACCGAAGAATGTTCAGACAGTAGTGGGGGATAGAGTTACGAAGGAAGAGATGTCCAGGGAGGAGAGCATAAGAACGGAAGGGAAAGAAGAAGTCGGAAGGAGGGGAGGAGAGAGCAGGTAAGCTACGTCACTGCCAGCCCGGACGGTATGACAGCCTTGACTCTGCGGGGTCTCTGCATGTGGCCGACTTCTGTCCGGAGCCTTTCTCGGAGGGCATCGCAGGGGCACGATGGCGCCATGGCCTGGGGAACTACGGTCCCCCCCTCCCCCTCACACCACTTCCTGCAGCCAAAGCGACCTCAAGCCACGGAGTTTGTCGACTGTCGACAGTCGGGATCTGAAGGGACGATGTCTTGGCGCAATCCGGCTGACATAAGCCGATCCGGCCTCTTCGCTGGCGTCGGCGGAAGCTGAACGCTGAAGCTTGTGTTCGATCGTCCAGTTTGAGATTGTGCCACCTCCCGACATCCGGTAAACACCTGGATGGGATGGGCGTCTAGTTGGATCTCAATGGTGAACGTCCGCTATGTCCGCCCGCCTCCTCCATCCGGATGAGTATGAGCTCGAAGCTCGATCGTCAATTGACTCTCAGGGGACCTTCAATCTCGACGAAGCGGACTTTGAGTCGCAGGTCCCGCCGAGACCTCGACGGCTCTTGCGCAGAGTCCCCTTGCTGTCGAGGCTCTGTGCTTCCACCTACTTCGGCTATCGTCGTCTAAAGCCATCCCGGCCCCTGTTCTTGACCTCGTCCCGGCCCGGTTGTTATCGCCGTCTCCTGCTCCGTCGTTCCTGCTTCTACCTACATGCCGTCGCCGGCATCGTTCTTGCCCTGGTGATCCTGACGTCCATTTTCCGGCCGTCTTATACTCGACCGCCCTCGCATTATTCGACACTCCATGACGCCATCTCGCAGTCGACGGTTTCGGGCAGAGGCAACCTGCGGAACGAGAGGGTTTTCATTGCAGCCAGCTTATATGATCGGGACGGAGGACTCGCGCAGGGACACTGGGGCTCAGCCGTCCTCAAGCTGATCGACATTCTCGGCGAGGACAACGTCTTCCTGAGTATCTACGAAAACGACAGCGGGCCGGAGGGCAAGAACGCGCTGCGGGAGCTGGAGGGGCAGGTGCCATGTAACAAATCAATTGTGTTTGAAGAACATCTGGATCTGGATGGTCTGCCGAGGGTGTCGGTTCCGGGGGGATCGAAGCGTATAGTTCGGGTTGAATACTTGGCCGAGGTCCGCAACCGAGCCCTACGACCGTTGGATGATAACCCCGGAATACACTATGATAAACTTCTCGTTTTGAATGACATCATCTTTGATCCTGTTGATATAGTCCAGCTTCTATTCTCGACGAACGTGGGCGATGACGGTTCTGCCCATTACCGGGCTGCATGCGCGACCGATTTCGACAATCCGTTCAAGTTCTACGACACCTACGCCACGCGGGACCTCCAGGGCTACAGTATGGGCTTGCCCTTCTTCCCCTGGTTCACTACCTCTGGAGAAGGAACAAGCCGCAAGGATGTGCTCGCAGGGAAAGACGCGGTCCGGGTCCGAAGCTGCTGGGGAGGCGCGGTGGCGTTTGATGCGCAGTATTTCCAGCACGCGGCGAACCCCAGCCGCGAAGGCCTTCCGGTCCGATTCCGTGCCTCGCAGGATATGTTCTGGGAAGCCTCGGAGTGCTGTCTCGTCCACGCCGATATTCAAGAGCCTCACCTAAATGTGGATGAGATCGCCGACTCGGGGATTTACCTGAATCCATTCGTGCGTGTGGCCTACGACCCCCGCACGCTTTCCTGGCTCGGGACGACTCGCCGGTTTGAGAAACTCTACAGCTTCATTCACAACATTGGTAACCACATCGTCGGTCTGCCCTGGCTCAACCCTCGTCGAACGGAAGTTCCCGGCCAACGAGTCGAGCGGACCATCTGGGTGCCCGATGACAACCAAGAAGATGGCGGTTCTTTTCGGATGATTGAGCAGATTGTCGAACGGGGCAGCTATTGTGAACGACCTGGGCTTCAGGTGATCGTCGAGGATCGCAAAGAGGGTCAGAAGGGGTGGGAGCTGATCCCATTGCCCAATTGAGCAAGGCGTATCTTCTTGTATGTAGACTTGGTTTCTTGGTTTCTTGGTCTAGAGTACTTCACTCCGCTCCCCCAGCATACATCTCTTTCCAATTGAACCCATTTCCCATCAATCTACGGACAAAATGTCGCGTATGGTTAAACTAGTTATGTTTATCTTCGAGATGTTGCTCACATCAATGTTTTTCGTCGCCTGTGAGGCTCTGACGACAGTCGCCGAGTTCCTGACGGAGGTCTCAAAGAGCCTGGTGAGGCCCCCCTCTCTCTTCCACTTCTCTCTGTTTACCTCTTCTCTTTCACCATCCACATTCACCTTCACTTCTACTTTCACCTTCCCCTTTACTTTCATCTTCACCTTCACTCTACTCTCCCCACCTTCCATTAGTTCAAGTCTCTGCATTCACTTCCAGAAAGCTGCGGAGACCCCTGATCATAAGAGCCATTTTGCATCTATCCCTGCCCCTCCCTCCTCAGCAGAAGGCCGTAGATCTGCAACAATCTACAACCCCTCCACAACCCCTCTACTTGACAAGAAGATCACTCTGCTTTACACCCTCGAATGCTCAGGTTTTGACGGATCAGCGTGAGGCACCCACTAACACAAAGGGTCTTGTTGTTTCTATCCCCGCCCCTCTTGTGAATACCAGCGAGGAAAAGGAAAACCTGGGTTCACTTGTGTCAATCTCTGCACCTGCTACTCAGCAGAAAGCAGCCAGCAACGCCTCCAGTAGGAAACCTGCCCCTGTTTCTTGGGCCCGTCTTTCTAACAGCCTACCAGCACAGGTCTCTCCTGTTCAGCAAACTGCGACCCCAAGACACAATACCATCAAAGACGTGTCTGGCAAAATGTCGCCTCTTGCAGACGTTGACGATACTGCCAGCTTTATGGCGGCGGTTCGTGCTCTTAGACTAGCCCAGTCTAGTTTCACTTCCAATGCTACTACTGTCGCTGTGGAAGTCTCTGGCGAGCAGGACGACACCTGGAAGAGCCAGAATGGATCCACCGGTGCTTTGACTAGCTCTTCTGTTGATGCAGATGGTGCCAATTCGGCGTCTGTTGCTAACAAGACCGGCTCTCTTGGTGAGTGTTCCTTTCCTTTCCTTTGTCTCTTCGACTTGGGCTAATACCAAATTCGACTCGACAGCGGAGGCCGCCAAAAACGAGATCTCAACTGTCTCACAGGATGCCCTCTCCTTCGCCACTGAGGCTGGAGGTATGATGGGACCCCCCGAGCAGGAAGATCGTGAGCATCTCGCCACTTTCGAGACCTGGGGAACCCCGGCTCCGCGTAGCAAGCCTGGTAAGATCATTCTTGGCTTGTATCCCCCCCCCCTGAATTAATTGACCTACCGAGTTTGAAGCTAACCATTCTCTTCACCAGCTGCTCGCGTGAGAACCATTATCCTCAAAGAATTGCCGTCCACCTGGGCTACCCCCGCCAAGGTGCTGTCACTCATCCATGGAGGCCTTGTTGAAAGCATCTTTGTTTCTCCCATGGGCACCGCTCACGTTCGCTTCTGCGATGCGGATGCATGTCAGGCGTTCTATGACAAGTATCCTAACGGTATTGATCTGGACAAGAGTCGCAAGGCCACCGCTTTTGTCGAAATGGGCAAGGACGTAAACGTGGTTAGCTCCCAGCTGTCTTTCAACCTCTCTGTCGGCGCGACTCGCGTCGTCCGTGCCGTTGGTGTCGACTTGGATGTGACCATGACCAAGATGATTGATCTGGCCACTGCGCACAACCGTAAGATCGAGAAGATAGTTGATTCTTACGTCCCCGGTGAAGTGAGTGTCTCTAACAAGAGGATGCCCACGAGGTCCGGTCAGTGAGTGCTAATCTGCAGCAGGCGAGATGTGCATCCTTCCGCTTCTGTGCCATTGAGGACGCGGTGCGCTTCCGGGCTGCCCTCATTCGTGATGCCGACTGGGAACAGTGCAACGTGCAGTATGGCAATGATCCGTGAGTACCTGTATCCTCTGCTGTGATGGCGAACGAGTGATGACTGACTTGTATTCCTCGCTCTAGGTGCGACATCGCCACCGGCATGCACCTTGATTGAACCGCCACTCTGTCGACGATGTACAACACGTGTGAAGGAGACGGCACTTTGAACGGGGGGTATTGACAGGAGTTCGTGCTGAAGGGATTGAACGATGGTGGCTACTGGGTACTGGAGGTTTTCTGTGTGAACTTTTCGCTCTTTCCATGGATGTTGTTAGCTCTTGCCCGCTTGAAAGTGGATCGAGGGTTCTTGTCACAGTAGCTATTGTGGGCATGTAACTTGCATGGAATATCAACCGTGCGCAATCCGCATCTACTTTCTCCTGCCGGGAGCTCTGTTCACGTCTTTCCCGCCGTAGACGATCACCGCAAAATCGAGGCATCTCAGGTGTACGCAGTAGGTATACCGACACCAATACACAATACGAATACGAGACGAGACGAGACGATACACAGGAAATAACGGTCGGGCTTTAGGACCGAGACTAAGCCGGAAGAGGCAAGCATCGGCCCTGAAGTCTCGGACAGCTTCGGACCCCGATTGGTGTCGAATTATCTGACCTCATAATGACAATATCCGTCTTTCTTCGGCCGGTGGCCTCCTCCAATGGACACAATACGAAGGTCCCGTACTTTTCTTGTCTGGTCTTGTCTTTCCGCCGTAGTCTGAGACAAAGGATCAAGACATACGAGCAGGAAGCTATGAAGAGCAAGAAAGCCTGGATCCGGTCGACGCTACAGAAGCGCTGGCTCCGTAGTCCGTAGGCGATCCAGTCTTTCCAGTCCGTCGCGCATGCGGACGTCCATGGCAGAGGAAAGTCAGGTACGGGACGGACAGGGCGAAGACATCCCCCGAATGACGACGGGAAGGCGGGGAAAAGGGCAATTTCGGGCGTGGAGAACGGACAACGGAGCCTCCGACTTAGTCAGTGCTGACTACAGTTCTTTCCCATGCTTGATATCTTGACGGCGTAGTGACCACGCAGGAGGAATTCGACGAAGTATACCAAGAATCTGCGGATGCTCTGCAACTCGATCCCATGCCCTCCGTCGCAGTCACGTTCGCAGGCCAGTCCTACGCCGTACTGCGTAAGGTCCTCCCAGTCGATGCAGCTACGCCGTAACCAGTCACAGGCACGAGTCAGGTCCAGTCCGTCCAGTCGACTGTGGAGTGATGAAACAATCTCCACTTGGGAGAAGAGGTGCGCGGCCACCAAAAGACCAAAAAAAAAATTAATAGAAAATAGAAAAAGTAAAATAAAAATAAACCGCGCAGAAAACAAAAAAACGCACGTCGGTGTTTTTTCGTTTCGCTCGTTTCACTCCTTACAGCATGCCGGAGTCCAGCAAAAGACAGCATTCCAATTCTCCAGTTGTGGATTGTGGAGGATAGACACCCGACGGTGGATTCATCAGAGACGGAGATCTCCGATGAAGAAAGAAAAAAAAAAGAGTTACGATTTACAGAAGGTGAGCAAGAAATAATGAAGGATAACCGGCAAAGAGAACAAAGAAAGGAAGAGAAAAATCAAACAAAACAAGATAGCTTCAATTGAGAGAAGCCTAAATTTGGAGTCTTTTTTTTTTTTTTTTTTTTAATTTTTAATTTTTTTTTTTACTTTTTGTTTTTCAAATTTCTTTACGATTTTCTTTGTGTGAAATTCCAAATCCCACCGTCCGATAAACCACGGCGGATGGTCGGGTTTGGCACCTCCCCGGAGCCACGACCGACGGTCCATCTGCAACCATGGTTGAACCACCCCTCCGCGTGAAGTTTGAATGGACCTAGTCGCGGCCGCAAGGCTCGGTCCAGTACCTAAATCAGCAGAGATAGAGAAGAGGCAGCAGCAAAAGGGAAAAAAAAAAAAAAAGAGTAAAAAGTCCGCTCGTTCAATCTCACGGATCCCAAGGCCGAGACCCGAACAATGCCCTCCGGACTTTTCAATCGTCCTAAAACTCCGCTAACGATTGCTGGAACGGGTTAAGCAGGGACAATCAAATGCATCTTTTCATGGAAAAAAAAAAAAAAAAAAAAAAGGTCCCGACCTGCACTGTAGCAGAAGTCGTAAGGATCGTTAGGCAATCGATTCCGGACAGACGGGCATGTTAAACTAGCGAGGTAGTAGTCGCCGACTAAAACTACGTAGTGGACGTACGGCGTAGGAGGTACATACGTAAGTAACCTCGCGCAGGAGGAACTAGCGATGGCTGGACATTGGACAGACACCAAAAGGACGGAAGTAGATTAATAGTTCGATGGCAATATAGGGCCCATGATTGCCTCGCGGAGTAACTACGCAGGAGACGGTCACTATCTTCTGCAACCAAACCCCCCCTCATCCACACCCGCGGGAATGCGAAGTGCATCAGAATATCGCGATTTTTACTGGAGCGAGTAAAGCGCCCATGCAGGCAGGTTCGTTCGTGGACCTCCCCCTCTCCGGTCTCAAACCTCCACCGTCTGATTCTTGCATCGTGAATACCACCACGGTCCCGACAGTCTGGATGAAGGTGTGATAGTTGGGCATTAGTCGCCAACCTTCAGCAGGTTCCGGTCCAGCTGAGGGCCCCCCCCCCCTGGTCCCCGGTTTGGCGCCGTGCAATCTCCAATTCGGTAAACAGGGGGAAGAATTGAGCACGCAAGACCAAAAGGAAAAAGGAAAAAGGAAAAAGGAAAAAGAAAAAAAGTGGATAAGAGTCATAAGTCTATTGATTATTGATTCTTGAATATGGATTCGGATACGACGGGGTACGAGAGCTGTTTTTGTGTTTCTTTTCTCTTCTTTTCTCGTTCCATGGATACGCCGGAGTCCACCATCCCAGGCTCAAAGGGCCGATAAAGTGCGAGGCAGCCCTACCGGGTATCGTGGGGGCTAAAAGAAGGAAGGCAAAGAAGCCAGAGGGATAAATTACGCGGCGAATGAGAATGGGATGCCTTCAATCACCGACCAGCAGAATCGAATCTTACATTTCGGATCGCTTGTCTGCCGAAACGCCGATCGAAAACGGCCTGAAGAGCGACACCAAGTCTTGGGTGGTACAGAGTGTTCAGATAATACGCAGTAAATCATACCGTCTCCATTATCACATGTAGAGACCTACCTACAGACCTATAGCGCAGGGGATTATTATCGCCAGGTCCCATGCGACGGCGCAGCTCCTCCGGAGGAATCCCTGGGATCAAAGAGGCCGGAACTTCCTAAACGAAAGCGCATGCCGGTCCATCTGTACACAAACTGTGCCGCAGCCCAACCCGGTGGACTGAATGCCAATCCCCGTCATGATTGGACCCTCCCCCGTTGGAGGTGTCGATGTGTTGACGACATTATGAATATCATTGTTGGGAGCCACCTCGGCTAAAGGCAAACCGCATTACTCGGTGCAGGGGAGTCGCGAAGGACAGAGAAGCCAGAAAAAAAAATGCCTCGCGACGTCGCATCCCCAACCCTGTAGACGATGTAGGAGGTAGATTGAGACGATGAGCACCGACTGACATGAGCGCGACCTCCCGGAAGGAACTGAGTTTGAGGCGATTTGCCCCACGTGTTGGGCGCAGGGGCTAAAAAGATAAAAACGACGGCCGAATTTCTTTCTTCTTCTCGCCCCCCTCGGGCAAACGACGATGAGGCGAGGATGGTGACCGTCCAGAATAATCCCCCCGAACCGACTAGACTGAACGGGGCCGAGTTAATATAGATTAATCTCACCACTGCGACCTCTCGTCCGCCTATCAGGGCCGGCGATTTTCTTGATTTGCCCCCTCGAATCACCCAATCAGCCCGTGTCAGCGCGAGAAATGTCGGATGAACTTCGCCCGACGATGACCTGGAGGTGAAGTCCTGCGGCGGACGGCGTTAATAAACTGTCCGCCGTTCGACTACCCCGTAGAAGGCTGTCCAAGTACCCTGTCAAGCTTCTTATCGTTCGACTAATTTCAAACTCAAATCACCGTGATCCTACGTGGGACGGAGTATTCACCCGGTGGAGTCGGTTCAATTCGGTCGGGGAGAGCTCGCGATAGAGTTGACTGATTCCACGGTTCCTCTCTTTCCTTTCGGATTAGGAAATTGCCCAGTCCAGGTTATTCTTGGGCGATTTTCCATCCAACCCGTGAATCGTGGCATTCGGACCCCCCCCCCCCCCCCCCCGGCGGATCCAGACAGACCGGCCGTAATACAGAATACCGAATACAAAGTCAAGAATTACACACTCTGGACGAAATCGAAAAAAGAATCGAAATCATGAATAATCATGAACCAAAAGACCAAGCACTCGTCCCCATTTTTAGCCCGACTCCGTTACAATAATAGCGCTCTCCAGCAGCAACGCCATCGTGCGAATCCGCTGAAGATCAGGAGACTAACGGAGGAGGATGACAGAATTACCCACTACGGACTCTGTAGGAGACAAAGGAAGCAAAGGAGGCAAAAGGAAGAGCAGCGGAAACCAGGCCAGGCAGCAGAGTAAACTTATCGCCAACAAGATCACTCAGCCATGCAAAATGAGCCAGGGTCATGCCCCCTCCCCAATTCCCGATCATCTTTAGCCCCCGCGAGTCTTAATAAGAATCATGATGCGTTCGTGGCAGATCATCAGAGCCTTGTTCCGACCTGACCACACCAACAAAGCTCCATGTCTGGGCCGCCCTGGTAGGTCGGCTCGCGGCCTGCGACAATTCCACCAGTCAGCGCAGGATGTGGGGTCCAAGAAATCTGATGTAAGGCTAGCCGGCAATGGATGATTCTGCATGAAGATCTGTACAAATCTGAGACCGACTAGGCTTTTCTCTCCGCCGCGACGGCGGAGCTTGGGAGGGTCGTTGACTCGTAGGAGGGTACGTGGTAACGGGGGGGGAGGGGCTCCGTAA